GTGATCAGTGAGCACGACTACACAGGACTCAAAATCGCCGTTGCGTTTTTTTTTTTTTTTTGGTTGCTTTTGTTGTAAAAGGTGGTGATGAAAAGCTAAATTTAGCTTTTCTGTCTTCAAACGCGATCGCGTCTTTCAAGAGCTAGTGGTGCGTTTGGTGACGCATGTGTGTTTAGAGGTACAAGATCAATGAATGAAGAATATTTAATGTTGTATATAGTAATTGATTAATAGTCTGGAAGTGCTTGGTTCAATTCATGAATACGTAATCATTTCTTATAAAACTAGATAATTGATGTAATTAAGCGCCTGAACAGTCGCATATTGAATTTTATAGTATACAATATATGCCTCTGGGGGCAATCTCAAAAGAAAACACGAGATTCTTTCTCAAGTCCTCGCCAGAAACGACAACAACAGCAAGTGTTATAAAACTTAGACCAATTATTGGAATCTTTACTATATTTTTTTATAGAAAAAAAAATGTAGCATCATCACCTACGTAACTACATTGCCCATTGTGTATAATTATAAATTTTGATTACTGTCTTGTTCAGCATTCCATTACTAGAAGTCTAGACAAAGAAACTTTCAATTTTCAGGAAAATGTTCAATTTCTTTCCAGGATAGTTTTTTTTTCTTAACCAAAATGATGACCACCCAGATTTACTTTACTTTTCAAATTTTTTTTTTTTTGATGGGCGCATCAAAGATACTCTGTTAGACTGTTACCAAATGAAGAAATAGTATCAGTCACGTTTGGAATTCTAAATGTAAACCACCACCCTTTTTTGTGTAACAAAAAAAAATGTTTTCTTAAAAAAAAACAATTTATTTCACCTGTTAAAATGATAACTTATTTTGACCAAAACAAAAAAATTGATAACTTATTCTTTTTCTGTTATTGTATCACTGTATGTAACTTGTTTTATTTATCTGTTTTAACAGTTTATCTTACATTAACCTCACTAATAGGCTATAGCAAATATCAAAACTATTCTACAACCACAAACATTCAAAACAATTTATCTACTAAGAATTTCCAAACAAAAAAAATTATGTTTTTCATATAATGAAAGGTTACATAACAGTATACAAGAAAAGAAACGAAAACGAATATTCATTGCTATGGCTTTCAACTGATTACAAAGTTTAATACAAAATCAGAAAAATCTATAAATTGAAATTAATAAACAAAATATGAGTCATATAAATTACTTTAAAAAAAAGGACTTCATACCTGCAAGGTCGCAAAGCCGATATAAATTATATATATCCATATTTCTTGGGATACAAGAAACCTAAAAAAGCATAAAAATAATAAAAACACTCTCTCAATTGTCATCTGTGAAGACCTTGAAGATAAAGTCACGGAAACGCCTAGAGTATTGTCTTGGATCAACCGCAGATATAGAGGAAGGATCATACTGTATGCTCTTGTAAGCGTGTTCAAGCTTTTTGCTGATATCATAATCCTGAAGAATATCAATAATGCCAAATATCATCACCACTTCGTAGAACTCTCCTGTAGGCTCTCCCACAAGCTGTAACTCACAGTCACTTTTTCTCATTGTTCTCTCTGCTCGTGCTGGCATGTTGGTTCCCAGTCTGATACTAGCCCACCTGCAACAACACAACCATATATAAAACCCATATGTTCCTGTGTTGAGTTTGAAAATGTTAGTATTGTTCTCTTGTGTTGTGTTACCTTGATGGATCTGATAGAAGCTCATCAACCTCTGCTCTAGAAAGACGGTGGCCTGTTTCTTCTTCGGAATCACCTGTAGAAAAGAAAACAGTAATCTTTTTGCTTTTATGAATGATACATTTTTTTCTGGTGGTTGGAAAAAAAGTTATCTGATTTGACAAAAGCGAACCAATAGGTGTTCGAGCTCCAGGAGGAATCAGGTCTCCAGCTACTGAAGCTTCTCTAAAGTGGATCCCAACTAGAAGACTGTAATCCATGATTCTCTCTTGTTCTAGAAACTCGCAGTCTTTATCGATTTGTCTGTGATGTAATCAATGAGCAATGAGAAATGAAACAAACACAAACGTACTATGGAAGAGTAAAAACATAAAGGTTTTTACCTGATGAATTCTTGGTACCATGCTTTCTGCAATCTGAAAATGAAATTCAGATCGAGGTCTTTCAAGATCGTGTTTGAATCGATTTCTGATTCAGGTTTGTCGGTTGTTCGGCCAAGAGAAGATCCTTTCAGATCAAAGCGTCTGTGAACAGAGTACTTGGAACAAAAAAGATTACCCATTATGACGAACCGTACCTGCATTATTTGTATACAAAGAGAGATATGAAACCAAACCAGTCATTTCAAAAGCCATGCCATATTAAGTGTGGATGTTTTGTAGATCTACCTTCTTTTGGGTTGGTCCATTCAATTTCACACAGTGTAGACCAAAGAATCTGATTACCAAAGAGTTCTCAAATGCTCGAACATGGTTGTAATATGCTGCAAGCATCCTCAGAAGCACCTACACCAAGAAGATCAGAAATAAATCTTTTTACGTATATGCAATCTGAATACTCGGCAATTGCAAGCAAACACTTTCTAACCGGTAAGTTGAAAAAAAAACTCACTTTTGTTTCTGACTTTTTCATTGTTTTTATCATGTAACGATCATCGTTTGTTAAGTAAAAAAAGCTCCCACTTTTACCAGGGGATGATAGTTCTCGAAGGGCATCATTCCCACAGATTGATAACATATAATCAGCTGGGTCTACTTTGAATAGCTTCCTCAAGCTCCTGGACAAATATATTAAAAGCAAAACATGTTAAAGGGTAAGCAATACAGAATTAGTAAATAATTTGAAAAAAGTAGAGGGCTTTTTGGGTCTAACCTGAAAACTAGTGGGCAATAATCTTTCCATTTGAATTCAGTAGATTGATGTGGAGGTGTGTACTTGGTTCCTTCGCGCGGAAACCTCCTCCATATCTTATCTTTTGGATCAAAAGCTGAAGGCTTAAGATCAAGAGATGCCACCGGAGCTTGTCTTCCGACAGAATGCCTGTGGAAACAAAATCACTAAACATAACTCCAAAAACACAAGCATTGCTCCATGTGCATATATATACATACCAACAAAAATTAGATTCTACAGCTCAGGACGCATAGTCTCTCTCATATTTACCTGATTCCTAGCTGTAGATTAAGCATAAGCTCGTAATTGCGATGACCTTTAGATATAGTCTCCCCTTGCTTCCTCCCTGCCTTTGGCAGTTTCATAGGCACAGGGCTCGACTTTAGGCTCTGAATGCCTTCACCGTCCAATCTCATCAACTCTGCATCCAATTCCTTCCTCATATCAGTGCCTCCTTCACCGATTTCGTTCCCCCACATATTCATCTTCTCAAACGCTCTATCTACACCCACACTTACCCTCCCGTCAACTGACATCCTCCTAGGCTTCTCTATACGCTTGGAAGAGTTCCAAACAGATAGCTTCTTCTGTGAAGGCAGCATAGGAACCCTCTCTCCGCTGCAGATCTTGTACTCACTCAGATTATTGAACAAATCTTTAGGATCCCATTCAAGATTTCCTTCATTTCCTGATGGATAATAGGTGCCATTCATTTCCTCTGGGTCTTTCGACCAATTACCAACATAGAAACTTCCATCATCCCACTTAAATGTCCCATTCCCTCTAGGGAACCCTTCATCCCAAAACCCGTCATACCTATTGCCATTTGTCCATACAAAACTCCCTCTGCCATAGATCGTACCATTCTTCCATTCACCAGTGTAATGACAGCCATCGGCCCATTGATACTTTCCTTGACCTTCTTGCAAACCTCTCCTCCATTCACCATCATAAGCATCTCCATTTGCAAAGCTCTTGACGCCATGTCCATGCTTCAGGTTCATCACCCACTGACCTTTATAAGCATCTCCACTCGGACCCGTGTATGTGCCAATACCATCCATGTAACCACTTTTAAACTCTCCTTCGTATGTGGCACCAGATGGCCACCCGAACTTTCCATTCCCCATGGTTTTCCCATTGTACCACTCACCAATGTACATGCAGCCATCTGTCCAGAGGTATTTTCCATGCCCGTGAGGAAAGCTATCATACCATTGCCCTGTGTAGTAGTCCCCATTAGGAAGTACTCTCTCAGCGTGGTAAATTTCCTCTAAGCTGCTCCTGTTTGTGCTAGTCTCATCGTCATTTTCATCAGTTGTTGTGTCGTTATCTGTATGTGGAGCTACAGATACTGTTCCGAAAACGCTATTTGCCCGCTTCTTGGCTTGTTGGGTCTTTCGTACGGTCACCTCCCAGGCCTTGAGAACATAGCTTTGTTCCTTGCTCATTGTATTAAACTAAGAAAAATTCTATCTAAGAAAACTGTGTGTTATTAGCATCTAGAAACATGCCCTCATAAAACATGCATGTTCTTATCTAGATAACAATCTTAAAGATGTACAAATACCCAAGAAATCAACAAATATATGCGTCACTGGTCATTTTCGTTTGCCTCTGTGATCTCAATGTAATTTTAGTAGATGGCAAAGATCTTACTTTTTCTTTTTAGATTGCAGCATTAATGGATTGAATGTTGCTATGGACCATGTTGCAAACCAAACAAAGAAAAAGAGAGGAAAACGAATGGCCAAAAAAAGAGTCAAAAGGGAAAAAATGTCTCCGAGAATTCATCTTTTCTTATCAGTTTTGCAAACTAATTTTGTCATGATGCAAAGAAGGACTCGTTCATATTCTCAAACCAATGAAAGCCTTGAAATTCAGAGAAACAAGCAAGACCCTCAAATTATCTATATTTAGCATCTACTTGCTTCTCTCGCATACAGAGACATAGACATCGTTCTTAGAAACATAAAACATGAAGAATATTTTTAAGGTGGACCACAATTTTAGACGAATAAATTCTCCAATTTGAAAGAGTTAATTCAAATTTCAAAGTCATTGACGCATTTTGTCGAACAACTTAGGTTCATTTCATGAATATAGCAAACGAATTCGAAGGATGAAACTTTCAGCTCTCATTTATCCTTTTTCTCCATGTATTTCAATTTCACAGACACGAATAATCTATCCCCAGTACAAATTTTGAAAACAAACAAAGCTCGAAAAGATCAAACAAATAGATTCATATCTTGTTGAGCTTGGCGAGGAGGAAGACGGTGGCGGAGGTGACGGCGGGGATGAACAAGTCATTGGGCATGGAGGTCGGAGCTATGCGATTCTTGAGGAAAACGGCGAATGCAGGAACTCCGAAGATGAAGAGTAGAAACTCTTTTACTCCTCCAACGCCGGTGAACCCAGCTCCGATCAAAACCTCCTGAAGAAGCTTTTGAAACTCATCCTTCGAGAGCTTCTTCCCCTCACCGAGATTGTGTCTCTGCGTGATTCAAGTATACGAGACGATGATTATACCATTTTTTCCGGGGAAAAACTTTCAAGTCTCAGAATTGAAACCAAATTTAATTGTATCGAGAGCAATATAAAGTTACCTAATTTTTATACAATTTTTCGCAACTTTATTTTTGAGTACATTATTTTGTCAGTATTTATTTGGGTAAATATACATGACATGCAATAATACATAGCTTATGAAATCAAATTATCTATTGTGATTTACATCATTGAATTGAGTCATCTATTACATATATAAAAAAAATATTATTGTAGTTATGTATTTCTCTAAATATATAATCACTGTTATTTTATTAGAGATGAAATGATCATATGAATGATATACTTTTTCTTTTTTTTTCAGGTAAAAAATATGGATGGTATTTCATGTGAAATGTTTGCAAATCGAAAATTTTGTGCTCTTCGCTGCTTTGCTTTTACCAGTTTATGATCAAAATTCGTGTTCTTGCTTCAACTATGGACCCAAGATACCATAATTTAAGTCAATAAAAAAGCTATATAACGAAATAGAATTTGGAAGACTTTACCTCATAAGCTCCTCGTAATTTCTCAACACTTGGCACCTTAAGTTGGGTACCACCAAGTCTTTTATTAATTTCTCTGTCAACACCAAATATTATTTACATCACATGTAAATATCATACGATTCATAGCACAGTCATAATATTCTGATGCCGACTATTTGGCTCGATCCATTGTGATTTTTATATTTTATATAGCATTGTACTTAAAACTCATGTTTCAGAGGAAAGAATCCTTAAAAGAAATGGGAGAAACTAATTGTTCTTGAATCCTATGGGGTTCATAATTAAATTCCGGGGGAAAAAACCAATTGAGTTAAAATAATTTCTCTAAGCCGAAAAAATTCGATAGCCAAACTAATTACATTAATAAGTAAAAAGAGAACAATGAAATAAGAAAGGAGATAAAATTACTGGACAGCTTCAGCCACAATGCAGTAGAAGTCGCCGAAAGACCATTCTTGATCATCGTTTTTTTCTTCAAGGCGTTTACGGTAGCAATTTTCTGCCATAGCTTCCAAGTCTTTCCCATTCACCTCTCCATTCCCTTTTGCTACGCTCCATTATTAATCGAGTAACACCAAATAACACACGAACATAAAATACACTATGTTTCGTTGATGGGAGATATAACATATATATGAAAAAATTAAAAAGACTTGTGGCATTGGGAGAGAAATTAAGAGAAAGGACGAACCGGTATTGAGTGCTTGACCCATTTTGTAATAACTTCTTCTTTCTTTCTTTTCTTTTCATATTGTAACAAATTTGAAGGATAATATTGAGAAACCAAATGTTGGAGACGTGACTTGTGACTTGTGACTTGTGACTTGTGACTTGTGAGGTGGGCTCAGTATCTTGGCATTTCCTGATCGATAAGCCACGTATCGGAAGCGTGACATATGAACATAAGGATCGGGAGAAAAAAAAGTTAGATTTAATTTCGCTTTCTATATAATACTTTCATTTCTCATTTGAATATTAGCTAACTCACTGTATCTTTTATATCTCGTAATTAATTGACCACTGTATTTTAAGATACAACCCTCGCTACAGATAAAAGAAAATATGGCGTCGAAATGAATTTTGAAAGTTAAATTGTAGTAGTCTAGTACATACTATATAGTGAGTGAAACTTTAATGTTCCATTATTTGTTTTCTTTTTAACCCATTAAAAAATTAAGGTGACATACAAGTACATATAAGAGCATGTTCAATGCTAGATCTTCAATGCTTAAACAATATTTAATAATAAATCTAAAATTAAAAGAAAGAAAAACTATTTTGGTTCAGGAAATGGAAAAAATGTTTTGGTCGTGAGAGAGAGAAAATGTTTTGATTTCACACTTATGATCTTCTAATTATTTGACACTTGTTTACAAGCATCGCATCTTAAAACGCTAGAACAAGCGTCGATTCTCACTTCAATTAATTATTTACATTTATTTTTTTTTTAAAATATCTCAGAATCCATTTTAAGCGTCCCCATTGAACGTGCTCTAAGAGATTCTTCAGTTTTGCAAGAAAATATGAAGGTGGAAGAGGCATGCAGATCTTTCTTAAATTAATGAAAGTCTCTCTGTTCATATGCACACAATGGAGATTAATTATAAACCAAAATAAGATATATTTGCGTAAAAAGGATAAATTATTAAAATGAAACGACCATATGAAGCTTTGACACTTGGAGAAAATCACATGTCAACACATAGAGATAACGTATTTCTATGTTCACTGACAACGATTACCGAATTACACCCCATATCCTCGTCGACATCGCGTCACTCAAATTTTTATTTATTTTTTTCTTAATGTGGACTCTTTTGAGACATTAAGATTCAGAATAACGAATGAGTTTTAAGTAAGTACTAATTATTTCTATGATATCTGATTTGTTTTCGACATTGAATTCGAACATTGTAGAAAACCGGATATAAGTAAAAAAAAAAAACAAAACTCAAGTCACCAAATCAATTTTCTCTAGTAAACTAGTAGATCTTAATGTAATTGGCAAGAGTGTTAGAACTTTTAACGCATAACAGATATTTCAATCTTGAAGTCGCTTAAATATTGTGGAAATTAAAACGAAATGAATCGATTGCATGAATTTTTTTATTTGAGTATGATTCTATACTAGCTAGACTGAGTAAGATAAAATATATTATTACATGATATAAAATTAAGTACAACTAATACATTAAATATACTATAAGAAAATTTATACTTATGAGAGTATGCAACTGATTCCGCACCAGACAGAGAAATTCGTTAAAGGGGCTTCAAGAAATCCAAACGCAATTAACAAACGCGTATGTTAACTGCGATTTACAGACGCGTGTTGGTAATCGTTCATAGCGATAGTAACACATCCCTAGGGAGCGACCAACACTTGTCATCGATCAGAAGACTTAAAAAAATTTAACATTGCTTCTCAACTCTGAACTCTTTCTCTAAAATCTCCATCATTGTTGTCGCCACGTCACCATTTCCCGCCCTATAATTAGGCAAGCAACTCGCAAACAAAGAGAGATACAGACAGCAATCAAATCACAAGAAGCCTTGAAAAAGGAAAATAATAATTTAGAAAAGAAAAGGAAAAAAAAACTGACAATTGTGCTCAGAGAAATTCAGTGTTTCCTTATTCGTCTTTTCGCCACCTCTCCCTCTCTTCTGCAAACTTCTCGAACCCATTACTCTGTGTCACAAAAAAAAAAAAAAAAAATCAACCAGAGAGATTGATTGATTTTGTTATCCTATACGGTTTTTTACTGATATACTCGCTAGATCGATTATAGTGGAGGGTTTGTTCCAAAAAGATGGAGGAGAAGAATAAGGATAAGGAGGGAAAATCGGAGTTTACGTTCGAAGACGACGAAGAGAACGAAGATCTAGAAGATAGCAGTAAGTACGAGAACGATAGTGGCACTGATCAAAGCGATGTCGCAGATCTTCCTGGTGACGACGACAACGATGATACTTTCATTTCCCAGGTTCAATGGCCTCAAAGCTTTAGGTAATTTTTACATTTTCCCTGTAAAGCTCGAATCTTTCGTATAAAAAAAACAACTTTTTTCCCTTCTAGAACCAATACTCATCTGATTCATAATTTGTGGCATTCTCGGTGATTTTGTATTGAACAGAGAGCTTTTATGATTTTGATTGTTTCTTCTTTGTGTCAATCAGGGAAACGACTGATTCGTATACGATTGCTGCATCACCAATCTTCGGGTCTCTCAGGAGTAATCCGAGTTTCTATAGACAGAGCAGAAGTAATCTAGATGTTGAGTCAAAAGCCCCTTTGCTCCCTGAGAGGAATGAAGAATCCGACAAAGCCTCAGCTACACAATCAGTTTGGTCTCATAAAGGTTCATTTGCTGAAGAATTGCCCATTGGAGGCTACGGATGCAGCTTCACTCAAACCATTTTCAATGGTAACAACCAAGAAAAGATTATGGATTTCTTGGCCTAATTAATTTAGAAGACTAAATGTGTAACATTTAAAAAAAAAAAAACTCTGTATTGGTTGCAGCGATTAATGTAATGGCTGGAGTTGGGCTTCTCTCAACTCCTTATACAGTGAAAGAAGCTGGTTGGGCAAGTATGGCGATTCTTCTCTTATTTGCGGTTATATGTTGTTACACCGCTACTTTAATGAAAGATTGTTTCGAGAACAAATCTGGCATTATCACTTATCCTGATATCGGAGAAGCAGCTTTTGGGAAATATGGTCGTATTCTTATATGTGTAAGTCACTTTCAAAGATTTGATCTTCTTTTTGATTAGTTTGAGCGCTTTGGATCTGTTGTTCTGTTTTCATTAGCTGCTGCATCCATAAAAAATCACAATTTCTTATGGTTTCTGCAATGTTTTGTGTTTGTAGGTGCTATTGTACACGGAACTCTATGTAAGTGAAGATCTTTTTGTTCCCTATTTAACCAAAAAGCTTGTTTCTGTCTGCACAATGTGAACTTACTCGAATCTTTGTCCACTTTTTTTGTAGTCATATTGTGTTGAGTTCATCATATTGGAAGGGGATAACCTTACGGGGCTTTTCCCTGGTACATCCTTGGATTGGCTTGGGATGCGTCTTGACTCTAAACATTTATTTGGAATCTTAACTGCTCTCATCGTTCTTCCAACTGTTTGGTTGAAGGATCTTCGAATCATTTCCTACCTCTCTGGTACAATCAACTTCTTTTTTTTGTATATATATTATTGGTTTCTTTAGTCAAGAATCTTGAATCAGTTTCTTTGATTCCACAGCTGGTGGAGTTATTGCAACTGTTTTGATAGCAGTAAGCACGTTTTTCCTCGGGACAACGAGTGGCATTGGGTTTCATCACACTGGTCATGCTGTGAAATGGAATGGAATACCATTTGCAATTGGTATCTACGGATTTTGCTACTCAGGCCATTCTGTGTTCCCAAATATATACCAATCTATGGCAGATAAAACCAAATTCAACAAAGCAGTGATCACATGGTAAAACAAAACAATCCACTCTTATAGTATAAGCTTTTGATGTGTTGATCTAATTCTCAAGTTTATATTTTGTATGGTTACATTGCAGTTTCATTTTATGTGTTTTGATATATGGAGGAGTGGCAATCATGGGTTATCTCATGTTTGGTGAAGCCACCTTGTCTCAGATTACACTAAACATGCCAAAGAACCTATTTTTTTCGAAAGTGGCGCAATGGACAACGGTTAGAAAAGAAACCCGTTTTTTTTTTTTTGATCTCCATCATCTTTGGAATTTCCATATTACATTAAAACTCCTGATGAATCATGGGTTATCTCATGTTCTGTTTTATCTTTTCTATATTCAGGTTGTGAGTCCGTTTACAAAATACGCTCTCCTGATGAATCCACTTGCAAGGAGTATAGAAGAACTATTACCTGAAAGAATCTCAGAGAACATATGGTGCTTTCTTCTTTTAAGAACAGCACTCGTCGCTTCTTCTGTTTGTTCTGCTTTCCTTATCCCATTTTTTGGTAAGAATGTTAAGCTTAGGAAGGTCGAGAACTTGAATGTCTTGTTTCATCGATTTGCTGCTTAATGGTCTCAAGACTCATAATTGCTTTGTTGCAAACTGGCTATTGCTTTCGACAGGTCTTGTGATGGCTCTAATAGGATCTCTTCTCAGTATACTTGTGGTTAGTTTTTCATTATCTCTCCTCTCCCTATTTCCTTAATATCCTAAGAAAATTATTCTTATCAAGTCTCGACACACACATTCTTGGATCAAAACTCAAAAGTCTTTTACATAAATTGTCAGGCAATAGTAATGCCAGCTTTGTGCTTCATAAAGATAATGGGGAACAAGGCTACAAGAACACAGGTATATAGAATGAGCATTTTTAGCCTCTTTACAATTTATTAAAAGTAATTTGGGGATGATGAGTTTCTGTATTTGGATTCTTAGATAAACACTGACTTGTGTTGTGTTGTGTTGTGTGATACAGATGATTCTGAGTTCGACAATAGTGGCGATTGGGTTGGTAAGTGGAGCCTTGGGGACATATTCTTCGGTTGCAAAGATCATTAGAAACTATTAATGAAGAAACTCCATGACAAAGCCCACATAGTCTCTCTCGTTTTCTTTGAGTTGAGTGTTTTTTGTTGAACCTAATAAAATCTTGATCAAGATTAATTTGGAATTTAAAGTTAATAAATTAGTGAAGTGTTTGCTTCCTCAAAGTTGAGGTTTGCTTTTTTTTTTTCTTTCTTATGAATTCTTCAATTTTCTGAAGCATCCTCCTGTTTAGATTGGGGTACAATGCGCACTCCTATAAAATAAAACCATAAATAGCAAAAGAAGTAAAAAATGTGTTTACCTCAAAAAGAAAAAAGAAAAAAGAAAAACATAATATGTTTACCTCAAAAAAGGAAAAAAAAAAATTAAACAGCATGACGCAGTGATAAATGAACTAATTGAATATTTTTGGCGGAACAAAGTTATTAGCAGATTCCATTAGATTGCAAATTGGTAGAAAAAGTATATATTTTGCTTAAACTGATATATAATTTTTACCACCAGATAATTTCTACATACTCCTAATTTCTCAGATGTTCGATAAATTATAATAATTCACCCTGATGTTGGATTACTATGACTGTAAAATCTGTAATGTATTCAGAGGTTGAAAATATCAAAATTTTAGTTTGAAATTCCGCATTTAAACAATTAAAAACTATTCTATTAATTAATTTTAAAAAATTATTATTGCATTGTTCTATACTTCTATTATATGGAGATGGGTTCATCCAAAAAATCTTCCAAAATCCAAAATTAAAAAGGTATACATCATACATCTATCCAAATGTTCTACTAAAGTCCATCATAACATAAAAGCAAAGCTTTAAATGTATTTTTTTTTCCCTCATTTATGATCATCTTACTCAACGGATGTCAAACCGAGTACATAATTATTACCACCAAATTGAAATTCGACATGTTACTTTTTTTTTTTTTTGGCATGTTACTTTAACAAATGTTTTGGAGAAATGTTACTTCAGGTAATTACATATACAACACATACATCGACCGCCTGATAAGTTTTGATAATTGTTAAACAACCAAACAAATGCAAGATTTAACCCTCGAACTGAACACGATTTATATACTCACAAACGCAAATAATTCGACCCCAAACAAAGAAAAAAACAGAACTACATATGTAATATACCGATATGTAGGTTTCGACGGAACCCTAAAACTATAAAATGACTTCTTCTTCTGGTCGGTGTTACATTTTTTTTTCAATAAAAAAATATAAGATTTTCAGAGAGAACCAATGCTTCCTAAGGCATTCACATTATAAAAGCCAGACGAGAAGAACCCTGACACACCTGCCGACATCTGAGGAGCATTGTTGAACACATCCTCATGATCCAACGGTGAGTAATACTCAGGGATCCCTTCATCCAACGGCGCATGATTCATCTCCTCCTGGTGGAGATCTGCGGAGGCGGCGAAAGCTTTGTGCTCCGGAGGTAGATCAACGGCGTCTTGACCGGTGAGTTCTTGAACGAGCTCTCTAAACTTAGAAGCGCAAGTCTCCACTCTCATCGGATTTGATATGTATCGGACTTTGATGGGTTTGTTCGTCGTCGTCATCTTTCTCTTCTGCTTCTGTGGTGGTTTCCTGGTCGGAGATGATTTTCTCTGGTTTAAGCTTGTGAGCAACGTCGATGATGACTCCATCTTCTTTGATTCTTTGTGAAGAACAAACGTTAAATAAAAATGAAAATCCAGATGTGAGCTCTCTATTGTTTTTAGCCCCAATTTGTAAATATATATATATAACTACAAGGTTCTTGTAGGAAGGAGAGTGGAAATTAATGGGAAAAGGATGCAAACAAAAATTGAATGACAAGTCCCATTTAAGTCCTCTGGCTGCTGTTTGTCGACGGCGCGTTTCATCCACGCGCGTTTTTAGTCAAAAGAATACCCTCCCTCAGCTTACTTCTAAACAAGTGTGATATATATCATTTATTACTTCTAAACTCGAGTGTAATGTAGTTTGGAGTTTGGACAATGGACTCAGAGAAAGAAAAAAAAAACTATAAATAAATGGTCGGGAGAGTGACATAGAGTGGATTGTGGGGGTTTCACTTCTCTTTTTAAAACTATACACTCATGTTTTATTTATAATTTATACTACATAATATTATATCAAATATATTTTGTTGGCATGACCTATATATTTGAATGCATAAACAAAACGATTGGTAATCAAATTTATCATCTTTGTTATACTATGTCACCAAAAAAATAACCAATTCACCACATAAACACCTAAAATATTTAATGATGGTTCAAATCTATTAAATTGATCAATAAAAGTAAAGGCCCATTTCATATAGTTATGATTACAAAAATTTAGAAATAAAGTATCTAGACATTAATTTTAGTACAAAAAAAATTCAACTAATTGGTTAGGGGTAGGTTTTCACCGAAAACTCGATGTGTGGATAAAAAATTGTTTCAACATTGGAAATAATGAATGCTCCCCAAAAATATACAAGCCAATGTCACAGGAGGAAAATTTTTTTTTTAAGAAAAAGTCTTAAGAAATGAAAAAAAGAAACTAAAATTTATTCACACGATTATTTTGTTAAGAGTTTCAGGCGTGTTGTGCATGCGCCAACTCAAGCGCGTGATGGAAAAAAATGAGGATATAGTTAAACTGAAAGCCGCCGACGGCTAGCCATCAGGATTCAGGACATCCTTAGAAGCGCCACGTATCGCTGATGTAGACACATAGACGCCATGACGTCACTTGACCCGACGATAGTGACGTCACCCGCTTAATTATAACTGAAACTAAAGACAAATCATTTTTTATTAACATCACAAAGACAAATCACATAAATGGAAGAAAAAGAAGAAAAAGAAGAAGAAAAAAAAAACAAATTTAACGAACCATTGTGAATTAATCCAAATTTGATCCCAAGCCCAAAAAAAAAAAAAAAATTAACCGAAAAATTCAAACCATAGATACTTATCTTTGTGTAAATTTCTAACTCTCTTTTTAGTGTATTTGGCCAGTATGTTTTGCAAGGGTCTCTATGTTAAACATTTGTTTACGTTCGTTTCCTCTATTATGTATTGTTTGATAGCCAATTAGAGGAAATAATTGAACTCATCAATTTACATCTTTAAAATTGATCAATTAATAATTCGTATTTTCCTCTAGAGTGTACTGACCTAGTAACATTTATTGATAATAATCTTCGGACAAGAAAGAATGACATTATGACAAGACCATCCAAACGAGATGATGAGATGTCACGGGTTGGCAAAATAATGGGTTTATAAGATATTCGTGAAGATGTTTCATATTATGCTATACATACCTTGCAAAAAATATCTTACATCTAAAAATTAAATACACGCAGAAAATATTAGTTGAAATTTAGATTTATAGCGAGAGAACTAGAATGAGAATAGCTCTTCTTATGTTTGATATGCATACAAGCTACTGATTTAGTATTACGTACGTATGTACTATGTAAAGTAATTTAATTAGAGTCGATTCAATTGTTGAGTATATATGGAATATTAATTTAGACTGTGATCGAGCTTTATAGAACTAAATCGTGATTTAGTTTAGTGATTTTAGTTGACTGTTTGAAGAAAAAATTTGTCAAAGATATATTAAATGAAATTTAGAGTTAATATATCAATTTCTAATCAGCTATTATTGTTTTTTAATTAATCTTTGTTGCGATATTATTTTGGTCGACTCCAACAAAAGAAGTTAATTGCTAGACTTTATACATCAATCAATATGTAAAACCAGTAGTGTATTGTGTATATGCGTAGATTGTCAAACGTTTTTTGTTTAACAAAATTGTAAAAGTGTAAATCTCGAATAGTAACGTATGATTAGAAAACAGAAAAATTTGTAGTTCGGGAAATAATTGACAGAAGTGAAGGCTAAGGGGGTCCAGGTGGACAAGTGGGAAGAGGGAGGGTAGCACTGGGGTGTATGCTGTGTGGTCAGTCCTAATTAAAAGGTCTCTTAAAGACTTAAACTCAGTCTAATATATATTAGTGCGGGCCCTCTAATCTCCCTTCCCATAAGTTTAAGCAAACCCTAATTATAGTTGCCCTTTAATACTTTATTTCTCTTCAAAACGACTATGTACGGTTTCAACGTGTATTTTTAAACAGCTTTCTTAAGAGTATAAATATTGTCTATATAATTCACTAATCAAAAAATGTTGTCAAAAGCTTAGAGAAGTTTGTAGGGTTTTTAAAATTCTCCCATATCTATATGTTCGGTTTAGTTTAGTTTAGGTTTCTTTGTTTTTAATAGAAGCTTTAAAAATTTTTCATAGAAGTCAAGTCACACGACTCACGAGAAGTCGGGGACCGTACATAGGCTTTAAATGATGCCCAGATCATATCATTTTAAACAGATCAAAAAAATATTAATAAAAAAATAAATAAGATCATGCAGAACTGGGTGAACAGCTGTTATTTTACCGCAATTCTGGAAAAAATTATTTTTCTTTGATTTTTCTGTATTAAAGATCTGCATACAGATCTCTTAATTTTATATTAATATCTTTTGTTCTGTATAAAATTTGTGAATGGTTAAAAAAATCAGATCATTTTATATACAAATTTTCAGCATTTATTCTGCTATCCGAGCCATAGTAACATTGAGAGTCTTTTAGATAATGACAAATAAGATAAACCCAACTATACGACTTACCTCGATGTCCATAAAAGTTAGAAAAAATATCGTCGATCACGGAAGAATTATCATTTTCCCATCATTGCATCAAATACGTCAGATTTGTTTTTTTTTTTTTTATGGATAGTCAGACTTTATATTGTATCCACGTCAAACGATACTTCAAAAAAAAATATTTCAAACCACTATTTTCACAAAAAGAAAGCAAAACGTTTTCATATTTATAGTTGGGATATATCAATCTCATAATTCATAAATTAAAAATCCGTTTAAAAATAGAATGATATATTTCTTGCAGATAAAATTCTTAATTTTCAAGAATTTGTCGGCGGATACCTTGCTCATCTCTAGGTAATGACCGACAATGTTGATGGCGATGAGATATTAATTTTGGCCTAATTACAGGAATTGCAATAACTCCATAACCGAAGAAATTGGCGAAATAAGAAGTTTTGTTGGAAACAACGACAAAGAAAATGGAAACAAATGAGAACACACGCATTCGTGGTTGCATCATAAGGAGAGCACGTGTGTTGACTTTGAAGTAAACGGATCGAAACGACTTCTTTCTGATATTATCTTATACGTATCTGTGGACAGTGGACTTATTGTCCACGACGATTTCCATTACACATTATCGTCCAACCACTTAGACTACGACTGGTGTGTATATGGTAGAGTCATGAAAGGGGAGATAAAAAGGAATAGAGACGATGGTTTTAAAAAATAAGAAAATTAGAATAACTTAATCTCATGTTTCTAAGTGCTCTTTTTATTTTTCTAGCTGAAACGGAACAAAAAAATTTCAGTTAATTCATGGAGGAAAACCAGAATAAGCAGCAATACTCTAAAGGACATTACATTACCCTTTATTAATTTATTTGTTACTTTGTGTAGAAGATAGCGAGTAGACAGGATTCATCTAGTATCTGGATCCTATATTGTTGTCATGGTGTTTAAGTATAAAATGGTACCTAAATATAATATTTTGAGAAGTTAATAATACTGTTTACAAAAAAAAAGCTCACTGGAACAAATTATAAAAGCAAGGCTTACAAGTTACAACCTTCTTCATCAATGATTCTCCAAATCCATATTTTAAGAAGATAAATAAGAGAAGCCCATTGGACCAAACTCCAAAAGCAAGCCCCGTCGGTTTCGCGAGTTCGTAAGAAAACCGTTAATTGTCTTGGTTTTGATTGCATTCTTTAGTTGAGGGTTTGGGGCATTCATTTTCTTGCTTATCTTCAGAGGCATACAAAAACCAAGTCTTTTTCAGTTTCTCGTGATGTTCTCCTTAAGGTTTAGTTAAAACTGCTGATACTTGTTTGTAGCAAACTCTGGAGCGTAATGTGTGCTCTCTAATCCAAAGCATACTTAAGAGGAGAAGAAGTGATTGAATGATGGAACTGGCTGATTTACTGTATAACGTGCTGTTAATTACGCAGATTTACAAATATTTCTGTAATCTATAATTTCACCGCTAGGTTTTCAAGTACTTGTTGTGTTTGATTCTCTACTTTAAAAAATAAAAGATCCGTTTTCTATTTTCTTTCAAAACTCATCAACTGCATTTGTCGTATAGTCCACTTCACTTTTAGTTGAACTACACAAAAGGAGTTGACCAAGTCGGTTTTGATTTCGTGAAATTCTGGCTTAAAAAGACTTTTAAGATTGTGTGTATATATCAATAAACCCACCTTTTGTTCCATAATCTTTAAAGCATCATATACACAAAGTAGTTAGAAGTTTGGTAGAGTTAGTCTAAAAAAAAAAAAACAAAGTAGTTGGGAAGGCGTTTACGAATCCGATACATCTTTAGACCAAGTGAAAATTCGATTTTTGTTGATTTTGAGTAGTTTTAAGATTGAAATAGGTCGAGCTAAAATTTCTTGCGGGGAGCACCAGCTGTCACACACGACAGAAACTGTAATGGTGGTCACTTTCTCAATGAGTGTCTCATGGTAATGTGACTCCTAATAGTCTTATTGACCCAACTAATGGCATTGGTTCTTCCTCTGCCCCCACCTAACCTCTAACTGTATTTATTGCTCACCCAATTTAATGTTCAAAAATTAAATAGCCTCACTACGAATCTTTACAATCTCTAAAGTCTAAACCCCACTCTTATTGTTTGCAATTCGATGTCTCTTTACTGCTTTCTTTTCTTTATAAATAACATCCTTTCTTATTGCTTAAAACTACTTGTAAAATATTATGTACACAGAGACACACACACGCTAAGCGTGAGTACATGGAGATAGCTACTTTTGAATTGCGTGTGTGAATGGCCAAAAAGGCAAAAAAAAAAACTTCTGTTTTTTGTTGAGCCGCAGAGTTTATCTCTGTAGTCACTAATCTCACTCTGTTTTTTTTTTTTCTCTCTCTCTCTCTCCCTCTCTTTGATTCTCCCTCGTTTCTTGCTTTCAATGGAGAACAAGTTCCTCAGTTTCCTCAATTTCCTGTCGCCTTGTCTCTCCAACACGATTTGTGGGTTACTCATATTTTCTTGGCTCGCAAGAAGCATTATCCGTAATGGGTTTAGAACATTAGCATGGAGAAGGGAAGCAAAGAAGAAGAAGAAGAAGAATACAGAAGATGAAAAGAAAATGCCTCTCCTTGATTTGCCTGACTTAACTTTGGATTGCATCTTAGAGAAGCTCTCTCCATCAGAGCTATGTGCTATGACTTGTGTTTGCTCTGAGCTTAGGGATAAATGTGTGAGCGACCATTTTTGGGAGAAGCACATGGAGAAGAAATGGGGAAGATTAATGAGTGATGCAGCGATTCAAGAGTGGAAATCTCATGTCTCCACGTTAATGGGATGTCTCGGGAATTCGAAACGAAGCAGTAGTAGAAGTAACACACAATGGAGGTCGAGGCTTGTAGCGAATCTTAAACCCTTTTCATGGTTAAGTAGAAACCATGGCTGTGAGAAAAGAGGTTCATCATCATCATCATCGAATCTAGCACCTATTGATTCTGTGATGTATTGGTACTCGAATCTTGAGAATGGCAAGTTTTGGTTTCCTGCTCAGGTCTATAATCGCGAGGTAATGATCGAATCATGAATAAAGGCTTCACCTTTTTGGGACGAAGAACCAATTTCCAGACAAATAGCTTATTGGAGATTGTGGGTATTGATTTTTCATCTTCTTTTGCCAGAACGGACATGTTGGATTCATGATGTCTTGTTACGATGCTAAAGTCAGATACGATTGCAAGACTGATACATTTCAAGCAAGGTAACACAACTGTGACAAAATATTATATTCCATTTCCGAGAAATGTTGAATTTTTTTCAGATTCTGAGATTTTTCAGTGTCTTGCTCTATCAGATACTCGGCGCATGGCCGGCGTGCGGCGGAGGAAAATGTGACGTGGCAGAGGCTGAGACCGTCTCTAATCGACACAGAGTCACGTGATCTCCACGTGTCCGACTGTTTGCAGGGACTCAGACCCGGCGACCATTTCGAGATCCAATGGAGAAGAACCAAAGAGTTCCCTTATGGTCTCTTCCTAAAATTTTCTTCAAAAGTTGTCGATTTGATTCAAAACATTTGTCGCCGAAAATGAGTTTACCTGAAAACGAATTGTTTTTTTTTCCGCCGGCGTAGGTTGGTGGTACGGAATCGTGGGTCATCTGCAAAACTGCGACGGAGAAGATAATTGTCGTTGCAACTCGGACGGTAAAAATTAAGAAATTTATTTGTTTTCCCTAGTAATGAAGGGGAAGGAAAAAAAACTTAAATTTTTGATTTATTATGCAGAAAATGTGGTGATGGAGTTCAGACAATTCAGACCGGAGTCACCGTGGAGAACGACGGTGTTAAACCGGAAGGACCACCGTGAGACGGGAAACGAAGCAAACGGTTTCTACGGCGGAGTAAAGAAATTGGGTACTGAGGAAGAGATTTCTACGTGGAAGGGATTGTGGCCACCGCTAGGACTCTTGGAATAGTTTTATTTTGTTTTTAAACTTGTTTTATTTTTGGGTGAGGAATTTGCTTTAAAAATAGCAAACTCATTTTCATCTTTAAATTCTTATTACGCTAGAGATGTACAAAAATCAAGTTGATTGTAAACAGAAATATGAATTCACACAAACAAACAAAAAACCATGACTTTGGTGTAAAATTGGCAAAAACTTTTTTTACAGAAGTGTGTGTTTAACGCAATTGCTCAAGGGATGTGGAGTTTTTATTAGAGAACATGATAAAAGGGTTTATTTTGTTCAGACTTAAAATCATAGGGGGCAATATAGCATAAAAAGGAAAAATGAAGCTCTTATTTGCAATACTATTTAATTAAGCTTATAGCATATGCTGATAAATTATTTGCAAACGATACGAAAGATTCTGGATTGTTCTCTCTCTCACTCTGCTGATTTGTTTTTTGTTTTGTCGAAAATAAATAAGACTGTATAATTTATATCTGATTGATATTTGAATTCGAGAGGTTACTGAAATTTCCAGGAAAGATCATTCGTAGAAAATACATAGAAGACGACTTCGATCGATCTTCGAATCCAGATTGATTCCGACGAACTCGCTCCACGATTTATTGACTTTGGCCCTTTTCTGTTCATCCGACTAAGATGAACGGAGGTCCTTCTGGTTTCAGTACGTCCCGAAACATCCCTTTCCTCCTTCGCTCGATCAGCTTCTGGGATTTTTGTTTCATCCTGGGTTTTTGATATATGTTGAATTTTGCCAAATCGCAGATAATGCTCCGGTAACGAAAGCATTCGTCATCGCGAGCGCCCTTTTCACTGTGTTCTTCGGGATCCGAGGAGGTCCTTCCAAGCTCGGCTTGTCTTACCAGGTAATTTCTCATTTCAGTGTGCTATTTTTTTGTGTAATCCCCTTACAGTTGTTGGAATTTAAGAACTTGTGGGGTTTACAGGAGAATTAGGATCGGATTCTGGCTCAGATTTGTTCCCTTTCGATATTCTAGAGCTATAGGCTTTTAGTTACCGATTGTTGTGCTGCCTCATTGTGTTATAATTACCAGCTTTGGCACCAGAAAAGATTGCGGGTTACGATTTTGGATTATGCTTACGTTTCCTGTGGTCTTAAAGGCCAAGGTTTTGCTTTATCGGGAGGAAGCAGCTGAATCCAAATAAAAAGCTTCAGTCTTGGCATTATGAGTTTATACAGTCACAGTCAGTGATGGTGAATAATAGATTGTTAAAGCAGATTTAGGCTCCAAATCTTGACCGTGATGTTAGATAGTTCGATAATAGATCGAGTACTTAAGCAAATTTAGGCTCCACATGTTAACCATCATGTGTAAAATAGTTCAATAACTTGCCTCTGGTCATCTAATTGTGTATGCCAGTGACCTCGGACCTAAAAGATGTTTGATTGTTTCAAAGCTTCATGTTTCATTGTCTCTGGAGAGTAATTAAATCTTAAATCTGTTCCTTTTGTGAAGGGCTGGTGTTGCTATGAGAACTTAGATGTTACAGTCGATTTATTTATAAACTTTCCGCCAATCTCATTGCAGGATATTTTTGAGAAGTTCCGGATATGGAAGTTAATCATATCGAATTTTGCATTCTCGTCCACACCAGAATTGCTCTTTGGCTTGTATTTGCTGTACTACTTCCGAGTCTTTGAGAGACAGATTGGTTCAAATAAGTACTCGGTAAGGGATAGTTCAGTTCAATTCTATCTTCATGGTAGATTTATTCGTCATGATTTTTCTCTCCGCTATCCTGGTAACTATAAAGATAACTGCTAATAATTTCTTCAAGATTAAAAAGTTTAATTAGTGCTCATTCTGCAGGTTTTCATCTTGTTCTCTGGGTTTGTGTCACTAACACTACAAATCATTTTATTATCACTGTTCAAAGGTATGTATCTTACAATTTTCAGATAGTCTCTTCAAAATATACACTGTTTTGCTCAGTACTCGTACTTAACGATATGAAATAGGGGCGCTAATGCAGAAAAATGTAAGGGATCATAGTCATTAGTTAGCTTACATTAGCCTTGATACTAGTCTCACCAATCATCAAAGTGCGTAGGGATAAATCGGTGATGATCTTTTATTGGTTTCAAATTCTGTCCTGCTTTTTTCTTCACTCTCAAACTGTTGAAGATATTTTGCAAAATATTCTTATGGCCCATAATTCAAATTATCAAGAGCTGTTTTTCGTCTGTTATTTGATATGACTTTTATACTTTCTGTAAAGCCAACATTTTTGCTTATTTTTGTAGATCCTACGGCAAACCTACTGACATCTGGACCATACGCCCTGATATTTGCTTCCTTTGTACCCTTCTACTTGGACATTCCAGTTTCTAAGAGGTTTAATGTATTTGGTGTACACTTCTCTGATAAATCATTCATCTACCTTGCTGGTGTCCAGGTAAACAATACCATGTTTTTACTTGTACAGTTCTTTTTATACAGTAGAAACCTTTTTCTTAGATTGATAATTTTTCTCGGTTTCCATTTTTGTAGCTTTTACTATCATCTTGGAAAAGATCCATGTTTCCTGGTCTTTGCGGCATAATTGCTGGTTCCTTGTACCGATTGAACATCTTTGGTATCCGCAAGGCAAAGGTTATACCTTTCTGACATTTTCTTACTAACATTATTTATTCCCTCGAATTGGGTTTTTTTTGTCGCTTCTTACTAACACTAGCATTTGTCTAAAACACATCACAGCTTCCGGAGTTCATGGCTTCATTCTTTTCCCGACTTTCTTTGCCATCCTTGAGCAGCCATTCTCAAGCACCAAGAAGGCCATCACCCAACTTAGGTCGCCAGGCAGTGGTAAGTCTTTACCGTTTCCTTTTGTCTATGTTTCCCTACTTTAGCCAACTCTTATTTCAATCTTAAAAACCCATCTTCGTTTGCTGACATGTGATATTTGAGTTTATATAGAGATCTTATCGTGCTCCAATGCCGTCGTCAAGTATAGAGCCATCTGAGGAAGCCATAGCTACTCTAGTATCTATGGGATTTGACCAGAACGCAGCAAGACAGGCCCTTGTACACGCTAGAAATGATGTCAACGCAGCCACCAATATCCTTCTTGAAGCGCACTCTCACTAGACTCAATAGGAAATTTTCAGAAACATTGTTGATTCAAGATGCAGACGCCAGAGGTATTCTTAGGGCCGTGCCTACTGAAGACGTTAAGAACATTCGCCTACGTTAGTCAATTTGTATGTAAAAGTTAGAAATTAAATTTGAAGATATATTAGTATATACGGTTTATGCTAAGTTTCTATATTCCTGAGCTTTGATTACAAAACCAATTCTCCTTTGATAAGAAAACAAAAGATCAAAATTACATTTCTGATGGATGATGAGTTGATTTAGCTGAATACTTGATAATATATCAAAAGTCCTTGTAAAAAAAGCTGGCTTAAAAGACTGTCCTAACCCAAATCATGCCTCTGGTTTCACATTACATACATAGATTTGGCCCACTACCGGCTGTAAAATCATCGGACAAGATTAGGCTTTCTTAACTCCCGAGTAAGTGAAAAAGTGATGAAACTCTTGTCTGAATCATTGTGTAGTCTTTGCTAGCGAGATCATAGATAGTTAGCTTGCTTCGTCTTTGCCTTCATCCATGGTGTAAACTGGTATTTCCCAGTTCTTGCTCTTTTTTTGATCATCTGTTAAAGTGAGATCCGTTTCGTACTCTCTAAATGTTTTGAAGAATGTCTTTTGCACCCATCATTATCAGTCTCTCCACCATGAATAACTGATAGTTGTTCTCGATGATAGGATCCAAAATCTCACTAAAATTCGACGAATAAGCCACTTTGTACCTGCAGTGTAACAAAAAGAGTCTTAAGCTTCTTACAAGAACACCTAAATATGTAAACTTGAATCTGGACCTCGTGATTTTACCTGATAGAGAGAGGGGAGAAGAATCCAGAGGTTCTCTCATTAGAACCGATGAAAAGAGTCCGTCCTGGTGGGATCTGCTTCTGTATCCTGCCCATGATAAACTCTGGACGTGTGTCTCTGTCTAAATGTGGAAACTGACTCCTTTCAACATGAAACCTGTCTTTTCTTGTTTTCAATTTGTCTCCACGACGAACATGGATTGCATCGTAATCACCGAGCTGTGCTTTTATCTGCTCAACCAAAACTTGTTTATAGAAAGCTAAGGCCTCAACTATCTTCTAAAGCTAGATTTCATGGTTGTGTAAAGTTCATTTACCTTTTCTGCAGCATTTCTCAATCTTGATGCTGCCATATTCGGGAGAAATGAATAAGGAAGCATGACGGCGCTGCGATTACTTCGATCCTTGCACTCAACAAACCTACCATGATCCATGAATATATATGATCTGATCAAGCTAACAAGATAAGAAAATGATGCCTGTGAAGAGCAACTTCGTAGTCATATAGTAAAATTTCCTCATCAATGCTTACCATGCCAAGGGACTTGCGGTTCGGTTAATAAGCAAAAGATTTGCAAAGTGGCTAGAGTCATTAAGCTCATGCCTATTGGCTCCATACACATGCGCAATCCCTCGTTTTCCCAGTTTCATACTCGTTGATAGCACAATGTGCCAGGCTTCCGAGTCATCCAAGATCACAGGGATCTTCTCAGAGATGAGGTCAATATCATACAATGAATCCATTGCACAAGAGCTCACTTCCCAACTAGGAACATACAAAGGAGGTAGACATCTCTTGTGTTAAAGTGGGAAACAAAGCAAAAGTAAGTCTTAAGGAACTCTCTCTCTCACCTTTCGTCTGTAGTTTGATTGTTGGATCGATTGAGTATGCCTTTCTTGTTATGTATTGGATTGATGCACATCCGAGAAGGCATTACAAATGTCCTGCAACAAAATTGTCAATTCAGAACAACTCCATCAAGTTTGACAATTTGGTGGAGGAAAAATGCAAATTACCTGTTAAGAAACATGGCTTCTTCAAGTGCGCATCTAAGGCTGGATTCTTGGTGACCCAAACCAGCACAAGTCTCGCAGTTCTTACCAGGACAATCGATTCTGTTCCCCCAATACAAATACTTGTCGGACAAACTGTGATGTCTCTTGCTTCGAGGAGACTTGACGAAATAATCAATCAGAGTTTTCCGATACGGTAAACCCAATTCGCCGGTGGACATCACCGAAGAGAAAATGAGAAGCAATGCGACGGCGAATATACATAACAGAACAAGTCTCTGAGATCCCGGAGTGGATTTTGGCCGATGGGTTTTGCTCAGTGTCGCCATTCAACTGTTGCGGAGTGAAAAAATGGAGGAAGAAGTAAGAAAGGAAGAATCTTTGCGACGGTTAGGTAGAGATTAGATCAGAGATGAGAGATCTGTAAGGGAAGGTCACGTGGGTGTCTCCGGCAAATGTGAGACACAAATCACGTGGTTTGGAACATTGCTCATGATCCAAAGATGTCACTGGAGGATTGTTTTCTCCGGGCGGCCATTGAAACTGTGAGTGCTCGACACGTAAAGTGTAGCTCATAGATCCAAGATTACCTGACAATGAGTCAATGACATGTATAATAACTACACTTTAGCTTCGTCTACTACTGTCGGAGATTTACCGATTACGTCAATCCATTGTGGATTGTTCCTCCTTTTAAACCGAATCTAACCGACAACTTGCCAACTTTCAGGTCATTAATTATTTTCGTTATGTCCATCCATTGTTTATTTACAGTATGCTCATGGGAAGTATGTTCATGGGATACTTTATGCAAACCGAACATTACTAAAGTGTGCTAACTGTAGTTACATCTTTGATAATATAAATTAAGTTTATGCAGAGATTCTTGTTCCGACTTAAGAAAAACCAAAGTTACAGAGATATTGGAATATAGTATATGTCTCATTCTGTACATTCCTCTTCATCTGAAACCCATTCCTTCCCCACCACACAGAAATACACACACTGACATAATTATCGAATCTTTGACTCAAAACCTTTACCCATGATTGAATAGGAAAAAAAAAAAAAAGCTATAAAGAAATGGTAAAAAGAAGAAACCATGATCTACAGCTAGCTGCATCTTTCTTATCTAACAATGTCATTGCTCTCAAGCTTTCTGTAATGTCCGAGAAGACACGCCGTGTAGTAGTCTGACAAAACCCAAGAAACTAAGCTTCCCATCCGAATGTCTTATCCAATCCTGGAGAACAACGTGCACAGGGACTGATGGCCCTAGTCCAAGTTCCTGCCATTATCACATTTCCATTATCAATCAATATGTTTTAGAGTTTCTCTCTTTATGAGTCTCTAGGTGAATAAGAAAAGGGGAAAAATTCATACCGATGCAAGTTCCTCAATCATGATAGGTCTATTCCCGTCTTTCTCAAACAACTCGTAAGCACGACGTGCGTGTTGCTCCCATGTTTCCATTGCTTCGAGCTGATAAACACTTAAGGCTGATGCACAGAACTCTTCAAAGTCTAGTTTCTTGTATTGAAGACAACTTATCTGCATCGCAATAGAGAGATTCTTAGCTCGTTAAACCAATGATATAACTATAGTTCATGTCAATTAGCCTCATTTCTTACCATGTGAACAAAATCTAAGACTCGTGAATCCTTCGTAGCATCTGTTGAGCTCTTTAAGATTGCCTGAGATTTGATTGAAAAGTATATTCAGAATCACAGAAAATCCCAAATGAAAAGGGAAGAGATAGATGGAATCATTGAAACAGAACTCACTGTTTTGTAGTTCTGCATCGAAATATATCCATTTTTGCTTGGCCCCAACAATGTAAATTGCTCCCGCAGATAAGCTAACTGTGGTACAGTCAATGTCTTAGCAAGAGCCTGGAACCATGAAAAAAAAAACAACCATTCATCATCCAGTTTTCATCTATGAAGCTCAACGATCGAATTTGCCATATAGAATATGTCAGCTTCTTAACATCCTCCAACTCACCGCTAAAGCTGATTTTCTCAGTGAAGTAGACATTATGTACACTTTTACAAGCTTGTATATGATCATATCAGATGGTATCTTTAGTTCATGCGAGCCAACTAGCCACGGATGACCTGAGGACAAAAGACGATCGGTTCTTGATATGTTCATAATAAAAGAAATGCAGAACCAGAAAAGAAAAAAACAGGATAACAAAAGATTATACTTACACAAAGCCTGGGCCGCAGTTAGTCTTTTACGGTAATCTTTGTTTAGCAATCTTTTCACAAAATCTACAGCATCAGGTGAAAGGGATGGCCAAGGAGCTTCTTCAAAATTGGGCTCTGCCTTAAGGACAGCTCGAAAGATTCCGGATTCAGTACGGGCCCAAAAGGGTCTACTGCCACAAAGAAGAATATAAGCAATCACTCCAATACTCCACATGTCTGCTTCTGTTCCGTATGTACGGTGTAAAACTTCCGGGGCCACGTAATATGCACTTCCTACAATATCATTCAACCTCTCGTCTGCAGAGATGCAAAAAACACTGTCAAGTTTTCCATTTAACAACGAGATGGGTACAATAAAGAAACATCGGGTCACTGTAAACGTCTCTGACCTGGCTTGACATAATCAGAGAGACCAAAGTCAATTGCTTTTAGAGGAGACGACTCGTCCTTAGTACTGAACAGAAAGTTCTGTGAGATAAAAACAAACAAATAGAAAGAAACATAACCGTCATTATCACTCTACATAAATTAGTGGAATTCATTCTGTGTGTACAAAGACTACTGATAATGGGGCCTAGAAAGTGAAGTGTCACCAATAGCCAAATGATGTATAAGAAAACAATTAGAGAACAATCATCATGGATTATAAAGTACCTCGGGTTTAAGGTCACGGTGAACCACACCTTGTAGATGACAGTAAGCTACTACACTAAGAATCTGAACCATAACTTTTTTAGCATCATCTTCTGAGTATTTGCCACCCCTAATGAGATCAAAGTCAGAAAATTCAATACGTCAACGCACGATTCAGTAGAGACAAGCATTCGAAAGACACAGTCACATGTGATGTGATGTAGGATAAAATTACCTTTGAAGTATTTTGTCCAAGAGTTCACCACCTTTGCATAACCTGATAAACAAGAGATTGAAGTATTTTCATCGCAATCCTGGAAATGGAAGATGATCGACTGAGCTTAAGAAATGATGTATACTTACTCCATCACAATATAAACATTTTCATCATCTTCAAACGCGTCATAGAACTGGACTAAGTTTTTGTGACCAGTCAAAGCCCGCAATATCTTCACTTCTCTACTAACATCCTCAATTGCAATTGCAGTTGTCATCTACAGTCAACAACATATAACAATAAGCAATGAATCAAACGAGTAACGAGCTCAAGAAGATAGCCTGGCTTATCGATATCATCTGAAAACTCTGTTTTTATTCACGCTCAGACCAAATCTACAAACAATATCAAGTGTCCATCCTTCCAAAGTTAAAACACATAGCATCCAGACACATTAGACAGCTGCAGCATCTAAATGCGAATATTTTGGCCAAAAATACAGAGAGACCAGAACAGAGCGCTTAATCATATATCTCCGACAATATTTTGCCAAGATATACTTAAATTAATGCACAATTCTAAACACATGGAAATGTAATTAGAATTCGAATCATGGTCATAAACTTAAGAACAACAAACGAATCAACAAGGGATACAAAATTAAAGTAGAATTAAAGAAGGAACCTTGGATTTGGGAATGACTTTAACAGCAACTTCTTGACCTTTCAAGCTGCCTTTTTTACCTTTTGCAGAGCAAGTATATCCAAAATGACCACGACCCACCTCGCCATCAATCTCGTAGTGTGAAGCGAAATGTTTCGAGAACCCAAAACTCTTATCGAGACCGATCTCGAATTCTTTACCTTCAGGAATCGAGGCCTCGTTGGGCTTCGTTGAGCCGCTGCGACGCGCGAGGAAAGCGCGTATGTGCTTTGCGGGAGATGGAGGCGGGAAAGGTCTCTTGAAGATGCGAAGAGGCGTTGAGCTCACGCTCGAGGATATGGCCGGTGAGGATTTGAATAGGCTAGGTAAAGGGCTCGGGCTGTAAAACGGAAAGCCGGAGGATTTCGCCGGCTGCGAATCCGTCGGAGTTTCATCGACTTCGCCGGAAACTGGGAGGCTATTCCTCGATTGCTGTTCGATGGGTTTTCCATGACAAATCCCCATGAGTTATGAATTGAGGATTTAAAACGAAAGCTTAAAACTTGGTGAAGAAGACTGAAGAATATGGATTCACTCAGAGGAATCAGTTAGTAACGAACGAAGAGCAATATCATGTGGTATAATTTTCCCGGGAAAAATAGTGAGAATAAGTAATTCTAGGAAGAAGAATCGAGGCTCAATCAAAACCTAGAAATCAGAGAGAGGTAAGCAAATTCGATTTCACATGGGAATTGGGAGAGAATTAAGCCGAGATCAGGAGATTAGATGAAGATTGAAGATAAACCCACACGCAAAGAGGAGGAAGAAGAAGAAGAAGAAGAAGAAGAAGAAGAAGAAGAAGAAGAAGAAGAAGAAGGAAAGAAGCGAGTTTTATTCCAATTAGAAGGAAAGTTAATTAAAGACACTTCACGAAGCAAAAGCAAAGTGTTGAGAATGAAAAAAAAAGGAAGACGAAGATGCTTTCGCAGTAGCAACAAGAAAAAAGGAGAAAGTGCATAAAAGAGGAGAGAATCAAAAAGAAAGTAAACTTGATTGATTTCCTTTTTTGTTATTATTATTTTATTTTATTTTGATTGTTGCTTTTTTTTCTTTTTTTCTTGCAAGCTCTTTTGCTAAATGGGATTAATGTGTGATGTTTGGTTGCCGAGAAGTTGTCTTGTGCTGCACCTAGCTATTTTGCAACAAAATTATGATCATAAATTGATATTTCTTAAAATTTGTTGTTAAATTATGGCTGATTAGATCAGATAGTTTTGTGCAATGTTTTAGATGTATTGCATTGATATTATCCCATCAACAAACTTATAGAGAGATAAAATTTAGATAGAGTTTCGTGAGAATAGACAAGTCGATAAAAAGTATTTTGAGAGTATATTGCCAAATATACTATCAAGACTCACGGAAACCTTATCTTTGCACTGCCCAATTTGTAATGCTAAAAATATCAATTAAAGCAATCCAAAAGAGTCCTTGAATCAAGCCAAAATATAGAAATATTACCTCGAAGTTGGCACTTGATAAAAGAAAGCTACCCAAAGAGAGGCCTAATTAGTTTCATTTTAGGCTAGCCAATAGTTACATGCAGTTTGCCAAATCTATTTCACTGTCCACATATATAAACTTTACACCCAAAAATGGGTGAATTCACTATCCACATATCTAATTCTCCATATGCTTGCTAATGAGACAGTTTATTTCTCTCGTTTTTTTTTTTTTGTTCTCAGTTCTGCCATTATCTCATTTAATAGTTTTCTTTGCCTACCAATAACTTCGAAAACAACATCTATAAAATTTATTTGCACGTCAGTGCCCAAACGAACAGATGAATAAAGAATAATTTGGGTTTGGTAATTCAGATATATATACCGATGAATTTCTTATCGTATAAAATAATGATCGTCGTTGGCATAATTTTTTCTTTTTCTTACGGCTGTCGTTGGGATAATTAGTCAGCCGAGTATGAAGTATCATTGTTTTCTTTTGGCTTAAGTTTTTACGTGACCGGGTGTTTTAGAGTACTGTATTTTCTTTTCTGTTAATTAATTGTTAAATAGAGCCTACACTATTTCACAGTGCTTTTAATATTGATGTTAATGTAGTTAGATAAATCACGTATGGACAAACCCCACCTCAATAACGTCTAACATAAAACAATGTTTTAAATCTATATAGAGCATAACTAGACTATCATATTTTGATTTTTTTTTTTTTAAACGATGTGGAGCTACCAAATGGTATTATTAAATATTTTATGGAGTACATTTTCCTATGCAATCAATCGTCATTATTCATATTTCATAAGTAAACTTTTGTGTAATGCGTGAGACAGTGACTATCCATCTCACGTGTTCGTTTGTTACAATTGAGTTAGAAACTCAATTTCCGTAGTTGGAAGGCAAATGATTTGTTTGTTTCTTTCTTTTGAGATGAGTGCCTCGAGTGTTTGTAAAATCAGTGGGATCTCTTGTCAGACTTTTTTTTTTCTTTCTTCTTTTAATTAGAGCACCAATTTAATTAAAAAACATATAAATCTAGGCGAATATTAATACATTGTGTTCATAATTCATAGTTTGGGGACTTGGAATTGAAATAACATATTTAGCTTTTTGGGTTTTTTTTTTTCACTTTTTTGAACCAAAAAACAAGAATTGTTTGGGTTTAGTTACTGGTTTCTTTAAGAGGTCAAGTCAATAATTCAGTAAACATGTACAATACCATTATACCAAGATGGCAAGATTCTAAATATTTTATACATATATATAACTTATAACATGACCGAAGATAGATTTTGAACTTAAATAATAAACTAAAAATAAAAGAAAAAGAAATGCCTTTGAGGTGAGATAGGTAGATAGCCCAAAGAAAGTACAAACCAAAGAGGGCCTAACAAGTAACAGCCATCGTGCTGGGTTGTGTTTTTATTTCTTTTTCTAATTAATCATATACTATTTATAGAAAATCTTACCGAATACAAATGTTATGTTTCTCTATGTCTACAATCTGTCTTAACCGTTGTACATATTTTTATCCAAAGTAGCTTGATACACATTGGCTTGCTTACCTTCTTTAAGCTACCTTCGTCAAGCTCTAAAAATCTCCTTTGTGAATATATGTAGTCGCGACCATGCATTGTTAAGGATTCAAACCTTTAGAATCATTCTCAAATCTTACATCTCCAATGTCAAAATTGTTTAAACATTGCATAGTTGACGAAAAAAGTCGTAGCCTCAGCTTCGAAAGAAGACCTAATTAAGCTCTGGATAAGCCTTCACTCCATACCACTTCACTTTGCCTTTCTCATCTCTCATCACCTAATACTATACCACAAACCCGATTCTCTTCCTTCCATGAAGCACCCATGTTGCATTTCAAACAGTTTGGTTGTGTGTTATTTTTGCAGTGAATTAAACTCCAAATAATAACAAGATATATATCAATAGGGAAAAAGTATAGTAAAAAGAAGAATATCTATATTCCTTGACATCTATTCTCTTCCACTTTTTTCTTTTTCTTTTGCCACCTCTTTTCCTTTCTAAAAATTTTCCTTATATGTCAATTCTAAAATCCCCCTTACGTTTACAAGAGTCGGGCCCGAACACAAAGGATTGAAACACTTGTTCCAGATTTCTCTAATATTTGTAAGAAAAAAAAAACTATCATAAGAAAAATCACTATAACCTAACAGAAGTATTAGTATCATAAATTCTATTACAATAAATATGCACTTATAGATTCACGCAATGTTGACAAAAAAAAAAAAAAGATTCACGCAATATGTTGTATTCCCCGGCAGTTTGGCTAATTTTTTCATATTTGGTACTGTATTTTTTCTTTCAATCTTACAATCTCGTCACGTAAAAATATAGACGTGGTTGAGCATAACGCGAAGCAAAAAAAAATCATTTTTGCAGTCTTCCTTCACCCCATGTTCACTTTCTTTTCTGAAGTGTATTTTATTTTTTATTATGAATTTGGTTCGCAGAATTTCACACATGTACGTATTTTCATGTATTTATTCAGTTTCGGTTGCATTTACAAAGTTTAATTTGAAGGTTCTTTAAAAAATGCTAAGTGTTTATTCAGTTTTGGTCCAGTTCAGTTCAAACTCATGTTCCCGTGAATTGTTTGGAAATTTGTATAAAATCTTATAAAATGATTATTTAAGAATTATGTATGTGATAAAGGAGCTGGTGCCTTTGACGTACGGCATCGTCGGCATAGGCTTTAGAGGAGAGACGTGGTCATGTAACTGAAGTGTTGTGGAATTGTCATGTCGAAGGCACTGTCACTATGGACTGCTCTACTCAAATCTAATTTGGGCCTTTCTCTGATAACCTAAACCGATTTGGTTCCAATCTCAATTTGGACCCCCTCTTCTATCTCTTTAGATGGGCTTGTATCCTCTGTTCTTCTTTTCTTTTTTCCTTTTTATGTTCATTTTAATACGTGCTTAATTACATTGAAGGAGTGTTGATATTGAAAGAAAACAAAAAAGAAACAGTTTGAGTATTTAAGTCGTAAGTCTCGGCTTAAACCCTTAAACTATATTCCCTAAAAAGAACGATTGCATATAATATTATAGATTTTCCTAAAACTATACTTCTGTTAGGTTATAATGATTTTTTTTTTTTTTTATGATAGTCAATAGTACGCTGAGGTTGCTGGTTCATCAGTATTTTAGGTTGTCTAAATTTCCGGTAGAACCCCGAAGTAAGTGAAAAGGTTCCCAAATTTTTTCAGGGTCAATAAACAAGAACACTTGACCAAGAATGACAACAAGAACACATGGAAAAACACATATTTGACATATATAATATGATAACTTATTTGTGAAATGTAAATAAAATAAGTTTTAATATTCAAAAAGGAAATAGGATGGTCAAAATTGTGTGGTGAGATAAGAAAGGGGGGACTCACATGTTCACACGATGAGACACTAACGTGTGAGGTTAATGATTGCTTTTGTCACAATACCCATAAACTTCAAAAGGAATTTTTAAAACTTGAAGGTTTTTCTATTACTTATTGAGTTGAATACAAATATAACTTTAATAATAAGAAATAGTGCGAAAGCTATAAAGATTTCTATAATATATACTTTTTGGTCGAGAGGTTGAGTATAGAGGGGACACCAGCTGCCCCAAAACAATCACGCTCCATGGACAAACTTTCTCCACCTTTTTTTTTTCTCTTCTTCTCTTCGTTTTCTTCAATTTTACTTAAATTAAATTCTCCAAATAATCTGAGAAACAATTATAAAAACAAGCGAGAAAGGGAAAAAGGGAGAGTGATGAGAAGAGTCGGTCCTTTTTGTCTCATAGAGCCAATGGCCCATCAATTTTCCTTCCTTTTGTCAGTCCCCTTTTCTCACGCTTCCTCTTCCTTTAATCCCACATTCTCATCCTTCTTCTTCATATTCCAAATTCACTAATTCATTTAATTATTCACTTCCTTATTTGATTCATAGATATCTCATCCATACGTTCACTCGTTATTGGTGTGTATACATATATCATTGAGGTTGTTCATCTAGAACCATAACTAAAAGAAACATTCACTCGTATAGTGAAAGCATTTCTTAATGTTTCTTGTATATCAGTTACAAATAGTACTTAATCTTAGTGTTTTCGTTAATAGTTGATCAAATCTCAACTGAAAGCAAAACATGTTCGTCACAATCACATGAGTTATATATATTTAAATAAGTACTACACTACTACTATTATATTTGATCCATATATATATACAGACGGAAAGAAAATGAGGCCTGCTTATATTCTAAGGTCTGAACAATGTGGTCAAATGTACACATTTAGAAAGACACGAACAACGAAAGAAAGAGGAGAGATTGGATTCATTGGGGACAAAGGTGACATAAGGGTCACTTTGAAACTCACAGCATACAATCATAGACTTCTATTCACCATACTTATACATTCACATATGACATATATAGTTTATATATGTATCGAAGTCTAGTTTCTTTTGGACTTCACCAATCACATCTGTTACTTAGATTCTTCTACATATCGACAAATATTCCCACAAACTCACAACCCTAGTTCTCACACCAACAGCCCAAGAAAACAATATTAAATAGGGAAAAATATATAACATGAAATATATTCTTATATTTATATTTATCCTTTTTTTTTCTTGAAAAAGAAAAGAAAAATAACACACCAAACCTACATACAACATTTGCTTACACTCCCACGACTTATAACTAAAACCATACAACATATAAAGTCGGAACACTAAAAAAACAAAAGTTTTGGTAATTATAACCAAGTTAATTATGATCATACCCCTATATATTAATCAATTAAAGACTTTTTATAGTGTACTCAAATCTCATCATCTCACACCATTATGATGTGATCCAGCGCACGACGCCGTTTTGACCGTTCTCCTCCACCACCAGAACTACGTTCCATCAACGACTTGCTTGACCTCTCGAGCAGCGACTTGAGAGCGTTCTGTAAGAAATGCACAGACTCAACGCCGTGCATCTCTTTGTCGGCAGCTACAACAAGAACACTTCTTGTCCGGCCACCAATAGTTACCATCTCAGCTCGAAGAGTCTTCATGTGAAGAGACTTAAGTATCTCCATGAGGTCAGGCAATAGATCTGATCTATCGTCACAAGATAGAGATGCTTTGAAGATTATATGACCGTCGTTTGAATAGTCTCCATAGTGTAGAACGCTAATCTCGTCAGTCTCTGAGGGTAAAAGGGTTTGGTCGGAGTCGGAGATCTCTAGGGTTTGTTTCTTAAGTTCTTTGACTCGTTGTACCACTTTGGCGAGCAGTGTGGCTTTATCGGTCTGAAATGGAAACACGAAGTTAAAATTTTAATGTTCATATCATATCAAATCAACTGAGAGAAAAGCTTGAGAACTTTTCCAAAAAGTGATACCATCCCAACGAGATTCACAAAAAGGCCTTGAAGCTTTTCATTTATTTTCCTCATCTTCTAGACTTCTCACTACTTTCAAGTTTTGTATATTCATAATCACTATACATTCATTGAAAAATATATGAACATCGATCTTGGTAAATTTATATACATTTGGAATTATGGATCATCTGTGATAGCCATGTACGCTAGAAACAATAATTAGACAGAAAAAAGGACTCAATAGAAACTAAAAGACTATAACAACATATCATGAAAAAAAAAACTAGAATTTATGAGCTAACACCAAATCGAATGGAAATAAGAAAAAATCTAAAGATGTAAATTTTGTGTTGGAGAAAATGCAAAACCCTAATAGTAACACAGATTTCAAAATTCTCTCTTAAAATTGATAAGATATATACTCGTACGTATATATGTATCTACATATATATGGGGGGATATATACGCCATATATGAAAGACTATTAGTATGTAATAAAATTTATAGTACCTTGGAATTACAAGAGAGTACGTTACGGAGCTTGTTGAGATGAGAATTGATTCTCTCTCTTCTTCTTCGCTCAGCTTCTTTGTGATTCCTCAAAGCAGCAATAGCTCTGTCTTGAGCAATCGTTTCTCCGATGCCGGTGATCGCTAGTGGGTAATAAGATGACGTCGACGAAGACGACCCGCATAAGCTCTGCATAGTCGACATGTAGTCACCGGAAACTCCGCAGAATCCTCCGCCGGAGATATCGTTTCCGGCGAGGAAAGAATACAACATCTGATCTGAGCTCTCTGGTTGCATTTTTGTTTCTTCTTCTTTTGCGCCGCCTTCTTTTGTTTTTAATGGGTTTGTGGAGCTTTCGGTGGGTTCTGTCCTAAAAGATGCATTATATATACATAAAATGAGAGAAGATTAGTGTACAGTTATCTTTATTATTATTAGATGTTAATACTTAAAAGTGGTTTAACGGGAAAATAATAATAATAATGTCTCTTTTTTTTTTGTGAAAATATTACATATTGGTGGGGGAAAAGTTGCCATAGAGTTTTGGAAATTTTGGGAAGAGTCCTTAGTTAGGTCATTGTTTTGGCACCATCATCAGTCCAAAATAGTTCTATGATCGACTAACTGAAATAGATAACAACAGGATTTTGATCTGCATTTCTAAAATCTCTATTCAGAATTTATGAACAACTGATCTTGTATTTTCTATAAAACGTTAATTTGAATATGTAGAGCATACCCTTCTATTATAATACTTTTATAAATCTACATAATTTATATCTCTTTCTCTTTCTATACACATGGTTTTTTTTTTTCAGTGTCATCAGAAAATTTAATTTATGTTATGGTGATATTTCATAGTTCAAATTATACTCTGATTTGTTGAAAATGAAAAATACTTGAGTGCGTGTAAAAAAAGACTACACTGTACACGCTAGTCTCCTTGAAAATTTTACAAATGTGATTACTGATAAGGTGTGTAACCACCAAAAGGAAGCTACGCTATAAATAATGGGCCTAGCTAGTTAAAAAGAAAAAGGGCCCAGATGTAACCCAATTTCAAAGTTTACTAAACGGTGACCACAAAAAATGGCGCAAACAAGACGAAAGTGGGGGAAAGAAACCAGAGCCATGAAGTAGAGCTCTTGAGTCTTGACCTCTGACTTTGAGATGGCAGTTTCTCCAAAAAATCTCCACCTTCCTCCATCTTCTTGCTTCAGCTCCAAGATTCCATCGTATCCACTCTCAGTTGCTGCTTCAACGATTCGAGTCTCCACGAAATTCGGTTCCGTACGAGTCCGTTTCAGCCGACGATCGATCGTCAGATACAACGATCACGCCGGAGAAGATGAGGAGGAGGAAAATTGGAGCTTTGAGGAAGCAGTAACGCTTTTCAACAAGAGAGATTATTATAAAAGCCACGACGCACTTGAGGCTCTTTGGATCAGAGCTGAGGAGCCAACTCGAACCTTATTCCATGGAATTCTTCAATGTGCCGTCGGATTCCACCATCTCTTCAACAACGTAGTGAATTCTCAGTTGTTTTTTTTAATCTCTATCTCTCATTTTTCATCCACAAGTTAACATAAATGCTCGTTTTTTCGATCGTAGAACCATAAAGGAGCGATGATGGAGCTAGGAGAAGGAGTTTGCAAGCTAAGGAAGATGAATTTCGAAGAAGGACCTTTTCACGAGTTCGAGCGAGATGTCTCTGCCGTTCTTGAATTCGTTTATCAAACTCAGCTCGAACTCGCTGCCTGTAAGCCTTTGATTTAGTAAACTGTTATATATATATATATATATACTCAAGGAAGACTAAGAGAATTCAAAAATTGATTGATCAGGTTCAGAAGATATGTGTGTGACGATGGATCAATCGGACAGATCTTATCAACTGTTGGGTGGTTATGCAGCTGGAGAGAGTATATACAGCTTAGAGACTGTGGTCGATTTCAACAATGGAATGTCTGAAACAACTGCTATACTCTTCTCTCCTTCAAGTTCCTCCCCTGAGCCAACACGGGTTAAGCTCCCAACCCTAACCGCAACCGATAAGCATCTTCTTGCTTTTACAGGAGACGAGAGGTTCTAAGGCAATGATCAAAATTGGTTCTTAATTGTAAATCCACGATTCAAAGATAATAGAAGCTGTTTTTTTTTTCAGAAAGCAGATCCTGAACTTATGAAGACAATGAGACATTTAAGTAAATGAATCGTTCGGACAAAAAGAAGTAAACACAAAAGGGATAATAACATTCCTGTCTTTCAATCACCAAAAAAAAAACAAGCCATGAATGAAATTTAGAACAAGCGAGGAACAATCTTTGTTTTTTTTTTTCTTTTTTTTTGGAATTACATAGTAGGAGGTAGTAAAAGGGGAAGATGTTGAGGCTCACTTGGCCATCATAACTTTGACGAACTCCTCATAGTTGATCTGACCATCACCATCAACATCAGCTTCCTTAATCATCTCATCGACTTCTTCATCAGTTAGCTTCTCGCCGAGGTTAGTCATGACGTGTCTCAACTCAGCAGCCGAGATGAAACCGTTCTGGTCTTTGTCGAAGACTCTGAAAGCTTCCTTGAGTTCTTCCTCAGAGTCTGTGTCCTTCATTTTGCGAGCCATTAGGTTCAAGAACTCTGGGAAATCGATGGTGCCGTTACCATCTGCATCCACTTCGTTGATCATGTCCTGAAGCTCAGCTTCTGTCGGGTTTTGACCAAGGGATCGCATCACGGTTCCAAGCTCCTTTGTTGTAATGCAACCTACAAAAGTAATCGAGTTTTGGTGTTTGGTCATTTCAGTAATCTTTTTGAATACGAGTTCATGTGAATCTACACATTTGACAATTCAATCGAAAAATCAAATAGGTCGACGAACACAATATATTCTTAGATTTGGAAAGCGAATAGTCAAATCTATAAATTCAATTTGATTAAGATAGCGAAATCTAAAAGACTCGATGCCAAAGATTACGAAAAATGAAATGGCCACCACTACAGATCAAAAGCCAGCGAATCGAACAGAAACGAAATCAGAAGCATCAGATCAGGATCTAAGACGATATCGAGGAAAGGGAGGAATGAACATACCATCACCATCCTTGTCGAATAAGCTGAAGGCTTCCTTGAACTCAGAGATCTGATCGTCAGTGAGCTGATCCGCCATAGTTTTTTCTGTATTACCTTTCGTAAAACTTACTAAATACCTTTTCTTTTTGGGTTCCTCTCTGTAATGGAGGAAGGAGAGATGAGAGCAAAAAAAAAATACAAAAGAGAAATGAGAGTGATAAGCCGTTCTTCTCGGAGGGTTTTATTTACCCGAATTATTTTTGAAAAATATCGGTTACAGCCTCAAATGAGGCCTTTAATTACGTTGATGCCATCAATTTGAGGTTTAAATTAACCGCCAGGTTGACCGAGAGAGAAGAGATGGATCACACGTTCACGCGGTCTTTACGCGTATCGTTGACTGCCACGTCGGTGCTAGTTCAATTCGTTTAATCTGTTTTTTCTTCTTCTTAATGATACTGCTTTTTCTTCTCAAATAATTTTTTTTTTTATAATGGTGGGAATAGAATTATCAAAAGATTATGAAAGTTTCTTTCGGATGTGGGGTACAAGTGGAGCAATCGCACAACTGTCTAAACTTATTAATTTAAAAGATTTTGCTTATACTAAAATTTAGTAATAAATAGTTTAGAAATATGACAACCTTTTTCTTATATAAGAGGAACTTTTACCCACTTGTGTTTGGATGAAAATTATACAATGAATTTAGACTAAGAAAGGCATTCGAGTCTTGCAAAAGTAAAACGTCACGTAGCCAGTGTAACCTCTTGCTTCGCAAACAGGCCTAGCCATGACAATTGGAGTGAAAGTGGCAATGGTACAAGAGCTGTCCTGTGATACGGTGTCGTCTTCATATGAACGGTGTCTTTTCTTGCAAGGTCTCAGTTCTACATCGTCATCGTCGTGGCTCCTACAAAGTCTACAATCTATTCTCACTTCTTTCAATTCCTATGTTCTGAGGGACAATTACCTCCAACGTCCTCATCTCTGCAAAACTCAACACATCCCAAAGCAAAAACTCAACACATCACAAAGCAAAAACTTGGAAAGACTTGCTTTTGACAATTGATTAGCACACATATGCTCCCTTGACTTCTTGTTTAAACGAAAATAATGCACTTTAAAGAAACGAATAGAACAGTAAAGTGGATGAAGCTAACTTTACATATGAAATCTGATCTGAGAGTAACGCACGCGTGTACCAGTTGCATGCAGGAGGAGTAGACATGACCAGTTGGAGACATGGCTCGAGCAAGTGCAGTTGACAGCGAACCACTTCGGCACTTCCTGTGCCCAACTCAAAAACAACTAACAACACAGCCAGGCACGATCTCAAGGTTCATTACCACAAGCCTAATCCACAGTGTAAAGAATCTGAGTGCTGTGACTTAAAACCATCACAGCCTTTTCCTAATGCAATTCCCAGTTTACCAATAATCGGCGCAAGAACACTTCCCGTTAATGAAATGATGGAATCTACTACCATCTCTTAACGTGATCTCTCGGTTTTTAATCAAAGATATATACTTGAAAGCAACATGGCAATCGCTGCAAACCCGCAAGTTCTTGATTATTCTAATGGGTACACCTTCGGGTAATATCATGAGCGCAAATGCAACCGCTAGCTTTTCGCTGTGCTGCGCCAAGTCTGATTCTTTCTCCTCCTCATCCATATCATGCAGCACTGAAGCTGTATCAGGCTTGTATCCCTTCAACTTCATCTCCAAAGTCAGCTCTTTCAGATATGAATAGATCTCTTTTGATTTAGATTGAGAACGATCTCCCATCTTAAACTGATGCAATTCACCTTTGTGTTCAAACCAGCTGATTCCCGGTTCTTTCTTCACATTCTTATCTCTCATTGATCTTCTCACCTCTGAGACATCGTTCCATCTCTTAGCCGAGGCGTGAACGTTTGCAAGCAGGACGTAACAAGTAGAGTCATTAGGGTCAATCTGAAGAATTTCTTTAAAGGCTCTCTGTGCCACTTCTGCGTTTTTGTGTATGTTACAAGCAGACAACAATGTTTTCCATAAGACGGTGTCTGGTTTTATTGGCATAGACCTTATTTTGGCCTCGGCTTGATCCAAACTTCCTGCTCGACCGAGCAAGTCCACCACACAAGTGTAGTGCTTTAAACCTGGCTTGAATCCATATTTTTCCACCATCATGTCAAACAACTCGAGCCCTTTGTCTTTTAAACCAGAATGGCTGCACGCGTAAAGCAGATTTAGAAACGCAACCTCGTTTATCTCCATATCGGTTTTCTCTACCATAGTATCAAACAGCTTGACTGCCTCACCGCCTTGTCCATGAAACCCATAAGCAGAAATCATCGAGCTCCACATCACTTCATCTTCATCTTCACGTTCCGAGAAAGCTTTAGCTGCATCTTCAAGACAGCCACATTTTGAATACATGCTGATCAATGAACTAACCACAGCTACTACAGAGCTAGCCCCGATCTTAATAGCTTCCGCATGAATCTGCTGACCTTGACCTCTTATTGCTAAATCAGAACAAGAACTGAGCACAGTTACAAAAGTGATTTGATTCGGCCTAAAACCTTCGATTTTCATCTTCTTATACTGAAAAAGCACGATTTCAGGACATCCGTTTTGAGCGTTCCCGGCGATGAGTATATTCCACGCAACCAGATTACGAACAGGCATTAATCTAATGACATTTTCGCCATCCTGCAATATCCCACTTCTCATATACATATGAGCTACCGAATTGTTAACTACTGAATCTAACTCAAGCCCATACTTGATCGTGTAGCCATGAATCTGCTGCCCTATGGACAGCGATCGCAACCCAGCACATCCGCTAAAAACACTACCAAGTGTGTATTCGTCAGGCGAAAACCCCAACGCGTGCATATCTCTAAACAGACTCAAACCCTCTTCGTTGTGCTCAAACTGGATCAATCCAGAGATCATTGCATTCCAAGTTGTGAGCTTTTTATCAGTCATTTCGCCGAACACCTTCAGGGCACTTGTCAGATCACCGGCACAGACATACCCGTTGATTAGTATGTTAGATGACATGAAATTCTTCTTAGGCATGAGCCTATACAATGCGACGGCGGAAGGAAAATCCTTGAGCTTGGAGTACATGCTCATGAGGTGGTTGCATATGAACTTGTCGGAAGAGAATCCGGAGACGACGAGGAGGCAATGGAGCTGCTTCCCAGAGGGGAGAGATTTTGTGGTGGCGCATGATTTGATGAAGTGGGTGAAGAGAGAAGTGTCTGTGAAAATGTTGAATCGGAATCTCTGGAAAGCTTCTCGGAGGTTTCCCTTTGAGCACAAACTGGCTATGGCGGACGCAGGATCTGCTGATAGTGAGCGAACAACGGAGGAAGCTTGGTATAGCATCAGAGAACAAAAACTGGAAAGAGACGAACGATATCACTATTGAAAAGCCGGGGATTTCACCGGAAAAAGGAAAACGAAAAGGAAGCGAGAGTTTTCTCTCTTTGTGTGCTCGATTTGGTTGGGCCGTAATCAAAAGCCCGATACTTTATTTGGAGAAACAGCTCAAAACGTGTGACACAAAGTTTCATTCTTTTCTTAAAGGTAATGTTGTTGAATTCATACATGAACTAGTGTTTATACTCAAAAGTTTGAAGCTGTGCTCAACAAATCGGAATTCATACATGAACTAGTGTTTATACTCAAAAGTTTGAAGCTGTGCTCAACAAATCGGAGGCTTTTTAAAGGTAATCGGAGTCTTATTTATAGTGCAGCTCCCCCTTCTCAATTATCCAGGTTTGTCGATGTGGGACAAACCAAAAGACCAACTTTTAAAAAAATTGTCATGGGTATTTAGTGTTTTGATGCAAAAGGAAATGTAACAACTTAAGACACTGTTCCGAGTCGATAAAGTCTAGAGAATATACAAAGAACAAAGCTGTCTCTCTCTCTCTCTAATATGAACCAACACAAAGAAGAAGAAGAAAGAACAAGAAAGAAAGAAAGAAAGAAAAAGAGTCTTTTAAGATCAGAAACATGCAGAGCTTGTTCGCCGGAGCTTCCACTTGGGATCCGGTGGTGGTTCATTTGGCAGGATCTTCTCCACCTCCTGCCATTAATTCAAACATTCAAACCGCTGAACCAAATTACCATAAAAATGAAATAAGATGGAAACAAGAAGAGATGGGATTTTTACCTTTAACCTCCGAAGTTTTTCGTTTTCTTCTTCTAAGCTTGAAACCTTGATCTCTAATTCATGAGTATAAGCCTGCTCATCACAAATGTATCAATTTATTAGACCAAGTAACAAAAACAAACACTAAAAAAACAACATAAAGTTTGTTATTTTTGTTTTCTTTCTTCTTCATTCTTAACCTGTTTCCTAGCACGTGAACGTGCTGCAGATTCTCTGTTCTTGATCATCCTCTTCTGCCTCCTCTCTACAGTCTTCTCCACAAACTCTCCTCCTGATGAAGCCACTCTTTTCCTCCCATGCGCTTGTTGTGTATCAGATAATCCACCCATCATCAAAGAGGTTGGAGACACCATTTCTTGCATCTCACAAACCGGATATGGCATGAACCCTTGATGGTGATGCTGATGCTGAGGCTGATGATACTGAACCCATTGCCCATTTGAAGCTATGCTAACAACATTTTGGGGGACTAATGTCTCAGTCACTACACCAGCTTTCAACAACAAGTCCTCAAGAGTGATTTCACCGAGTGTAGGCTGCTTGTTATTACTATCCCTCCTCTCACCATGACTGCTTCCGTTATTGTCCTGTTGAATGTCTCTCCAAACCTCATCAACTGTCTTTTTGCTGAGATCTCGAGGCAGCGTCAAGCTTCCTTGACGAGAAATCCCTTCCTCTGTTGCTTCTGGTGGCTGATTAGCTTCAGCAGACCAGACACTCTTGAGAAGTTCATCAAGGTTCATGCTTCCCAGTGGTTTTGCGGAACTTCCTAAGTGGTTTTGAACCTCATGGAGCTTTAAGCTATATAGAGAATTCTGTCTAGGTAATGACTGAGAGATAGGCTCTTCAACGTTTCCTCTAAGAGAACCCATTATAAAACCTTTGAAAGAGAAACAAAACAATGTCTGTCTGATATGCAAATTAGAAACCCTGGTCGATTCTAAACACCTAAAGATCCAGAATTTCTAATAATCAAAGGCATCACTGCGAGGAGAACAGTCTGGGAGAATCAAGATGAGCTGCATGCAGAATTCGAGGGCTCAAAACACCGATATAAGTAAACCTGCAAATCCGAAATTAGAAGAAAATGTGAGAAAGGAGAGGAGATTGTGAAGAAGGGAACAAAAGTTGTTCAGGTGGCTTCAATTTTCAATATTTGGAGATTAAAGAAAGAAGAAGAAAGAAAGGAACTTCGGATTCTCTAAGACTTGAGACTGAGCAAACCTTGGATAAGTGTAGGAGAGAGATCAGAAAACCAAACATGCATTCTCTTCTCTTCCTGTCTCTCTCCTTAGTTTACCCACGGGAGAGAAAGAACAGAGAGATACAGAGAGAGAGAAAAAAAAAGAGCCTTTTTGAGTCTATGACAAAAGAAACAGTTACACACTCGAACTTGAAACTGTGCCTAAATGAATTTTTCAATTAAAAGCTACTTTTTTAGATTACAAAAATAAAAATAAGCTGCAATAGTCTCCGTACGAATTAAATTTAATTCCCTACGAATAAACCTTGTATTCGCATCTAATAAATAAACCTCGTATTTACTTCTAACAAACATATTCAAGATACTGTACTTATTATATAGTCACTTTACTTGATCTCTGTTTTTTTCTTTTTTCTTTTAAAGAAATCCCATTATCCTCTTCAAAAAAGACTTTGTCTTGCTCGAACCTTAGCTTCCCAAAATGCACTTCTTTATTAGAACAAATAAATAAAAATAATAATAAGTGAGGCTGGAAACAAACCGAGAAGGTGTTTGAAATATATAAAAATAAAGAAAGGGAAATAAAAAACAACCTTATTATTGTCCCTTTATGATAAAGATTCGTTGTATGGTAAAAACTAAAAAGAGTAAAAGGAGAAAGAGGGGACAAAGAGAGGAAGGGACCACATGGGTGAAGAGAATCCAGTTTGCATGAAGATCCGCGTGTGCTTCCTCTTTGGGATGTTCTCCCACGTGTTCCTGCTTCCCTTTCTTTCTTCCTCTAAAGCTCCAAATTACATCCAAATACATTCTCTTATCAAAAATATTTATCTAGTACAGACCAAAGATACGGAGAGAGTCTACTCCTTTTGGTAATTTTGATTCCTTATATGATGACTATTGAATCCTGTGTAGCCGTTTCATCCTGTCACATAGAGAACAAGAACACACACACACACATACTATCTTCTTGCAGCTATACATACAGGTCTCATAAGAATCATGTGTTAAATAAGCTTCACTTTTAGTTCAATGCAATTTTGACCAAGTGGCCTACAGAACAACTAGGGAGAGAAACACTGCCGTTATCATGATCTCTTCTTAACATTAGTGAACTAGCCGTAGATAGCACGTGATTCAACAGACCAATACACAACGAAGCAGTTCAAAGCCCGGATGCATTTGTGTATAATGAAAGACACATGTCGAATGCAATTTCACCATCACACAATGGTTCTAGATAATATGCCAATGTTTACTTACTAACAACGGCTTTAGTTACCTATTAATTGGAAAGACATTCCAGACCTCCCATGATTCAACAAAAACACATAAATAGTCTACATATTCTTACTTGCCTAGCGAACACAACTCTAAGGACTCCCAAATAAACGCTGCTTTCAAAACAAGCCCAAAACTTGAAAGATGCAAACCAAGACTTGTTCAAACTTTTAGTAGAGAGCCAAACCAAGTTGATATCTTTTTTTCTCCGGTTCAGGCAGACACCTAATAAACCTAAACAAGAAAACAACTTTTGCTTAAATTCTTAGCTATACAACCACTAATTCATATGTTCACCACTTTTATCTCTGTCAGTAAAAATAGCAGATATACTGAAACTGAAGTTAAAATTCTGGTCAGTGAATTGGGATTTGTTAAAGGTTTACTCCGTCAGATGTTGTTGAGCGTTAAGTGTTGAACGGTTAAGCCAGCAGTCAAAATTACCTGCGTAAGGAATAAGGATTAAGCAAATAAAACATGTGGAAATCAAGATAATACGTAATTTTTACATTCATTTGCAGGGTAACTGAGTATGCCCAAAATACTAAGAAATTTAAGTTCAGGGGATCAAAAAACTACAAAACCACGAAACACAAAGAGAACCAATAAAAACTAAAGAGTCTGATTAAACGAATAAAAGAAAATACGAATCTAAAACCAGCGAAAGCATTTGTGTACAAATGAGAAATACTGTTTAACTTTTACAAATGAAATCGTTCACAAAAAAAAATTAAAACAGAGACGATAAAAGTAAAATCAGAGTAGTTTAGTTGGATTTGGAATATCATAAAAAGAGTAGGGAAAGTAAGTAGGGGAAAACTAAAACTTCTTGAAAGGATTGAAGAGTCAAGGCCTTTGAAGAAACGAAAGAAAAACATTTCATCCGGAAAATAGCATCAGCTCCTTAATAACTTCAGAAGATTCACCACGCCAATATTAAAAATACTGTTTTTGGAATATCTGCAAAATGAATTGAGAAAATAAGACAAGACTCTCGCGATATAAACTGGTGCAAACCGAACACTCTTAAGAAAACAACAAAGTCATGATTCTATGACACCAAATTTGCAAAAGCTTAGCTGACAAACATTAACTAAAAGTTAACTGAATAAAAACGGTGATCTTGCAATGCAAATTCTTTTAACAAAATGACCATGTCTTTACGTATACAAGGGTCATAATCATAATCATATACTCATAGAGCTCGAGGTAAAAGTCAGACACAGAACATCAATGAAACAAGTGAAAAGAAGCTGCAGGTTGTATACCTGAGTAGTTACATCTATTGGCCCATGTACGGACCACCATACCATACACCATGCTGCTCTCTTCCAGCACCTCCCTGACCAGGTTGCTGAGTCTGATAACCGCCCTGAAAACCGGCTTGGAAACCATACCCAGGAAAGACTCCTGGTGTGATATTTGCTTGAGCACCATATCCACTTGGCAATCCAGCTGCAGCTCCTGGACTAGCTGTCCCCAACAAAGCCTGTCCAAATCCAGCACCCTGAGATGCCAGCAAAGCTGTGATAATGGCCGGGTTTAACCCCTGCGCAGCTTGGTTATTACCAGCTATGAAATGTCCATGGCCTGCAGGTGCACCATAACCGGAGTTTTCGTTCCTTTGGTAGCGTGAATCGTGATTGTGAGACTTGTAGTAATGCTGATTCTGCTTATTAACCGGCTTTGGCCCGTCGTTTGCTTTGTGGCAATGCAAGACGTGGCCTTCGAAGGTCTTGTGTGGCTCCTCCAATGCCTTCTTAGCGCTTTCAGGTGACTTATATACAAACAAAGTGAAGCCTTTTGGTCTCCCAGTAGCTTTATCAAGCCCCAAAGGACCTTCTTCAATCTCTCCGAATCTCGAGAAAAACTCCAGCAGTTTTTGCGGATCGAGGTCTGCGCTAACGTTACTGACATAAATCTTCCTCTGGACATGCTCGGGGCTGAAATGCTGAACAGGCGCCGCGACGGAGTTTCCTTGGACAGGTCCTATAGACGCCAGCTGGCACGCCGTCATACGTGTTCCGATCTTCTTCTGCGGCTGCTTGAGAGCGTTGCGAGCACCGGAACGTGACTTGAAGAGGATAAAGCCGTAACCTTTGGATTGCCCAGAGACCTTATCGACGACGGATTTGCAGTCTTCGATCTCACCGTACTGCTTAAAAGCTTCGATAAGCGCGTCGGCTTTAGTATCCCAACCTAGCCCGTGCACGAAGATTTTACGATGAACAGGATCCTCGTCCGCCACAATCCGGATTCGATCGGCGACATCGCGATGTCTCTCCGCCGCTTCCTTGAGAAGAATCGAGAGTTGCTCCTTCGAAAATGGCTCCAAGAGATCCTCGATTGGCTCTTCGTCATCCTTATCCCCTTGATTCCCAGATACTGACGACGTCGCCGCCGCTTCCGTATGATCACTTGCCGTATTATTATTGTCTCCATTGTCTTTAGCTTCCTCTACTCCGTCGTGTTCAATTTCTTCATCTCCGTTAATCTGATCCTCTTCTTTAGATTGCTGCTGCTTCTGCGGCGGCTCTGAAGCCTCGTTGGAGTCAGATTCGAGCTTTCTCTTCCTTGCCATGGCAGTTTACTTCTTCTTCTCAAAGATTGAACGCTGCGGCTTGAATTGAAAAGCTCAAGGATTGGCCGAAGTGGGTATTATTTCTTTGTCTTCAAGAAAGAAAACAAAAATAATAATAATCGGAGAACTTTGGGCCTTAAATAATCAGGTAACATTTGTGGACTTTTGAAGTCTATATAAAGTGAAAATCGCATGTGACTATCACCTTGGAAGAACTGAACCGGACCGGTTCTTGAATCAATTAGATATGTAAAGACAGTGATATTTCTGAGTGCGCAATTGCCTCTAATGCTTCCAAACCGATCCAACGCAAGATCAGAGGGTACGACATTTTTAAAGGATCAAACGTTCATGTAAACGTTTGGGCAGTGGTTAGAGACCTGGCCGTGTGGAAAAATCCATTGGAGTTTAGACTAGAGAAGTTCTTGGAAGAAGACGTTGACATGAAATGTCAATGATTTTAGGCTGCTTCCGTTTGGAGCAAGAAGACGGGTTTGTCCCGGTGCACAACTTGGTATCAATTTTGGTGACTTTCATGATGAGTCATTTGCTTCACCATTTCGTTTGGACACTTCCTCAATAGACTAAACCGGAGGAGATTGACATGTCTGAGAAATGAGAACTCTGGACTTGTTACTTACATGTGCACCCCTGTTCACCCCGTTGCCATGCCTCGCTTGCCTTCGGATCTGTAAATGCCTCTCTGATCTACCTTCTGCTTATGCTCTTAAATGTAAACGGAGCTATATATTGGTTACAATTTAAAGTTCGAGTCTTATTAACTTCACTAAGCTAGATAACAGTGGTTATTTGAATTTTATATTCCAACTTAACTTACAATAGTGGCTGTTTTAAAGGTCATTTGATGTTGACGATATATCATAAATTCTTTTTTAAAAAAAAAGAATTTTTAATTGTCTATAGTCTAGACATGATTACATAATTTTTAATTGTATCAACAAGTCAAACAAAGTCAAAAAGTAGTGGTCAAGTTTCCAAAGTAGATGAAGCTCTCACTCTCATCCATAAACCGCAAGTCAGCATAGCACTCTTTGTCAAACCAAAAGTGTAGTACTCCTTTGATTTCGACCTTTCTCAAGTCATTGCTTTGCAAATCGTAACACAGAATGTAGAATCGAGAACACATCTCATAGGGTGCCAAGATTACCTTGCTGTCTGGAGTTGTGCCTTTGACAACCACTTCAGTGTCTTGGACTAAATGCATTTGACAAGGCTGCAAAGACAGAGTCTGGTTCAACCATTCCTTTTCCTTAACGTCTTCCAATACCCACAAGGTCGCCACACCCCCGTCTTTGAGGTAGCTATGCTCGAAAATAGCTATTTTCCCACCATATTCTATAAGATTTTCCTTCCACTCTATTCCAGGCACAGCCACATTATGATTTGATGACAAGACATCCTCAGGTACTAGGATGGTAGTCAACTCTTCTCTTGTTCGATGGACGATGAGAGGATGATGATGATGCACCAACCATTGATGCAATCGATTCTGTTTCTTCTTCCTCTGTTTCTTCTTCCTATTCTTCGGTTTCATCTTCTTGGGGTTTTTTAAATGTCCTCAGAGGACATAGAGTCAGTGTGAGGAACATCTAACGTTACTGCTCGTCTTAACGCGGCTCTATACTCCAAATTGTGCTCTCTGGCTAATGATTCTTGTCTCTCCATCCTTTGCTTCTCCGGGATCTCCATCGTCTTCTCTTTCTCCAGCATTAGTGGAGAAATGCAAAGCATTAACAACCGGTAAGGATTTAACGTCAAAGGAGGTCGGTGAAAAACTTACGTTCAGAGCTTCTTGTTCGATCCAGATGATGGCGTGTTCTGAAGTTGCATTGCAAGAAAGAACAATGTATTCGGACCTTCCGTCTACTGGCACTGCTGTCTTCACATCCGGAGGATATCTTCCTAATCTGCAAGAAACAGTTACTAAATAGGTTCAAACTTCACTACATATTTAGCTCATCACATGATCAATCGCAGAGCAAAAGAAATGTGATGTATCTTGAATATAATTTCATAAGACATATGAGATTGCAAACTAAGAAACATAGGGTCCTTTAATGTAGCGTGTAGAATTTTTAGGCTTGGAATGGTTGTTGGGACGATGCACAAGTTTTGGTTTGCAAGAAGGATTCTCTAATCCGTCATTGTTCAGTTTCGATTAGGAGTTTTTCGGTTTTTGTTTAAATTCGCAACGGATTGTTGACCTCGGAAAACAGAACGTTGTAGTCCATAAAAGGATCGCTGTGCTAGTTCATAACAACCATTTCCAGACCCTTTGATTTGTGAAGATTTCTTGTTTCTCACGTTTGGTGAATGGTGAATGGTGAATGGTGAATGGTGTGTGTGTGTGTGTATGTGTGTGTGTGTGTGTGTGTGTGTGTCTGTGTGTGTGTGTGTGTGCAGGATATGATCACGGCGGGGATGGACACGTCGGCGATAACAGCTGAATGGGCCATGGCGGAAATGATAAAGAATCCAAGTGCAACAAAAGGTGCAAGAAGAATTCGACCGTGTGGTTGGACTTGACCGGGTCTTAACCGAGCAAGATTTCTCACGCTTACCATACCTCCAATGCGTGGTGAAAGAATCATTCAGGCTGCACCCTCCTACGCCTCTAATGCTTCCTCACCGATCCAACGCAAGATCAGAGGGAATTACATTCCCAAAGGATCAAACGTTCATGTAAACGTTTGGGCGGTGGCTAGAGACCCGGCCGTGTGGAAAAATCCATTGGAGTTTAGACCAGAGAGGTTCTTGGAAGAAAACGTTGACATGAAAGGTCATGATTTTAGGCTGCTTTCGTTTGGAGCAAGAAGACAGGCTTGTCCCGGTGCACACCTTGGTATCAATTTGGTGACTTCCATGATGAATCATTTGCTTCACCATTTCGTTTGGACACCTCCTCAAGAGGCTAAACCGGAGAAGATTGACATGTCTGAGAACCCTGGACTTGTTACTTACATGCGCACCCCTGTTCACGCCGTTGCCACGCTTCACTTGCCTTCTGATCTGTAAATGCCTCTCTGATCTACCTTCTGCTTATGCTCTTAAATGTAAACGGAGCTATATATTGGTTACAATTTAAAGTTCGAGTCTTATTAACTTCAGTAAGCTAGATAATAGTGGTTAAATGAATTTTATATTCCAACTTAACTTACAATATTGGCTGTTTTAAAGGTCATTTGATGTTGACGATGTATCATAAATTCTTTTGAAAAAAAAAAGAAAGATTTTTTTAATTATCTATAGTCTAGACATTTTTTTTTTTTGGTAAAAATGTTAAGATTTTATACCATTTTCTGAGTTACATTTGAAAAGGAAAATACAGCTTATTCTAATCGCCTATTACATAGAGGTAATCCCTTATGGATTCCTAGTGGAGAGGATTCAAAAATGATGCTAAGTAATTAAATTAATACAACCAAAGTAAAATTCAAGGAGAGAGGGAGAGTTTGGGTCTTGAGCGGGAAAAGATAGGAGGCGATCGCGAATCATACGGTCGACATTTGTGAAGATCCGAGAATTCCTCTCCTTCCAAACAAGATAGATAACTGCTTGGAGGAGTAGCCTGATGATGGTCGATGCTGCGGATGAATCTGGTTGGCGCGGTTGAAGGTAGAGCTGTCAATTGGGCGGGCAACCCATGGGCTGTCCATGTCCAATACATTTTGGACCGGTCACGGACAAGCCCATTTTTAAACGGGTCTATTCCGATCACAACAGTGGCGTCTGAATCAACGTTTAGCATAGGAAGTCGAGTCCTCAACAAGTACAGAAGTTGCCTTCTACCTAGAAATGTTCAAGCGTTGATATGTGCAAGGAATTGGTTTCGTGGATTTGAAGAATTTGGTAAGAATTTCACATTTTTTTCATATTTTAGGTGATGAGTTCTTACTTAATTATTTTTCAATTTTGTAGGTGATGAGATCGAGTTTGTTGACGAGGAAGTAGAAGAAGCATGATGTGATGGATTTTCTCAAATACATTTGTAGTTTGTGAGCACTAATAATTTGTTATGTTAAAAATACTTTGTAGTTTGTGGGTACTAATTATTTGTTATGTTAAAATTACTTGTGGTTTTGGTTCGTTACTTTATGTTAAAAATATTTAGTAGTTTGTGGGTACTAATTAGTTGTTATGTTAAAATTATTTGTAGTTTTGGTTTGTTACTTTATGTTAAAAGTATTTAGTATATTCAATATTTTAAATTCTTATTTTTTTTTTATAATAAAAACTCAGATATTTTCAACAAATAAATTAAGAAAAACATAGAATTATCATTTTGTAGTAGCTAAAAGATCAAATAATATTTAGAAAATCAAAAGAATTAAATTTATTAATAAGAGAAACAAAAGTCAACATATCAAATAAAAAGTCAACAAAATAATATGGATGGCTCACGGAAAGACCATCTGGACATGGTCTAATTTGGGTGTGGACACTTTTTGGCCCAATGTCCATTACGACTAGTCTAATTATGTCTGCTAAATTAAATGGACATTGTAGACGGACATGGACGGGGCGTGGACGGCCCAATTGACAGCTCTAGTTGAAGGATCCAAGCTGAGATGGATAGCAGATCAAGAGGAGGGTTTTGCCTTACCCTAGAAGCTAGATCTTGGGAAAACATAGTCCTATGGTGAATCGCATCCATGCAATTGGTTCGACCTTGGCTATATCTATAGTGGTGTGATGAAGAATGGTTTTGATTTTGAAACACGATTTGTGAAATGCTAAAAGAAGAAAATGGGGTGTATTTATATTTAATATATTTCCGTGCTTATCCATAATAAGTATAGTAAATTCGAAAGGAAAAGCATAGTAAGAGATATTTGATTATTCGATAGAAAAACGTGATAGTGATGGTGATAGACATAGTCTAAGACTAAGAGTGTGCGAGCGACAGAAAATGAAGTACGTTTGTGCATGGCCAAATCTGATGATGATGATGTATTGATTTTGCTCTTACTAATTTGTTTTTCTCCACCGTATCATCTTCAATATTCAGTTGGAACAATAAATGATATATATATATATATATATATATTTATGTATATAGAAAGTCAAATAAAGAGAAGCTCCTTGGTAATGTATATACAGGCCTATATATATATATATAAAGGAATGACATATATACAGGCCTATATATATATATATGTAAAGGAATGACATTATTACACATTATTATGAAAGGGATGAAGTGTTTTATTTTTTACTTATTATTATCATCTTGTTTTTACCGAAATTAAAGAGTATTTTTTACAACTTTTTCTCCCGATTGAAGGATAAAAAAAAAAACATGTGGGTGTGGTGGGGAATTCGAACCCCCAGGAACGAAACACTAAAACGCTGGGTTTGAACCAACGAGGTAGGTTATTCTCATGTACACATTAGCCGATTTATTTCTAAATAACTATTGTTTTTCTTATTTTCTCTATATAAAGCAAACCCCTTTCTTCTCCGTCACACTAACGTTCATCGAAGGAAGCTGCGATAATGACCAAACGAGGTAAACGCTCTTCCCAGAAGAGGAGGGAGAAGGATGAGTTCATCATCTACCGGGGCAGACTGCGTGTACCCAATCGTAAATCGCGAAAATCCTAGAAATGCCTGAAACGTTTTGTTTTTTTAAAGAAACTTTGTATCTACTCGTAAATCGAATTGGAAAATCAGCGAATCTGTTAAATCTCTGAGATATGTTCTTGTTAATTTTGAATCTGCCATTTATAAACCCCGAATCTGCAAAAATTGTGAATCTGGATGTCTCGGACTTGTTATACGGTGATTTTGTTTGTGTGTTTCTTTTTTCTAAGAAACTTTGATTCTGCTTAGCGACTCTGTTAAAGATATTCTCATACTCATTCTTGCTAATTTTGAACCTGACTTTTATATACACCGAAACTGCAAAACTGTGAATCTTAAGGGATTTTGTGTTGTGTTTTTGTTGAATGCTTGCTTCTCAAATTTTTAGAGAAGTGGAGAGGACTACTTGCTGGGAACTCTGGATTTGGTGCTGGGAGCTCTCGATCTGCTGCTGGTAATTAGACTCTGCTTCTTTCTACTTTTAGTTTAGTGTTTTGGATGTGTACCCTGAAACTGTTGTGATACTGCTTTCTTTCTGTAAATCTAAATCATCTTCTTACTTATTACAGGCTATGTCGAAAGCTCCTCCTCTGGTTCTGAGCCAGAGGAGTACGCTATGGTTGGTATGAGCAAAAGGAATGCAGTGATTCCAGAGGTAAAACGACCCAACCTCGTCAAGATGTCAGAGTGGACAGCGGAACAGTTCCTTCAGTACGACCGGTTCTTGATCCAGAAATGGGAGTATATTGGTTGGGTTGAGAAGGACGCAGGATATGTGGTATGTAATATCACCTTCTCTCCTTCTTTGACTTCCTCTGGTTATGTGGGTATGTGATGATTTTTGGTTTGTCTGCTTCTATCACTCTTGTGCAGAGCATCAAAGACAAAAACTCCGCTGTTGCAAAATATGCTCGAGAGAAGTTCAACAAGCCCTAAGGTATAATTCTTTGACTTGGTTGAGTCATATGTCAAAACAAGACCTGTTTGCCATTTTTTTCGCTTATCTATTCTTGTTCTCCTTGACTAGGTACCTCCTACGTGCCTACGGTATGGTGAGATGAAGTTGGCCTAAATCAAAAAATGTGGCAGAGAAAGAGTAATCTTAGAAAAGATTGAGACTTCCGTTTCAAACTTTGGATTGCTTTTGTGTGTATCTGCTACTTTTTTTTTTTTCTTTTTTTCTTTTCTTGGACTTGTAAGGACCTAAGGATTTGTTTTCTCATTAAAGAGCCCCAAACCATTCCTCACCAATATATTTTTAACTGAAATCATCAATCTTTCATGTACCTTTTTTAATTTATAGGTCATAAAGTTTAGAAGGTCAACGATTGGTTTGTATAATTGATTAAATTGTCAATCTAGGGAAGGGTTAAGGTAATTGCATAAAAGAACCTTCGTTTAAATCTTCAAGCAAATTGATTTTTATTCTTTTCTATAATAATTAATTGAGGATACAGTAGATAAGTGATTAATATGAAATCATTTGAATTACTTTCGAATATTTAGGCTTGGAATGATGCGCAAGTTTTGGTTTGCAGGAAGGATAGTCGAATCTGGTTATTTGTTCAGTTTCCATTAAATTTGTTTAAATCCGCAGTGGATTGTTGACTGCTCGTAAAACAGAACGGTGCAATTTTCATAACAACAATCTAAACCTTTTGATTTGCGTAGATTTCTTGTTGCTCACGTTTGGTGAATGGTGTTCGTGTGCATGATATGATCACGGCCGTGTGGAAAAATCCATTGGAGTTTAGACCAGAGAGATTCTTGGAAGAAGATGTTGACATAAAAGGTCATGATTTTAGGCTGCTTCCGTTTGGAGCAGGAAGTCGGGTTTGTCCCGGTGCACAACTTGGTATCAATTTTGGTGACTTCCATGATGAGCCATTTGCTTCACCATTTTGTTTGGACACCACCTCAAAGGACTAAACCGGAGGAGATTGACATGTCTGAAAACCCTGGACTTATATCTCAAGGATAATCAAAGAAGCCAGCTTATTTCTCATTGAGTTTACAATCTTTGAGACGCCGTTGCAATGTTGTATGGAAACATAACAAAATCAACAGAAAATAAAGCCTATACACAACCAAATTGCAGGAAACAGAACAAGTTTCTTGATTACTACATTAACTTCAGGTTTCGTCTATAACAACACATTACACACACTGGGTCTGAGACCAAGCTATCTCAGACTAATCATTCTCATCGAATATAAAGGAAACATTTGGATTAACAGGGGACTAGTTGATGTAATCAGCCTCCAATTTGAACAAGTGGACTTTCAAGAGGAGTATTCCTTATAAAACTCCTGCAGCTGCTTGAATATCCGTCTGGCTCGTCCAAGTAAGCCAGCTGCTTCTTTCTCTAGATCTCTGACCTTAGATTTTAGCTCTCTCTGTCCTTGATGAGGATGCATTGATTTCTTTCATTCTCCTCTCGGCTGATATATCAGATTCTTATGCCTATCTCGCAAGTTTTCTTCCGTCTCTTCTGCTTCTGCTGCTGGTGAAGCAAATAGAGATTCAAGATCTCTTAGTGTCAGAAACTGTTGACCTTGATTCTTTGTATTCCTGCTGCTGAATGAGCTTACGTTTGTGTTCTTACTTCTGTTCAGCTTGTTGATGCTCTCTTCCACAGTGCCCGTTACCTAGTTTTCCCAAAAAAGAGAGGTCAAGATCAAAGTGAATCACCTAAGGCAAGAACTCGAAGCTGTAACAGACCAAGGTGACATGTAAAAAGCATATACACGAACCAGAAAACGATGAACTAGAGTAGGCTTCTCTTGTACAATCCGGTGAACACGCCCCAACAGCTTGCGCTTCTGCTGCCGGATTTAGAAGTGGCTCCACCAGAATAACATGCTGTGCTTACAGAAGATTAAGACCATTGGCAACCATGCTGCACTAAAAGCAAGAGGACTTGGATCCATTTTGCCTCTTTTTTTATGGGAGTTTGTCTTTTGGTCTTCTTTCTCGGTCCCCTTGAATTTGATAATGCCCGTCTGTGACTTCCAGCATTTCCATGGAATCAACGTTATATAACCTATGCATTACGTAACCTATACAACACTTGCAATGAATTCCCCGATTGAATTTGTCGCTACATTACCTGCCTCCTTTCATCCGGTTGAAAGTGATGCCGTTGGCGGCTAAGGCATGCTCTAACACATCAAGAAACATCGTTCCAGCTGGAGAAAACAAGAACCTTCGATTGTGGGTCACTTAGACGTGATCCATTAGATTCTTCTAGTAACAGCTTCGATCTACCCCCAAAAACAAATAGATGAGAAAAAGTACTTCTTGAGCAGGAATCTTAAAAGCAAGGAAGCTAAGCTTTTGTTCCATATGAACCTTGAACAGCCAGACACAGAACAAGCAATGTGATGCTTTCCTTGAGAAAAGAGGAACCTCTTCATTACCAGGTAACTTTACTAACACTGAAATGACTTTACTAACACTGAAATGACTCTGTTTTTGGTTCCATAGAGCTCCAGGTAAAGTCAGACACAGAACATCAATGAAACAAGTGAAAAGAAGCTGCAGGTTGTATACCTGAGTAGTTACATCTATTGACCCATGTAAGGACCACCATACCATACACCATGCTGCTCTCTTCCAGCACCTCCCTGACCAGGTTGCTGAGTCTGATAACCGCCCTGAAAACCGGCTTGGAAACCGTACCCAGGAAAGACCCCTGGTGTGATATTTGCTTGAGCACCATATCCACTCGGCAATCCAGCAGCTGCAGCTCCTGTGCTAGCTGTCCCCAACAAAGCCTGTCCAAATCCAGCACCCTGAGATGCCAGCAAAGCTGTCATGGCCTGGCCAATGGCCGGGTTTTATGGAATCTTAAAAGCAAGGAAGCTAAGCTTTGTTCCATATGAACCTTGAACAGCGAGTGATGCTTCGTTTTCTTTGTGATCTTGATCTGAAGAAGAACCGTTTTGTCTGTCATCAGCATATGCAACATTTCTAACATCTGTATGCTGCCTGAATATTGGACACATCACCCACTTCTGCACATTTTCATGAATTGATCTGCGCTCGGTCATGGCAAAAAAACCCTACGTGGACGAACACAAAGGAGATATTGTTAACATTCTAAAGTGTGGCTGGGGAGATCAACGAGACAGAAAGAAAAATCAGAGGCACGAGAACAGTGAGTACATATGTGTGCGTGAAATTCCAAATCCTAATTATCAAGTAATCAAAAGATACAGCAAATGCTGTGCCCGCACTGGAAAACCATCTTCTGGTTTCGCAGAGATTTTCATGACGAATTGGGCATACTTCGCTTTGTAAGGTTTTCACCTTCCTGTTCAACAGGATCTAAAGCATTAACTGTTTCCTGGGGCTAATCTCTTTCCACAGTACCAAACAACAGATTGAGCACACTGTGACAGTTAATGAAGGAGAATATGTATGCAATGTTTAAAAATAATTTCGTTGATTCCAAACATTTACAGAAAATATTCCACACTCCTTAATATGTGACTGCGCGAAGCAAAGCATTTCTTTAGTATGAAGGGAAGTAGCTCGTTTTGAGAAACATTTATTTAATTTATTAAACTCAACAGTATCAACAAGTCAAACAAAGTCAAAAAGTAGTGGTCAAGTTTCCAAAGTAGATGAAGCTCTCACTCTCATCCATAAACCTCAAGTCAGCATAGCACTCTTTGTCAAACCAAAAGTGTGGTACTCCTTTGATTTCGACCTTTCTCAAGTCATTGCTTTGCAAATCGTAACACAGAATGTAGAATCGACAACACATCTCATAGGGTGCCAAGATTACCTTGCCGTCTGGAGTTGTGCCTTTGACAACCACTTCAGTGTCTTGGACTAAATGCATTTGACAAGGCTGCAAAGACAGAGTCTGGTTAGACCATTCCTTTTCCTTAACGTCTTCCAATACCCACAAGGTCGCCACACCCCCGTCTTTGAGGTAGCTATGCTCGAAAATAGCTATTTTCCCACCATATTCTATAAGATTTGCCTTCCACTCTATTCCAGGCACAGCCACATTATGATCTGATGACAAGACATCCTCAGGTACTAGGATGGTAGTCAACTCTTCAGTTGTAATGTCGAAACTCACGATTACGCAAGTGTACATATCATGCCACCCAATATAATGTACTACTGATCCACTAAGTGACCGTCCTAGTGCAAAAGGGACATGAGGACGATAATTCTCTGGCGGAACAACCTTTTTCCATGAACCTCCAGCTTCCAGTACGAACACCCAATGCTCTGACTTGAGATTTTTCAAATAGTCTGAGGATATAGCAATTGTGCAGAAAATTTTGTGATGACCACTAACAGGATCGTGTCCGATAGAGTACTTGTTATCATGCTGCCATTGACCTTGTTCAGCTATGATGTCAGATTTGATGGCGGGTAAGGTCAAGCATTGTCCGGTGCTGGGATTATAGATACACGCATTTTTCCTTACTGTAAAACACATCAAGCCGTGGAGGCTGTTCAAGAAGAAGCCTCCCATACCTGAGATGCTCAAATCTTGGTCGACCACAAAACAAGTGTTGTCTGGAGACGTTGATGATATTGAAAGCAGTATACGTTTCCTGCCGCCTTCACCCACCAAACACATGTATAGACGACGTTGTTGTTGTTGTTGTTGTTGTTGTTGTTGTCGTGTGACCGTAAATAAACGGTCACAAAAATAACGACAAGAGATGAGGGATGACCACTGCTTCGAGACGAACTTGAACCTCATCAGGGACTTTAGTGGCAACCTGATAAGAATTTCAATCAGGAGATCCAGAGGAATCATCGTGGACATATCTCTTGCTGTTTCTCTTCTTATTCCTATTCTTCTTCTTCTTCTCTTTTGTTGGTTGACGGCTAGACCGAACAAAAAGCCCATAATCAGGAAATTACAAGCTCCATTTGATCTTCTTTTCCTCAGTTTGTATAATGCTAATGAAGAGTTGTCATCCTTTGCATCCATTATCTTCAAAGAGATGCACAAAAACAGAGAACAATCAGTTAAGAACAAATCAATTGGAAACACTTGTTGGCCTAAAAGTATAACATGAAAGGGAAGTAAAAATTCAATCTTTAGTCAGTATAAAACATAATAACATGAAAGGGAAGTAAAAATTCAATCTTTAGTCAGTATAAAACATAACAACATGAAAGGGAAGTAAAAATTCAATCTTTAATCAGTATAAACATAACAACATGAAAGGGAAGTAAAAATTCAATCTGTAATCAGTATAAACATACAAACTAAGCTAGTCCTTTGAGAGAGAGAAAAAAAATAAAAAATCAGACGATTTCGCTAGGAATTGGCGAGACGATTAAAGGAGTGAAACCCAAAATTAAGTAATCTTTTTTTATCACCTCAATTTGATTGGAACCTCTGTGAGAGACGATCTGTGCAATACTCTGACATTGCTCAAGCTTGAAATCCTTCATTGAAGCCGCTTGTTTCAGATTCCTTCTTCCGCCGTTCATCTCTTTTAACTCTTCAACTCAAAATTCTAAAATATTCCAAAATTTTTAACACCAAGAGAACAGATTAACTCCAGAAATCGAGATTAGGTTTTTGTAGTGCTGCGGTCGAAAGAACCACCAAAATTTGTGTGTATTTACGCAGTTATTATTTCTTGTCTTCAAGAAAGAAGGAAAATAATAATAATCGGAGAACTTTGGGCCTTAAATCATCAGGTCACATTTGTGGACTTTTGAGGCCCATATAAAGTGGAAATCGTATGTAACTCACCTTGGAAGAACTGAACCGGACCGGTTCTTGAATCAATTAGATATGTAAAGGTAGTTATATTTCTGAGTGCGCAATTGCCAATTGGTAGATTGGTGCCAACCGACATGCACAGATGTTTGGGTTGGCTCAACTTTTTTCTTTTCTATAAGTATCCACTATAACTTTCTTAGGTTTGTGGTAATATTACCAATTTTACTTGCTTAGATAATTTTAAATTGATTCGTTTGGATTAATGAGCAGATCAAATGGGTTTAGAGAACATTTCTGCTCATGTGTTTTTTTCTCTTATTTTTAACTATATTCTTGTATGTCATTATTAAGAATCTTTAGACTAGTAGTAACTTTGCCATCCAATTGAAAAAATAAAAAATAAAGAACATTGAAGGACAACTAATAATAAAATGTCACATGTTGTAAAGAAAACCCTACTAAATAGCTTTAACAGAAAATCTTTAAAATACTGTGAAAATAGAGTTTTTGATGGTGAAAACATGTCCACTATCTTATGAAGTAGAGACATTTAAATTGGTTTCCAGTATATATAATGGCCAAACTAATTTCCGATGACGTGACAAAAAGAAAAACACTTTCCAATAACAAACAGAAAAAAGAATTCAAATCCACTATCTTAGAGTCAATAAAATAAATACCAGGGAAAAAGGAAAATAACTTTTGTTTCAGTTTTGGGGTGATTTATCTGTGTGTTTTCCAGAAGAACATAATATCGCCAAAATAAACAAAAAGACAAACGAACCAGCAAAGCTAGCTCTAAACTCTTAAAGGCCTCTCCTTTCAAATCTCCCCCATATTTCTTTCAAGAAAAAACCCGTCGAATCACGGGTTTCATCATCTTCTTTCGGAAAAGGTGAGGACTTTCTTTTTTTGCTGTGTGTAGATGAATGTAAACAATACGTATTTGTTTCTCTCGTAATGTAATGTATCAACGAATCTATATTTCTCTAATCTTTTTTTTTTTTATATCGAAACCGGAAAATTTCAGCTTACGAATAGAATAGATATGTAAACAGTGGTGGCTATGTGAATGTCGAAACCAGATTCTGTGTAACGTTTCTCGATTTTGTTGCTTTAAAAGGGAACAATATTAATTTCATCGTATCTGAATCCTTGGATGATTTGGGTTTTAGGTGAATATTCAGCTTGTGGGGTCTTTGTTTGAATATCTATTAAATACATCATTGACAGAATTAGAAAACAAAAATTCCGTCTAGGATCGCTCTCTCGTATATGAAAACTATTTCCTATTCATCTTCTGAATCTTCTTTCTAGTTTGTACATGAAAAAAAAAAAAAAACCTGTAGTTATAAAGGCGTAAACTTTTCACATTCAGAGACTTGTTTGGTTTTGGGTTTGCACAGGTAAGATGTTCCTCCATAGCAGTTTGAGAGATGGATTATCGTTATCTCTTGGTGTCATCAGTGTTATTAGCTGGGGTGTTGCCGAGATACCTCAGATTATGACTAATTACAGTGAGAAATCCACTGAAGGTCTCTCTATTGCCTTCTTAACAACATGGATGATTGGGTAAGATGATTAACACAAGTCAAAGTGTTTTTTACTTCCTCAGAGTGAGTTTACCTTTAGTTTAATAGGATATTGGCAAAATTTGAAATTGGTTTGTTGTGTAGGGATATCTTCAATCTTCTTGGATGCTTAATGGAACCAGCTACTGTGAGTGAATGAATCTTAAGAACCTTAGTTTCCTTGATCCTATTATTTTGCCTTGAGTAGCTCATCTAACTCTGGATGTCCAAATTTCTGTGCAGCTTCCAACACAATTCTACATGGCACTGGTAATTTCCAAAAGAGTAGAAGCAGCTGTATTTTGACAACGTTTGTTTGCTTCTTTGCTTGATATATGTTTGATTTGTTTTGCAGTTGTATACAGTGACTACATCGATTCTCTATGCTCAGTCTATATATTATGGCCACATCTACCCGCGGTTGAAAAACAGAAGGAATCAGATGGTATACTGTTTGATTAGTATTATTCCTTGTTTAATACTAAAACAGCTTGAGTAATCTATGTTTGTGAGTAGGTTGATGCAGAACGTATATCAAACATAAGCAGTGATGCGAAAATTCCGAGCAGATGGAGGAATAGGTGCTCTGATGCTGCTCCTGGTGGCGATCAAACCACACCTATCACTATGATTCCTGGGAGTCATCGGAGTAGTTTTACCGGAAGAGAACTTTTTTACACGTAATGATGCCATTTAGATTCTCTAGCACAATGAGAAGTTATATTATTAAGCAAGAAATTTGTTAGAACTTTTAGCTTTCGTTTTGCGTTATGTTTTTGTCAGGTCGGCAAGATCTCTGTCGAGCAGTCATACACCACCAGCTGGATCTGTCTTAGCTCAGAGATTGGCTCGTGGTCAAAGCGAACCAACTCTTGAAGAACCCTTGCTTCCCGAGGATGTCACGCCTCCTTCATTGCCTCCTTCCACCAAATCATTGCTATGCGTGGTTAGCCTTGTCCACAATGCCTGCTATTTGGTTTCCCACTTTAAGTGGTTGTATGATTGAACATTTTCTTTGTACTTTCGATTTCTCTCTTATAGGTCTCTCTGTTCCTGTTTCTTGGAACGTTCAACCTTCCTAATCTGCTAAGTGAATCAAGAACTATGGCTTTGGGAGAGAGAGATCGGGTATTTGTGGTTCGAGCAGCAAGAAAGCTTTTACAGGTAACTCTTAGTTTGTGCATTTCGAGTCTAGGGTCTTCCAAAAAATTTATCTGTCAAACGAATTTCTGGTACCCTTTCTGAATCTATAAAAGGACAAAATGTAAATGTAAATTGTGAGTTCTTGTATTTCAGGTCACTAGCGGCAACTTAGCAGAAAATAACGGTGGAGAAAACAGCAAAATTGGAATGTTTTTGGGTTGGGCAATGGCAGCCATTTACTTGGGTGGAAGGCTTCCCCAAATATGTCTCAATGTAAAAAGTCTTTTTTATACTTCTACATCTACTTATATTCTTGATCTATCGTTTATAACAGATATCTTTTGTATGCAGATGAGGAGAGGACATGTTGAGGTAAGCAAGTAGAATGAACACGGTGTATGGCTATACAGTATGCTGTAACAGTGTTGTATCTCATGTTCTTCTTTTGTAATTGCAGGGATTGAATCCATTGATGTTCTTCTTTGCACTAGTTGGCAATATGACTTATGTTGCAAGGTGAAGAATTGATAATCTTTATACTTAAAGAATATCTGATGGAACCTCTAAAACCCTTGTTTCTAACTTCTTGTTTTGGTTGCAGCATACTTGTAAAAAGCGTCGAATGGTTAAAGCTTGCACCGAATCTACCATGGCTTGTTGATGCAGGAGGATGTGTTGTGCTTGATTTTCTTGTATACAATCTCTGTCCCTCTCATCTCCTTCATGATCTTTGATTCCTTTCTTTTTCATTGGGCTCTAACTTGGCTTATTCTTCGTTTCAGATTCTGCTTCAGTTTTTCCACTTCCGTTGTCGTAAAGACAAAGATTCTGACAAGAAGAAGCATGAAACCGCAGAAGCTGTCTAAGGCTTGGCTACTCCAACAACAAGGCCTCGAACAGATACAGTTTTGATCTGATCTGACCAGCTAGATTCATCTCATTCTATTTATTTCTTCTTGCTTTATAAAGGGATCGAGTGTATGAAGAATATTCGTTATGTTTTTTTAATAATAGTTTGATATGTACAAAAGTACATAAAAACATCTAAAGCATAATTCGTTTCTTCTAGTTGGTCGATAACAGAAACATCTAAAACATTACTTAATTACGATAATTGTTGATAAGTTATATTTTAAAAATAATGTGTTTTTTTTTTAAACAGATTCTTCTATTATTGAGGAAACAAAAAAGAGAGGTAAAGTGACGGGGTGTTGATGAAACCAATATAGCTAGATTGTTTTACATGCACAAGAAGTTCGAACAGGAGGTAGAGATAGTGTTGAACCGATTTAGCAATTATATCAATTGCACATGTCACCATGTCACCCATCATTTGGTTGATAAACACTTTTCCAAATATTTTTTATATAATACATAATTGGTTAAACTGATAAACCCATTTTTGAAAGAAAAATAAAAACTGAAAATGGCTGCCAGAGGTAAGAGGAGATCGCAGCAGCTGGAGAAGAAGGTGAAATACAGGGGTGCCTTATGATAGGCAGTAATTTTTATTACTTGTTCTTAATTCTTTTTGGTGTTTGATTTTTTTTAGTATTGATTCTGCGATCAAGAAGTTGTGTAATTCCAATTATTTGTCATTTGTTACTTGAAAACTATTAACTTTTACAGTAGAATTTATTATACTTTATAATTCACATCTATAAATGTAAATATTGAATTGCTTTTGCAGAATAACTAATTTTTTTCTCTATATAAAACAAATTTATTTCTCTTATTCTCCGCCACATTCACATTCATTGGAAGAAGGAAGCTGAGATTTCCACAATGACCAAACGAGGTAAAAGATCATTTCAAAAATGAATGGAGAAAGAGCAGTTCATCAAGTGCAGAGGAGGACCGTCCACCTCTGGAGCTCCGTAGCATTAAAATCAAGAAGCCAACCCACAAAAAGATTGACCAGATATAGGAGTTGAGGTGTCTCGATGTCTCGATGTTACTAAAATGGCTACATGAAGAATATGAAGAGTTTCTATTGAGAAAGTAGGACACGGTGGGTATGATAAAAACAAGTGGAACAAAATTTGTGATATAGTCAATTTTATATGAAAACATCGAACAATTTTACTACATAAAAAAATTAATAAGACATAGAATTTACTTGCAAACTTTAATTTTGTGTAAAAATTGTGCAAGTGACTATTGCTAGAGTGACCAGAAGATGTATGTTTGGTCTGTTGAAAAATATGTTTGATCTGAGCCAGAAGAGTATGCAATGTGTTTGATCTGTTGTTAAAGAATATAAAAAGATAGAGGATATTTGATATCTGATTTGTTTATGTCTTTGTTTTTTCTATTTGGATATATAACAATATCTAATCTGTTTTTTCTGTTTTTGCTTGGATATATGACAATTTCTAATCTATTTTTCTGATTTTGCTTTATCTTATGTGGAGCATTAGAGAGAAAAATTCAAAATTTCAAAGATTGCTAGAATGGTCTACCAGAATCTTGAATTTCTGGTTTTGTTTTCCTTATATCATATCATAAGTGATATGACTTACTTGTTTTGGTATTGATTGTTACGTTTTTTTCTGGTTATGCTTTCTTTATATATGAGTGGAAGGCAGTCCAAATGTTTGTTGATTGAATATCCTACGAAGTCTAGGTTTTGTAAGTCTTGTTTCTTCTCAAACACTGCTACACGAATTGAAAAGCTTACGGATTGGCCCATCTGTGAATTAAGGCATTTATTTTTCTTGTCTTAAATAATTGGAGAATATTGAGCCTTAAATCATAAGGCCACAGTTGTGGATTAAAGGTTTATAAATAACATGCATTGACTTAAGTTGATCTGAAATCGTCTGTGACTCTCTCTGTTGCTTGGAATGAATGAACTGAACCAGACCAGTTTTTGAATTCAAGAAACCAATCAAATAAAGGCATTTTTTTTTAGTGCTCAATTTGCCAGTTGGTGGTAGTTTGGTGTCACCCGACCGGCACATATGTTTGGTTGGCTCGAATTTTTTCCTATTCTATGATCTATGAAGTATATCCATCCACTAAAACTTTATTAGATTTGTATTAATATTACATAAAAACTTTCTAGTATTGATATTAAGTTACATAAAGAGGGGTAGTAAAGAAGTATCTTCTCTATGGCTTGCGAGCAGTAAACATAATAAAAGAATCTTGAACTACATCTGCGTAATCTGTGAGACCACATGATGTACACACATCCTTGATCTCATCCTGCATCAAGTAGTTGTAGCTCTGCAGAATTCTCTGAAATCAAAAAAAAAAAAGCAACATTTTTTATTGTCAAGATCCAAAATATCTGAATAGAATAAGCCACATTGATTCTTATAACTCTCTTTACCTCTTGGAAAGGACGGATAATCCAGGGAGTCGAAGGACTATATCTTAGAAACGTTGTCCCAACAAAAACACCTCCACTTCTTAGAACACGACAGATCTCAGCAATCTTGGAAAAACAAAAGTAAACACAAATTAAACAACAAGAGACATTTGCAATGTTTCAACACAGTAAAAGAAGTTCATCAAAAGTAAAGCACATTACAGCATTAGTAGGAGAAGGCCAACAGTGCAAGGCAGCACCAGCATGAACAGCGTCAACAGAAGAAGATGGGAAAGGGAGGCGAGAAACGTCTGCTCTCACAACCGCAATATTAGTGGAACTGTCAAAAGTATTATCCTTTTTGATGAACTCATTGCACTGACGAAGCATGTTTTCAGAATAGTCGAGAGCAATCACGCCCGAGTATTTGCCTGACTTTGCAAATTTCCTGGAGAATAAACCACTTCCGCAACTAACATCCACAAGAACCCCACCTTCTGCTTCTTTGAAGTATCTCTCAGCCATTCTAAACTGCATTTTCAAAGTATTTAGATGCATAAAAGAAGGAGCTTGGAGATAGAAATATGGAAGAAGAAAAGGTGGATGCACACCTCTTCATCTGGACCAGGAAAACCGCTACGACTAAAGTTTTGTCGCCAACCTCTTTCATACAAAAACGATACTAATGGACTCCTAAACAAACAAAGCTCTCAGATAAGACTTAGCCAAAGATGTTTAGAAAGAAAAATTAGTTGTATTTGATATATATATATATACCGAAAGAGCTCGGTTGTAATGGGTTTGACTTCATTGTAATCATCCAAATCAGCAGTGACTGTTAGATCCAAGTATTCATCTTTGCTAGAGTATGTCTTGTTACACTGTCCACACTTGAATCCAGACCTGTAGATTGCTTTTCTGCATATATTACAGAAAGAAGCTTTTTTCAGAGAAACCCAAAAAAAAGCAAATGAAAAGAAACAAACTTTATGTATAATCTGAGGAGGTAACGAACTTACAGGTTAATACCTGAAGGTCCTTTCCTCATAAGTGGTTCGTAGCAAACAGGACACGCGAACACTTGAGTTTCCTCAATTTCAATACTTTGAGTTTGATTTTCTTTTTGGTCAGAACTGCGAGTTTCGTTAGATTCCTGAAAATCCCATTGAAGAATGACACTGAGCTCTCTCGTCTAAATTCTAATCACAGAGTATATGCCAATTTACCACACACACACATACCAAAAAAAACTGATTGTCTATTTAAAATTGACGTAAACTGCAAAAAAAAAGGCAAAACAAAATTAAGAGAAAGAAAAAGCACCGATTCGAGAGCAACGGCGCGTATGGCGAGAGATGGAAAACGGGGACGAACAGAGGCAGAAGCAGAGGATCGGAGAAGACGAGCGTGCGAATTACAATAGACGAAGGAAGAGCGGTTAGGTAAAAAGGGCTTATTGAGGAGAGCTATAGCAGAAGAAGAAGAAGAAGAAGCTGTTAGTGCGGCCATCGCCATTAGAGCAGAGAGGTGGAGCTTAAAGAGTCAACGAGCAGAGAGATGTTTTGGCAACAGCAATTTATACGGAATCCCTCTACAATAGTGTCTGTAACAAAGTTACGAAAACATATGAAGCAAGAAATGTGTGTCCAGATTTTGTGGTAAGTTTTAAGCCCGAATTTTATGACGCACACTTCTCGTTTTTTCACCATTCATATTTCATACATCCAATTTTGAGCATTTTTTTATATTTATTCTTGGCTAAATTGGATCCACAGGATGGAATGGTTTCTTTACTAAGTCGATTCAAAAAAAAAAAAGGAATGGCTTATTTACTAATAACAACACAAGTCGCAACCTTTTTATCTTTTGATTGTGGTCAAACTCTTAACACATCACTGATATAGTGCTAAAATTCACACATTTTCGTATGGTTCGTGTTTCACTAACGAGCAAACAAACTTCAAAGAGTCTAAGAGAAAAGCAACAACGAAAAAAAAAAAAAAAGAAGACTGGTTCAATCTTAATAAGAATCCGATCCCTAGCTTAATTTCCTCGATAAGCATTTAGGCCCATACACCAAGGCCCACTTTAGAAACATAAACCAAACAAATAGAAGCAGCAAAAGCATTTACCTCTATGGCTGGCTCTATCATTGGAATATTCTAAGATTTATCAGGACAAATATCTAACCTTTTACTAGTATTAAGTATTAACAGTTAAAACATATTTATATTAAACTCTTATTTTTTCTTTAGGAAGAATGAATAGTACTGTATTTGTTTAGTTTTCAAAAGAACTACGGGTTCTGATTGAAATCATCAATATTTCTTGCACCTTTTTTTTCTTATATATCATAAAATTGGTAAGGTTAAAGATTAGTTGATAGCATGTGATGATTGAACACAATCCAAATCGCAGATTCAATAATTATGTTTAAGACAATATGTTATATTTTACTCTAAAAGAGTAGTCTTTATTTTAAATAGTATTATCACCTGGTGATTAGTTTATAAGTTTAAGGACTGTTCTAGTCTGGAGAATGCACTCATAAAGTTCAAGGATTGAATCTTGTGATCTATATTAATTACATGGTAAATTGTTATAAGAAGAAAATTACATGCTAAATCATTTCATAAAGGTATATTTATGAAATAAGTCAATAATAACTATAAACTATAAAGTAAATGAAGCCGAGCTGAGCTGAGCCGAGATGGGAAAAAAATCTTGGGAGACAGGAGAGGAGTGTCAGTGACACGACCGCTTCCTCACATGTTTCGGTCTGGTCATCATTTCATCATCATTACATCCTCTAGATTTGCTGATGTAATCGGTGACGTCTGTTGACCTTGTTCATATGTTTTCCTTCTTTTTTCTTTTTTCTCTTTTTCTTTTCTTATAATAATCCGAGTCTTTTTAGAATATATAGAGTGTAGAATATTCCAACAAAGTATTAAAATTCGCTTATGGTTGGTATATACCAAATAAATATGTAAACAATGAACCACTAAAGCTCACTAGTTAGGGTAGTCTTATCCAATGCATAATGCCTAATGGTCTGAATTTGATATCATGAATACCCACAACTGTCAATGGTCCATTAATAACACTTATTTTGACGTTGGCTGATTCAATATCTAAAACATACTAGTTTTTTTTTTTTTCAAGTCTTTGAATTGACGAAATAATCACGGAACATACAAAAGGAAAGGACAACTATCAACTTTTTTAACAATCATATTGCAAAATGAATAATTTTTAGAAATCAATAGCTTATAAAAATTCTATCAAACTATATACGGAACATACAAAAGCTAAGGACAAAATTCTATCAAACTATACAAAAACTTGTTCCTATCAAAAATAGGGTCACTTCTGGTTTATTTTTTAGAGATTAAAATAATAAATGAACATAATCATAATTATAATTCTAGTTGTATATGTCAATGACAGTATGACACTATCGTGGAATGTATGGTCTAATATATTCCAAGCACAATTTCCTACGGTATCGGTGATATTGGTTACTTTATTAATAACAATAAGCGTAAGAAGATGATTGGGATAGAATAATGGTAGCCGTAGGAAAAAAAAAGTGCAAGTATAGGTGCTTTTTTCAGTTTGTAAACGAAGACGACGACTCCGGACAAGTAGCCATCTGTAATCCATATAATGATGAGTCAATAGTTGACTGTCTTAGATATTGTGTGCTGAGTGGTATATACATGTATGTGCGCTCATGGATTTTGTTAATGTGTATATGCGCGAATGCATGCATAAGTGTTTTTACTGGGTCATTATTAATTTTTTTTACTGGAGTTGCTTAGTGATAAGTTGATAACTGATAACTGATACGGAAAGGATAAAAGTTCAAAAAACAGAAAGGGAGAAATAATTTCAAACTATTTTAAAAATCTGTAAAATATAAACTAGTTTAATGGTAAAAGATAACTACAATAAAAACTAAGAATATCACTTTTCTAGTTTTTACTGTATTGTGATTGATAATTATTTTCGCCATAAATCCTTTACCATAACAGTAAGAAGTTACCAATCAAATCTATTATATATAGAGCGATGCGAGTTTTGGCCTAAGTGCAATGGTGTCAACAAGCAAAAACTTCACATAAAATTTGAAGTCATGTTACGGTAAACTATTACTATTATACCAATCAAACCCATTACGTATGGCAACATGAATTTTGAATATAGTAATATGCTATCCAAGAAAAATACGGACAGATAAATAAAGTGGCGTCAACGTTTTACTATTCGTTACTGGCCTTGATTTGAGTGAACCTGGCACTAGCAGTGCAAAGAAAAGATTCGAGTGGATTGTTCTTTGAAGCCATATTCACACACTGACCCAAGTCAAGTGAATACATTACATTATATACACTTAAGTGAGTAAAGTACGGTTTATTGAAAGAAAAAAACATGTGGAAATAATTGTAAAAATATGCGACAGGGGACATGACACAGTAAGAGATAAATCTGATCAGGAAAATAAACATGGTGAGCAGTGAAAACGCGTTTTAAAGTGATGACGTCGCCTTTTGTCATTCCCATACAAGATACATGCATGTACAAGCAGAAAGGCATAACTATACATTTTATCTTCTTCCTTTTAATTATAAGCCTATTAAACTTGATAATATACATTGAAGTCTTTGAAGATATGGAGTTGATGACGGTGTGATGTTAATTATATAATATTCATCATATAAACTATTGTCTTTTTGAACTTGAAATTGAATAAACTGTGTGGGAGGCAGAGCCAAAATCTATCCAATGATCAAACCAGAAAAGGCTGTGCTTCCATCGTTCACCTTACACTTTAGGAAAATTTTCATCGCAGGTTTTAACTTTCAGCAGTGATACGCTGTTATCTTTTGAAGTGGAAATCAAGTTGGTGGACCCATTATTTATCCCAAATGAATCCATTTTCGTTTCACGATAAGACTGTAATGTTTTGTTCTCTGACAATTATAATGTGTTTTGTTAACCAATGAAACGTTTAAACGTTCAAAAATCACTTTATAAAATCTAATTAACCAAGTTTGTTTAAAAAGTTAGTATCGTATCTGCGTGGCAAATGATTAAAATTTTAGATACTACATAACCATTATCAACAAACAAAAAAAAACAATTCAAGTTTAGAGAAAATGAATAATGTGCACATCTCATATTGAATTTTATTGATGATCAAACGAATGGTCACAATGACACAGCCCCCCCACAGAGCTTAAATCTGGACCGCTGGTCATCGAAGAGTATAGTTTTTCATGTCTGAGTAACAAATTTACGTGATCAACGGAATGATCCCATTCAACTAGTTGTGATCAAGAGGTCAATGACCCAACCAGAATCCACCGTATATTTAATTGAAATTAAATATTTCATTTTTTGTCGCAGAATAAAGTCAACCATATTTGGATAATTGAACTTCCACTCGCCCAATTCAATTTCATGTTTGTTATTTTAATAATAATAGACATGGTTTCGAGTATTCATTTTTTCATTCTACCCTTCGACTTAGACATCGGATGTTTGCAACAAATAAGAAAATAGAATGTAGGTCAGTAGTTTTGAGTCTTTTGATATAATCGGATAATAATAAAATGAAATTTAGATTAATTATTTATCTATAGAATGTCCCTTTTGAAAAATCTATAAAATGATTTATATTTCTATACTTATATGATTCGTTACTGGTCAAATAGAAAAGGAGAAAAGCCACATATGTACAGTTTTTAATACCATCATGGCTGAAGCACCGTGATAAATAAGAATATTAGAAAATTACTCGTTATCTTATTTTCTACGTTAGAAAACAAAATATAACTAAACAACAATTATGAACATAAAAATAACAAAATACAAGTCTGCCGAAAACAAAATAATCAAACATTTATTAAAAATGAATAGAACATATCATAATTTATATCTTTTTATGTCAACATACATATATAGCTAAATTTGCATTTGTAAGTTTACCGAAAAGGAAGTAAAGAAACTTAAGGTCCCCCATTTTTATGTAATTTTGTAGTTTTTGAGACCACTTTATTGTAGATTAGTGGACATCAAGGGTGCAAAAGAAAGACCGAAGCTGAGAACGAGCGATTCTATCTCTCCAGTCGTTGGTTTGGTCCCAGTCCCAACGAGCAACAAGCATTTAACTATGAATCAGCCGTAGCAATTTGACCTTACCTCTTATTATTTTTCTTTCTTTATTTTGTTTTGGCTTATTCACCACGTAGGACCCGTACGATTGTAGATTCTATTGTAACATTTATTTATGTATAAGACATAATTGAAAAAAAAAGCTATATCTATACAAAAACTTTAAACTTTAGGGGGTCTTTTTTTTTTCTAAAAAAGTATGTATTGTTATCGAAGGAACAATATTTGGAAATCGGAACGATGTAAAAAGCATAGCCATAAGCCCATAAGACGTCGAGACAAGAATGTACGTAAGACGTCTATCAAAGATTAATAATCAATCGTTCAAATCAGAAAACAACATCACATGACTAGTTGAAAACAAAGAGATCAGATTATATGGAATCAACGGACGGTCCATAATATCATATGCCCGTTTTAGTAGTGTTTTCTTTCTCTATCAGGAATACACCAAAGTTAGAAAAGACTGCACAGATTAGTCCTGTTAAATCACAAAATTTATTATACTGATCACACAACATAATCATATGTTATTAACTCTGATGTTAAATTTCTGATCGACAACATATTTACCACACGTTCCTAATCATAAATCACCTTTTTGATTCTTCTAAAGTTTTCTCACTTGTTACACACTCAATACACACATATAGTCCATTAACATGACCTTTATTTTTATCATCAGTCTACAATATTCTCACCTTTATTCCCAAAGTTTATCACTACGCAGCTTCTCTAATTAAGGGATTAAAGCATAAAAACGAGATAAACCAAAAATAAGCTGACACGTATCATTTCATCTCTCCACTCAACGCGGTTTCATCGCTCTCACTCTCTCTCTCCTTATATAAATATCTTCTTTACTCATTGGCCCCATTTATCATTTCTCACCTCTCTCTCTATCCTTTCTTCTCCTTCTAGAAAGTAGAAACTCTCTGCACTGCGACTATCTTCTTCTTCTTCTTCTTCTTCTTCTTCTTCTTCTTCTTCTTCTTCTTCCTTTATTTCTGTATTTTGATTTCAGAGGTTATAAATGGTGTCATCGGAGGGATTAGCAAGCGTGGAACCTTGGTTATATCGACAAGGTTTCAACGTGGATTCATGGCTGCTTCCTGATACTTTCTCTCACGATAGCAATTTGTTAGCCAAAGCTCTCCATTCCACTGTCTCACCACTTCCTCCTCCTCACACTCTCTCTCCCTCCTCTGCTTTCTTCGATTCTCAATCTCACCCTTCCTCTACTCACACCCTCTCCTCCTCCGCCGGATCCGATCCAGATATCATCGGCGGCGGCGGCGGCGGCGGCGGCGGAGCTAAACGGAAACGTAGTCCTGTTTCCGAAGGTAAAGCCACAACGAAGCGCCGATCTCGCGCTTCCAAAAAATCTCAGACCACTTTCATCACGGCGGATCCGTCTAATTTTCGGCAGATGGTTCAGCAAGTGACCGGCGCCAAGTTCATCGGCGATTCTTCCTCCGTGATTTTCGCTCCGCTCGTTAAGCCGGAGCCGCATCGGCTCGTTAATCGACTTCCGTGTGTGTCATCGGAGAAATCCACGGCGGTTCCGACGCTCGATACATCGGCATTTTTGTCTAACCATCACCAAGATAACCTCTCGGTGGGAAACAACTTTTCCGGTAGCGCCGCCGTAGGATTACCTCCGTCGAAGACTAGAGCAACGGCGGACACGGGTGGCTCCGCCGCAGAGATTGATACTTACCCGAATTTCCCGACGCTTGAATCGTGGAAAGTTATGTGATTCGTTTTTAATCCTTTGATGTAATCTTTTAACTTTTACTCCCATTTTGAATTGTATCTTCTTTGTTCATAGATTTTGGTAATCGAGATGATGTAATGCAATAATTCTGTGTTCTGTTGACTTTATAAAGTTATTTAGCGGATATGTAATAAACTTAGCATAGCTCAAGCAAATCGCCGTCGTCATTTAATTTTGAATGAGATAGAAACAAAAAAGGTTAAGCTAAAGTTCATTATGCGCAGATGGGCATGGCAGAGAATTATTAAAGAACCTAAAGTATTTTTATCTATAGATTATTAGTGTCCAGTCTTCTCACCGTTTTAAAAAAAAAGAAACTACTATATAATAAACATAAGATATTTCAATGGAGCTATGGTGTAAAACTTATCAACATCCTACATAAGACAATCAAATACGTTACCACCACTAGAATAATGTCTCCATTACTGATACAAAGCCAAAAGTTTTATTTGTTTTATTCGAATTTCCCATCGTTCGCTTCCCATTATGCACTCAAATACAATTGCGTAAAGTGTCAAGTCTTATGATCGATTGATATCTGGAAAGATAAATATTTATAAGAAAATACCAGTGCATTTTTTATTTTCATCTATTACACTTTCAATTGCTTTCCCACCAATTAACACACAAGCGTAAAAAATAAAGAAAGAAAAGTGTTCAATTAGTTTGTTTTGGTAAAAACTCAAAAGCGATAAAAAGAAGGGTTATCAACTTCTCAATGTTAAATTCTAAAATACACACGAACAAATATTTGCTATTTATAACATATTTTACTCTGCACTAAAGATATTTGGTATCTCCCACTTTTTAAAGACAGTGAAACCTGAGAAAAGTCGCGAGCAATGCCCAAGGTACAATTTCAGATTGAATCGCAACGCAAATCAGTAGACCCACAGACCCACCAGAGTCAAAGTCAAAGTCTTAATAGTACCTTTGAATCCTTTCTTTCATCCTTCATCCTTATGTGACTTTGTTTTCTCGATTGATTCCATCGCTTCCTCGAATGATTTCTGAATATATGCAAAGCCTTTGTCAGTGTCTGTCACACGCAAGGTCTTCTATCAAAATACATATTTTTTTTCATCATGTGAAACATTAATCAGTGCTTCTATATTTACATTGGCATTCCTACGCTGAGACAAAATGTTCTCATAAATGGTTCCATATGTAGCAAAGAGCAAATAGCTTACTGTTTATTTTCAACAAGTTACACTACAAGACCAAGTTTATAAAGTAGTCAGTCATTTGATTAAACAAATTATCCTTGTTCATCCTTCTAAAGCTATGTAGTGTGCATATGTAGGATAGCTTGTTTGTGGACACCATCAGAGGCCCTAGCTCAGAAACTACCTGGGAGCTTAGTTGCTACAAATCTTGACGGTTTAAGCCTAATTACACCTATCGCCACAACAAGACTACGTATGCAGTTAATCATAGAAGACAGTATCATCAAGCACATTAATTCACAATAACTTCAATCTGAGCATTTGGCAACCAATACATGATGCATCCAGTAAGAGTAAGCAACCAATTGACACAGGAGAAAAGAAAGATCATCAAAACAGTCAATAGCATAAGGCTTTAAGAGATCACCAGTGGAGAGGTTATGGTACTCACCCCTGAGTTACGCATTTTCCAAAGTGTTTCTCCACTTGTATCAATTGCAGCAAACGCAAAGTACATACCACTGCAAAGAAACGATAAAGTAGAGACCATTGGGTAAGTTTACAACTTTGAACACATAAAAGCTTCTCAAGGAAGGTCACAATTGAGAATCAGCCACAGAGAGTGAATTATGAAAACCACAAACTTATCCTCAAGAGATGAATCTCAATCAACAGGAAACCAATTTGAAATAATTTAAAGGATAAAACGTTCAAACAAAAGATGAAGCTAAAGACTTGTCACATACCCAGCTAATGCTAGATTCAGGAGAAACGCACGCGTAGTCAAGTAACGAAAAGTCGACTCAAATCCGCGGCTGAAACTTGAGGCCTGACGATTCCTCGCCGCAGAGTAACCGTAACCATACGATCCGCCACCACGATTCCCGTATGGATTGCTATAAGAACCTCCGGTACGGCGAAAGAAATCCGATTCGCTGGCAGCGTTATAGGAAGCGCGTTTCCGGTCGTCGTTCAAAACCTCGTACGCCTCCGAGACAAGCTTAAACCGCACGGTGGCGTTTTGCCGGACGTGATCCGGAGACTGGGCGTGCTTGTCCGGATGGTACTTCACCGCTAATCTCCGAAACGCATCTTTGACCTCTTGCTTCGTCGCGTTTCTCTTCACGCCTAGAACTTGGTAATGATCCACCATGACGAATTCAGGTGGGGATCGTCGGGAATTTTTCAACCGATCAAACCTAAATCCGAATCGAAAACACCTGAGATTGATACGAGGGATTGCTTCTGCATATAGCTAAACATATACATATAAAAAGATTGGTGTATACAAATCTGCGCTCGTGTGTGTAACATCGAAAAAAAAGAATTGAAAAAGTAAGGAATCGCTCTCTGTTGTTAGAGAAAGAAGAGGAGACTTCGTGGCGCTTCAATGGCCGCTTCCTCCAGGCGGAATAGTGAAGACGATTGAATCGGGCCGAAACCCAGTGGCCCAATAATGAATGGGGGTAATGAAAAAGCCCATTTGTCCACCACCGTAAAGCTTTCAAGTTTTCTGGTCGAACGCCAAATGACTAATTTAGGCCGAAACTAATTCTTGATTTCTTTTGCTGAATAGCACAATCATAAATACCAAATGATGACTTGAGCTTGACTCAAGAATACCAATACACACTCACAACTTTGTTTATATATGCATAATTTTTTATATACCACATGATATTATATCATTATGGGACTTTTAAAAACTCAAACATAAAACATGCATGAGTAACATGATTATTTTTTACGTCCCTTATTCTTAGTTTAAAAAGGTAACCTCTGCAGCGTCGTAATATTTATCATGAATTCAACAAAGTATTGTTAAAATTTGGTTCCAAAAGAAGTACTGTTATGGCAAAGTATTACATTTTCTAAAAATTTACGTATGAAATATATATATAAGATTTTGGCAAAAGTCTTCAACACAAGTCAATACAGAGTAAAAAACCGTTGAAACCGAAAATGGCGTGTGAGAAAAGAATATATACAAAAGAAGTATGAAATTAGGGTTTTAGAAGGTTGCGAGAAAATAGGGAAAAAGGTTTGAAATTGATGTGATGGCTAAGTTAAGGATGTTCCAGAGGATGGAAGTTTTGTTGTTGACGAACTTCCAATGGCTGAGGAAAAAGCTAAAGCTGTAGGTGGAAGAGAGAGAAACAAGATTTTTTTTTGAAACAAACCTTAATTAGATAGAAAGAAGAGAGAGGGAGGGGAGAGAGAGAAAGAGACAGAGAGAGTTGGCGAAGAGGAGGAGGAAAGAAGCCAAACGCCGGGCGGCAGCGATTTGAAATCTCCGGTTTCGTTCGCTGGCCGCGACAACGACTACACGCTAAGAAGAAAAATGGAGATTACGTTTTGGGCGTTTCGTCGTTGAGTCTGAGGTTTGAGGAAGAAAAACAAGAAAGAAGAGGAAGACAAAACAAGAAGAAGATGAAGAAGTTGATGAAGATGGGGAGGAAGAAAAGCGGTCATGTTCATAGTGCTCCTTCAGACGACGACACCATGTTTTCTCACGATTCTAAACCCAAGAGGATCTACCAACTCTGGCCCGGCAATAACGTATGCCTTTTCTTTCCACGCTTGTTGTTGTTTTTGAATTTGACAAACAAAAAGAAAAGTTCTTGTATTGTCTTGACACAATAATTCCTTTTCTTGCAAACCACGTATCATTGGAAGCTGAGATTACTGAATTAGGAACCAGTTTCCCACCTTAATAAATTAATCGGAATCAATTTGCTGATAAAACCTGATATGAGATTTAATACTTTCTCCTTTGGTTTGGTCTTTAGCTCTTTAGAATAATAATAGTCAGGAGTGTTAGGTATCTAATACTTCAAACACATGATAATATATAAGCAAAGTAAAGTAGTCATTTGTTATCTTGTGTAATGTTGTGATCATCAGCTTGACTTGTCCTGTCTCTTGTCTCATATTTAGAAATTCTATTGCGGAGGGAGACTAGTGTTTGGTCCCGACGCATCTTCGCTTCTCCTAACCACAGCTATGATTGGAGGTCCCGCTCTCACTTTCTGCATCCGAATGGCTTTTCTGATCGGGAAAAGCTATCCTTTGTTCCACTCTCTTGTATTGATGGGTGCACTTTTGCTCACTCTCTTGGTAAACTAAGCATCTGAACTCTCTGCTCCTTTCTCTGTATGAGCTATAAGTCTCCCTTTCTCTCTTCTTTTGCATGTGTGTTCATCATCTTTTGATTTTCAGGATTTCATATTTCTCTTCTTAACATCTTCGAGAGACCCTGGGATTATCCCAAGGAACAAAGAAGCACCACAATCAGAAGGGCTTGATATGATGACTCAATCCTTAGAGTGGGTAAACAACAAACTCGGTAATAACACAAAGGTACCTCGAACCAAGGACATACTGGTGAATGGCTACACTGTCAAAGTCAAATTCTGCGATACTTGTTTGCTTTACCGTCCTCCTCGCGCCTCTCACTGCTCAGTCTGTAACAACTGTGTCCAAAGATTTGATCACCACTGTCCATGGGTTGGCCAATGCATCGCTTTAGTAAGTTTTCCAAAAACCCTCTCTTTTCTTTGAATCTCCTGAAACAAAATGTGAGAGTAGGATCTTCTGTGATTTAACATGTTGCATTGCAGAGAAACTATCCCTACTTCATCTGTTTCATAACAACTTCAACACTCCTCTGCTTGTACGTCTTTGTCTTCTCATGGGTCAGCATGCTTGAGGTACACGGAAAGATGTTGTTAATGGTCATCGCAGACGACTCGATATTTGTTGTTCTTATCCTCTACTGCTTCGTCGTCGTCTGGTTTGTCGGTGGCCTCACTGTTTTCCACCTCTATCTCATCTGCACAAATCAGGCAAGATCCTTTGAGGAAAATTCTTTATCTGATTAGTTCTGCTCTGTTTCGACTTATGTTTATATAAGCAAATGTGTTTTGCAGACAACTTATGAGAATTTCCGTTACCGTTATGACAAGAGAGAAAACCCTTACGCAAAGGGTTTCTTCAAGAACCTATATGAGTTGTTCTTTGCCAAAATTCCACCTCCAACGATCAACTTCAGAGACTGGGCTCCAGAGGAACCAGATGCGGAGGTTGGATCCATCGCATCTGAACTAGACCGAGCCTTTGGACCTCGAGGAGATAAATATGATATGGAAATGGAAATTGGCGACTGCAAAACTAGCAAGGCCGGTTTGCGTCTCCAGACACTGGACAACAACAACAACAACAACAACATAATTGAAGAAAGTGTCAAGAAGAAAGGATTAAGTGAAGAAACTGCAGGGAGCACCACCGCGTTTTGTATCCCGGGGATTCAAGAACCCGGGAAAATAACAAGAAACTCCTCGAGCGTTGATGTGAGATCGAGATAGGATCATAACAGATTTTTTTGCGGAATCTTTGCGCCTGTAAAAAAATGCTTGATTACTTGTGTAAACTCATCTCTTAATTCTTAAGCCATACTCACTTTTCGGATCAGAGAAAAGGGTAGGAAAAGAATCAAATGTAGAATATGTAGTCAGTCATTGCATGGTTGGTTTCTTGCGTGACAGGGTGTTTTTCAAAACTGTTTCTTGATTGTCCTTCACAGTTAAGATGGTGCATTATATCATTACTACTCCATTTGTTTTCTTCTCAGATCTACCAATTTAGCTGAAGATAGAATCCTTTATAGAAACACATTACAAGTTCCTTTACTAATCCATCAATCCAAGAGATGATTAAAGCTATTGATGATGTTAAAGATATTGTGCGGACTACTTTACATATACACGTGCGATACCGAGATGATACAACGAATAATCCATACAACAAGGGTTGTTTATACCCTTTTCAGAAAAAAAAAAGAAAAAAAAATCTCCAAATCTGAATATACGTGAAAATAATCAATGTTGGATTTAGGTTAACACAGAAAATGAAACACACAAGTCAAAATGGGAACAAAAGCTCTCACCTTTACAATACTCACTACAATAAAATGATAGAGAATCACTCTCAAGAAAGTAATCATAATGAAGGAAAGGAACAGAACATTAACAGCAAAGAGAAACCACAGAATCTAATCCATTCCAAAGATCCTGTACAAGAACAGAACAAGGTCCCAAATTTTTTCAGACATGCCAAAACCGAAGGATACATCTCATCGTGAAGCTTTCCAGTCTCGGACAGGTTAAGCAGAGAGCACCTGAAAGAATGTTCAAAAGGAATCGAATGTTTATTATATAAGGACCTCCATTACTTGGTGGCTTGACTGATGAACAAAATCCCCCATTTTCTTGAATAAAGAGTTTAGCCTGAAGTTTCAATTTCTTTCCCGTGATCTTCTGAAAGATTCCTCTTCAATCTTCTCAACCAAATCTCGTAATCCAAAGGATATGGTGTCCCACATAGACTGTCAACGTAGTCAGAAAACGCCTTTAAAACGGTCGAGACGTCACCTAGCTTCTGCTGAATCAATCTCTTGGACCAAGAGGTTTCTCTCCATTGAAGAGCTCCTTCAACTGAATCCAAATCAGGGAAGTCTCCAGAACAGAAATAAAGCATGTAAATCAAGCTCTCTGCATCTGAGGCAGCACAAAGTTTGCCTTCCTGGAGTGCGTAAGTCGAGGAGAAGTGAAGATTCATTGCAGGCCGATCTCTATCCTCAAGCACCGCGTGGCCCCAACCAATTAGTACAAAGTAAGGATGTCTCACACCAGAAGTGACATAAACTACGTTTTCTGGTCGGATATCACCATGACGAATTCCAGCTGAAGAAGAGGAAGAAAGCGCAGATAAGCAATCATGGCAACAACGAATAGCTTCTTCTGGACCAAACCGGCCCTCGTTTACCAAATCTGCTACTGTCTCGCCAACGGGAGTGGTCACAAGAATAGGAGTTCCACACCAAGGATGATCACACCGTCCACCTGAACTTGGCTTTTGACATTGGCCAGGGTGAATGATCCGACCAGACCCATGGAGCTGTGGCAAGTACTTGCTAGAAAGTCCTCTCTGTTTCATAATACTTAATATTTTAGTTTGTCTCTGTACCTGATACCACAAGTTCATGTCTTCCCAAGCTGGCTCAAGCTGTGAAGGAGGAGAACCAACATACAGAAACACAGACTTTCCTGCATCGTCCACTGGTGACGCTATGTGATAAGGGAGTGTACCATTACTCAACACTTCGTTAATCTGATAGCCATTTTGATAGTTTGAATCCTCCAACCACAGAACCGATCCAACTTCCAGTTTCATCGACGTTTCTTGCTCAATTTTGGTTGATTCTTCTTGAACTTCGACAATTTCAGGAGACATAGTTCTTTGCTGGAATCTAAACATGCCGTTTTCACTGAGACTAGTATCCCCTAACTGCCTCTCCTGTCGTCTTGAGTGAAGGCGAGAACTATGGTCAGCAGCCAAGTCTTCGATGGAGTGCCTTGGTGGACCAAAGTACTGCATTATACTGTGGTAAGTGGCAAAGACTACTTGCAAAGCACCAATATCTCCCCAGTTAGCATTTCCCAGCTTATTCCATATCCTATCAACTGGTGACACAGCGATCTTGGAATGCTTCTTTATCCAATCCGCCGCGCAGTCATAAACGTTATTAACGTCGAAATCCAGTTTATTCACATCCCCTTCAACTTTTACAACGCCACCATATTGTGAATCAACGAGAAGAATGAAGACACAGTTTGAGCTTTGAGAGAAATCTAAACGGCTCACACTTCTTGAGATGAGTATGCGGAGAGCATAGAAAAGAGCTTCTCCTAAGACAGGTAAAGAAGGCGTGTGATCACTCTCCAGTGCAAAGCTTCCAATATCAGGCCTTAGAAGAGCAAGTTCAAGAATGTGATCCCACTTCCCGTGTGGGTGTCGAGGGTTTTTCAGCAAAACACCTGTTGCAGAAAGACCTTCAAGCTTCCCAATAGCTAAAGCTTTCTCTGCTTGATAAAACTTCAGATTCTGATTGTACAGACAACCAACAGAGAAAGGAACTGGCTCGTCCTGACTCCAAAATGCTTCCCACAAGCTCTTAACCGTAGCGTGTAAGAAATCCTCTATCGCTAGATACGCGTTTGCCTCCACGGCATTAGATGTTGAAGCATAAACAGCGTTTGGCATTCGAGTTAGCTGCTGGAAAGAGATTCCTTCTAATGCGTAGTCAAACTTTTGTAGCTCGACTAACTCAAAAGGAACCTCAAAGACCGGTCCATTGGTCCCTGAGTTTTCCAACACTAAACCAAACCAATCTTCGAGCTTTTCCGTGAAATGTTCACCGTCGGTGAATCTGCTGAGGAATTCTCGACGTATACGAGATCGGCTTCCTGATGAAACGCTTGATCGTTTTGTAGTTGTACCAGACCCGATGGATTCCAGGTCTGGAGATTTACCTGAAAGAGAAATTTTGATCAACAATTAGAGAAATCAGCCATTGTCTTTGCATATAAAGAACACTAAAAAGCAAAAGAAAAACAGTGAGATTGAACAATCAAGCTTTCGAATTGAAGTTAGTGGCAGTATCGTCAAGTAATTTCAATTCATGTAAATGCAAATCAGTCAATAATTTTCAGTTTCCACTCAAAGTCTATCACTAAGCTAACGCCGTCGAAATCAGATTTAGGGCTCAAGACGATAATGCTGCTTCGAGGACGAACCACGAGTAATGATTAATAGATTAGTGTGAAATCCAGTTCTCGAGAAGCAAATTCAAGTCAAAGCGAGAGAGAATTCGGAAAATCTAGGGTTTTCTCAGACGGGGACAATAAAGAAATCTGAAAAGAGATATAAACAAAAGCACGAACCTTCCATTATAGAAAATGAAAATCCCAATCTTCTTCTTCTTCTAGTCTCTCTCTCTGCTCTCTCTGTGTAAGCTAGCTACCAATTTCTTCGTCTTTGCGTTTTCTTAAACGATTCTCCCTAAGCCTGAGTCCAACTCGCTGACCTGTGTTCTTACCTTTTTTTATTACTTTTAAATTCCTAAAATTCTTTGGGTAGTTTGTTTGGTAATATATTATATATTTATTTAATTATACTATTAAATTATTACAAGACAGGTAAAAAGTACGAAACACTAACAATTATTAACCAATAAGATTAGTAGGGGCCGGAGAAAGACTGCGGTCTTACTGTATATATTCAAAATATATATTCTCCAACTTTATTGTAAAGATGTATAATTAAATTAGCATTAATTAATAAGGGCACTAAATCGGTCTTCACCTACTAGGCAGAATAAACGACGGCGATCAATTGAAGAAATTGAACCCCCCCCACAAAGTCTCCTCCAAATCTCCAATCATAAACCTAGAGCTAGATTTTCTTTGTAAGAAAACAATTATACCAAAACAAATTATAAACGTATGAACAAAAATAATTCATATTGAATTAAAATAAATTCCAGATAATAACTGCAACCCTTAAATGAGAACCAAATTCTTTGAGAGGTAGATGAATTTTAGACTATGAGCCCAGCCTTTACCCAATGCCGGCCCACTTATGTCCACTTCTCCAAATTTATTAATATCAATTGTATAGCTTCTCCTTACTTTATTTGTCCCACGTCAGACATATGTAAAAAGTTGATCAAGATCTCAAAGTGATATCTTTGATAAACGAAATGTGAGTGAAATTCATTTATTGGGGTGAAAGAGATGATCATCCATGTGGTGGCATTTAAAGATCTATTTTTAAACATATATGTAAGAAAATTCCTCATCTGTTCCTCTCGTTTCACAATAAAATTTAAGTTCGTAATACTTAGTATATATGAATCATGCAACTAAACCACTTTTAATTTGCTTGAAGTTTTTATTATTGTTTTATGAATGAATTTCTACTTATAATTAATTGGTATATTGACTAAAAAGCGACAAGAAGCAATTACAAAAGCAATAAGTATGTTAAGAAGACTATTAAATCTACTTGATTATATTTTGTCAACGTCTATACAATATATAACACACACACAAAATAAAAATATAAAAGAACAGCAAAAAAGTTCAATTATTGATTTCTCTACTATCGTGAATTCATCATCCAGAACAAAATCTGGGTGGATGACAAAAAGAATAGAAACAATATCTGGATTTTACTCTCTCCTTTTTTGTAGTGCAGGAACAAGCTCATGAATGTCTTTGCTTTTGAAATTAGGCCCTAAAATCAAAAAGAAAGTGAGAGCCCGAGGCCATACAGTTGTATAGCTCTGTCAAATGATTTCAAAAGTGCATTACGGCTCGAATTTTTGAATTTTAATGTGATATTTTGGGTGGAATCTGGAATGCTACTCCAATACACAACACGATGGGTAAAGAACGAATAATTGCCATCCGACTGGTTCTAGGAATGAGCAGGTTTTTAGAGAAACATCTAAAGCATTACTTTATTACTATATTTGCTGATAAGTTAAATTTTAAAAAACAATGTGTTTTTTAATTACAGATTCTTCTATAAAAAAAAAAGAGAGAGATAGAGGGCTTAGCCAGAGTGTTGTAAACAAAAGTAGAGCATATGTTGAAAACATTTTGACTGAGTTTTTGTGGAAAAAAAAATGACAAGACCCGGATTGCAACCTATGGTAATCAAGTGATGGGATTGCAACCTATGGTAATCAAGTGATATGGTGTTGATGAAACTAGTTTAGCTGGATTGTTTTACATGCACAAGAAACTCATTTATGGTTAAAAATATCTAGTTTTCAAAAATGACTATACTTTGTTTAAAAAAAAAAACAAAATGACTATACATATGATTCGAACTTAGGTACCCATGTGCTAGCGAATTATATCATCCGTTTAAGGCTATTAAAAAATGCTTATCTAAATGTTTTTTATATAATACATTACATATTGGTTAAACCCGTACGTTTACTTTCAGTGAAAAAAATCTAAAGTGGCTATAAGAGAATTCCTAGATCGGAGAAAAGAGAGAAAATTTTGAGGTACATAAAAGCATTGTGTCACCTGGAAATAAATTGTTTTGTTTGTTATTCCACTTATTATTGATGGATCGATCATAACAAATAAAACAGAACATTAACGATCAAAATTATTGCCTGTTTTTTTTTTTAATCACCAATCCTTATCGAAATCAAATGGAACAAAAAATTATGATATGGTCAATTTTATATGCAAAATATTAGTAAGCCATAAAACTTTACTTGCAAACTTTTATTTGTGTACAAATTGTGCAGTATATGAAAAACATTGAACACTTATACTACATAAGAAATAAGTTAAACATAAAATTGTACTTGCAAACTTCAATTTGTTGAAGAGTAATTCCAGAGTTAGAAAGACCCAATATTTTGAAGATGTACATCTAGACTGCATAGAATCTACTTTTTTTTTAGTTTAATTTAGTGTTATGGTGTTTCCTTTTTACAAACTATTCTCAAATTGTGAAAGTAAGTAAAGGGAAAGGAGTTGCTAAATACTTAGGTACATCTCCAAACTTTTAATCTTAGAAACCCTGAAACTATTATTTTATATGCATGTTATAGACCAGAATATCATATATAAGATGGTTACCAAACCAAATAGATTTTGTTTGTGCATTACAACCTCAACCTTACCGTGTTTATCCTATGTGATTGAATGGTTGGTTAGGTATCAATCACTCTAAAGGATACTTATATATAGGCGGTTATAATAAAACATGGGCATCACATGGTTCATGAATTAACTTAGTCTTCCCTTAAATAAAGAAAACAAAAACAAAAGAAGATTCCTGCTTTAAATCATTCTCCTTCTCTCAAGAGTTTTAAGAATTTAAAAACGTTGTAAGTTGGTGTGTTTTTTAGAAAAAACCTACAATGAATTGTCAGTGAAGGATTAATTGCACAAAACAAAACTCTCTTGTGCTTCACTGGCTTCTTAAGTAAGGTTCGCTTTTAAAACTCCAAAAAACATCGGTGCAAATGAAATCAAGGGGACAACTCTTGTCTGGTTCAATTCACGTCTTGTCTTGGGGACTTCGGAAGAAATTCCTTACTGTTTCATTTTCTAAAATACATACGATGGTGCTGATCGGGTTGGCCACTAGATCACTTTTTAATACATTTAACGTCGGCTTTCTTTCTGAAATTTTGATATAATTCATAAAGGCAGAAAAATACTTCATCTGTTTCATAGTTAAATGTGTTAGATTTTACACAAAGATTAAGAGTTTAATGAAATATTCGATTGTTTGATTATTTAACTACTGATCAACCGAGCTAACTACCCACTGGCACTGCTGATCAACCGGAGTAATTTAAATCCTAGTTTTTATATGTTTAATTTAGAAATAAAAAAAAGAGAATAACTCAGATGATCGAGTAGATTTGCAATATTTTTAGTCTCGATTCAAATTCAGTTTTAATAATATATATATTGTTAATTTTTAATTAAAAAACTCGATCATATTTTTTATCTTTCAGTACTGAGGTTCATACAAAAAGATTAATATGCAGATCTTAAAATAGTAGTAAACTAAATAGAACTCAATTTCAATTTATGATTCAAACTAATTAATAATAGAAATTCGAGGTATCCGAATTAGCATCCTTAGTTTCAAATTACACGCCGAACCTAAAATTTTAATATTTAATCTTTCACACTAATCTAATGCATAGTTTATACACCTAGAAAGCTCTTTGATTTATTTGTTAAATGCAGATGCCGATTGCAGCACAAGTCCCACTATCAACCCATACTTTTTTGTTATAGTAGTATGTATATAATAGTTTATTTATAGAATACATGATTCCAATATATATAATGAACTTTTCATGTATCCCATATTTCACTACAAGTAAATTGGTTATCTATTTTCAAACATGTATATCAAATACCTGAAAATAATAGTATTGATATGTTTTTTACTTTGAAATGTGTAACATTCAGACTTTAAAAATGTCAAATAGTTAACGTTCTATACAGATTTTCAAAATATACCAGAGTAAGAAAACACAAAGAAATTACTTATAGATTTGATTACTAGTTAAATGGTAAAAGTATAGTATACGCATGGTTTAGACTTTAGAGACAGTTAACGCACTAAATGGAAGTTAATTTAATATAATCACTAGAAAAAAGTTGCCTAACCTAATCCATGTCTGCGCGTGGAATCTCATGCGTACGACAGACCAATTGTACGACAGGGTGCTGTTTCATATAGCCTCACGCGTAATATGAGCGCGTGATAGGACACGCGTCACGTGGAAAACCAAGAATCTCTCTGAGGCTTTGGACCATAACTCCGAAACACATAAGACAGTGACAGATCCGAACAAAACAAAAAGGTAAACCAATCCTTCAATTATCATCTTTAACTGTTTTCGTCGTCTTCCTCTTTCTTTTTTTTTTGTTCATCACATTTGAGGCAAGTTAAATTCTATGCTTTCTTTCCTTCTCGATCTCCTTCTTCATTAATAATTATATTCTTCTTAAAATTTAACTAAAGATTCGGGTTATATAATTAATGAAGGATATCAAGGACACATTATATACGGAGTTGTTGAATATATAGATTAAGATTTTATTCTTTCTATCGTGAGCTTCTATGCCTTCGTTTATCTAGATAGACTTTGATGATAACTTTAATTAAAAATGATGTCGGCTCAACTATTGGCACATTGTTATGCCGTTATGCGATCTATATTTATTTTAAAATAAGAAATTAAAAATGAAAGAGATGCTACTTACAGAATTTAATAACTCCACACCTTATCTACGTATTATTACTTCTTTCAAATAAAAATTAATCACAGCTTGATCTTGGTCACAAAATAAAATAAATAAATAAATATAGGCTTGAGGCAAACATTTCGCATGGAACACAAAACTGGCAATTTAGACGCCATGAACGGAACCATATATGACAATGACAGATATGCTCACACTATTTTTTACTCCTTACTTTTTTGATTTTTCAATTTTTTTTTTCTGTTTCTCATTATTTCATTTTTTTTAGAAAAGAATAATAATCAATCTATTCCGTTCCATAACTCCATAAACACATTATTCGAGAGAAAAGGAATCAGCCAATCACTCACTTTCCTGCATATATATATATTTAGAAAATTTCACAATTATAACTACTTTCTTCTCTTCTTCCCCCAAAAGATCCACCTCGAGAGAAGCCTCTCTCTCTCCTCCATCTTCATCCGCCGTCACAATCACCGTCCCGATGAGAGAGGATAATCCGAGTTGGTTCGTAAGATGGGAGGAGGAGCTCCCGTCGCCGGAAGAACTCATACCAATCTCTCAAACCCTTATCACTCCTCATCTTGCTCTCGCTTTCCAAATCGGAACTCCCAACAACCTCAAGAAAACCGCCGGAAATTATCACCAGAAGCTTCAATCCGTCGCCACGCCGACGCCGACGACAACTCCACCGCCGTTGATGATGAACTCTGATTTCGGCGGCGAATCAACGGATCTCGGTTCGGGATCAATCGGTGGAGGAGACGAGCCAGCAAGAACGCTGAAACGACCGCGTTTAGTCTGGACGCCTCAGCTACACAAGCGGTTTGTGGACGCGGTTGGACATTTAGGGATCAAGAACGCAGTTCCCAAAACGATAATGCAGCTGATGAGCGTCGAAGGATTAACGAGAGAGAACGTAGCAAGTCATCTTCAGAAGTATCGTCTTTACCTCAGGAGGATGCAGGGAGGAGGAGGGAACGGTAATAACGGTGCCTCCGGAGGACACGTCATCGTCTCCGACTCGGCCACTGATCGGCTCTTCGCGAGCTCTCCGGTTCCGGCGCATTTCTTGAACCCGGTTCGGGTGAATTCTGAGTACTTGATGCCGCCATTGATGAATCCGTATATGGGGAAACATGCGATGAATCATCAGCAAAACCAAGTGGTTCGTAATCTCAGGTATGAAGATTCCGATTATGGTAATGGAGATGGTGGCAGGAAGATTCTTAAGCTCTTCCCTGCGGGGAATTAATGGGATTTGATATTATTATTATAACTTAATATTTGTTGTGGAACCAATAATGTTTGGGGATTATTATCTGTGTAATTTGCATTTTTCGTCAGGTTTATTAAATGTATTGTTAGTGTATATTTTTTTTTCTTTACACAAACGATTTCACTCTTAATTTGTTTGTATGATGCCAGCATTTGCATACACTAGAATCGAGTGTTCTATTATCTTTGTCCAGCTGAAAATAATAAACTTTACATGATGAACAAGTCCAGTTTCATCATGTGTCATTTGTTTCCCCTGATTTGCAATAAAGTGATAAAATCACCTTAAAAAGACAAGGGAATGACAAAAGAGTTTTTGTTGTAATATCGAGCTCACAACTGTCTCAAAATTTGGATTACACAAATCCCTAAGCCATCACGAACAAAGGGAATGCGGGCAGTATTGCGACTGCAAAAAAAAAAAAAAAAAAAATAGAAACACTTGTATTAATCACTAAGTATCAGTTAAGATGTTGTAAAATTCACTTTCACCTTTGAGTCTTTCATTGTGGTAAGCTTATAACTATCTATAAAAGAACATTTATAGAGGAAGGTCAACAATATTTACACAATTGTAACAAGATATGCTAAAAGAAAAAGAGTGAAAATAAGGCAAAAACTTGTTTACCTGAAAAGGTGCATTTTCTGAAGTGGTCATACGAATGAGTATACATCACAGCTGCTGCATTTGGCCATTGCATATACATTAATGCACCATCCCTTGAAGAGACTCATAACAGAGTGTGGTCCCAAGGTCAGAGAAGCGAGAGCACTTGGGTTTTGACTATATATATCCGCTAAATCCCATATCTTAGAATAGAGTCCCCATTTTCTGAATGTTGTTAAAGTGCGCCATGCAGACATTTTGATCCACTTGGAGGTTGTTTTTGTTCCACTGGGAGGTTGTTTTTGTTGTAATACCATTCTTCTAAACTTGATTTTCATCTCTGCTAAAACTTTCATCCTCCAAAGATTAGTTTCATATGAAGCATCATCGCAGTTAAGGTTCGCAATACCGTTAAATGTGCGTGCTTGTTCCCCTGTCGTAATTTTCTTTCCTCATGGAGAGAACTATTTTTATATCTCCTCCTCCTCTTTGCGTCTTCCTCGTATTTTCCACTTTAATTATTATTATTATTTTTTTCTAATACTTGGAATGTGATTTTCTCACCCAAAATATAATTTATACAATGTTTTGATGGGACTCTCTCTATTACAAAAATACAACTTCTCTATCTACCATAATAGCTTTAGTCAACATGAATGTAAGTGCCTCCCAAAAAATTACAATTTAGTCAACAAAATAAGAACTAAACAATTATCATACCTAACATGAATGTAATTGCCCAAAGAATAATAATTGCTCTCTATCCTCCATATACTTTTTCGACGCACTGGATCCACAATGGAGTCCAACAAACTATAATATCGAACTTGGTGGCATCGGCCTTCTCGAGCTGTAACCGTAACGTAAAATTTGATTATGCAAAAAAATTTCTTAGAGGATACAAAAGTAAGGTGATTGAAAGATTCCTAGAACGCATTTGTATGATTTGCCATTAGTTGACTTTTTATAGATCGATGAGATGGCTTTACAAATCACAATTTTGATTTGAGAACCGTACAAAATATTCTAAGAATCATCCTATTTACATCTGATCCCATTCTTAATTTTTGTCTTTTTAGAGTTTCTTGATTTAAGAAAAAAGTTTGGTATGAAAAAAAGAGTTTATTGATTGAGAAAAAAATATATTCGGGAAATGTGTTTTCTCTTGTGTAGCTACCACTTCAAATCTGATTTCTTTCCCCTAAACTTTATCTTCCATCTAATTTAATCTGGTCTTATAGGTAATGGAGTACGTTTTATGCTCAATCATTGTTTCTCTAACGTGTAAGATTTTATCTCTCTGTAAATAACATTTTTGTAGATAATATAATTCAACCACTAACAAAATGAACTACCATTTTAAACAGTAAACTTGTTTTCATTCATTAAATATAAAAACCAGGTCTAGAATTAGACACGTTTCTTAATGATTACTGAACTTCAAATTTCATATCTGTTGGATACATTTGACATTTGTCCACTCAAAAAGCAAGAGAAATACTTATTACTGATTAGAATACTATTTTTTTTTTCGATGGCTTACTAACAATTCATTCTTATCAGCCATGCACAAAACGCCAAATAGGATTATGAAAAGTGGATATGTAATTTTCCTACCCGGATACACTTGAGTTTTGTAGATACTCGGGTCTGATTTCGGATTCCAAATATTTTAACCAACCTTTTAAAAATGACATGTTTTCCAATTTTACGCATTAACAAACATGGAAAATAACAAACAAGTAACACAACATGATAGTGGAAGCCTCCTAAAAACAACTCTTTTTTTAATTCCACACGAAAACTCTAATTGTAGTCTTGTAGACTAATAGTGTGAGATGAGAGGGAAGGAGAGAAGCAATGATAAGAGAAGCAGAGGAGAGGGAGACATGCGTGACGGAAAAGAGACTCAAAAACGACACACAGTTGGAAAAGTGAAGCGATAAGATAGCATTATTTTAAGGTTTTTGATCATAAAAAGAGAGAAGTTTCGAGAGGCAAAACCAAAAACCCTTCCTTCACTCCAACAAAATGCAGTCAACGTGCTTTAGGACGTGGATAGTCACCTGCTTCCACACGCTCTTCCTCTTAACGCTTGTTTTACACTCGCTGTTTTTCCTTTGCTCTTGTTTTCATTTTCTTTTGCGACGTTCTTGTATATATTTTTTTTTGTTTAGTTATATATATGAGTATAAAATATGAATTAGGCAGTCGAACTTCAGATTCTTAAAGTCTGAAAATCTGCATAAATACAAAGAAACTTGAATCGGATAAGAACTGTGGTAAACTGAGTTGGTTTTTGTGAAGATTTTGTATCGCCATTAAATCATTTTTTTTATATTTATTTGGCGATCAAATTTGAAGTTTGATCCTACGGTGAATTTTTTTTTTTTTTTTTGTAATGTAAGATGATTTCGAGAGTTCTGAACATGCTTGATTGTTTGAGAATGGTTATCCCAAGTTAAGAAGGTATAAATGCCGACTCTTTATACCACTATTGTAAATTTCTTTTTCCTTTTACAAATCCAAGTCTTATTTGAATCAAACCTTTTAAAATTCTGTGTTCTGCTAAAAATACGATAAAAACACTCAGTTGTACCCAATACAACCATATAATGTCTATACAGAATGATAATGCACGAAAAATCTAGATATTACAAACACCTAAAAAAAAATAAAAAATAAAGCTATCCATTTGTTGGTGTTTTGTTTGAAAAGTAAAGACTAGAAAAGTCAACACCACAAGTATTCGCTACCAAACTGATGAACTACTTTGAAGAAGAACGTCAAATCAATGCATATGCTCTGCTATACTCTTCTATCTCCTTCATGCACGTACGAAACATTTAGTTTGGTACATAGACATTTGTAGAGATAATTTTATGGTGAAGAACTCATGACCTTCTTTGTTTTGAACTAGATATGATGATTACAAAAAGAAATAAGTAATAACAAAAACAAAAACAAAAATAAAAAATATAACAAAATCAGGAAAAAATGATATATAGTAATTACGTAAAATGGTTTCCATATATTATGTAATGCATTGAATCCTACAATAAATAGAAATAAATGAAATTGCTCAATTGTTCTCTAAATCAAATAAACTATTAAGTCAATCACTATTAAATTGAATAGCTTCTTTTGGCAGAATATTAAGTAATAAACTTGAATAGCTAAATTATTTATATATATATATATATATAAATAAATTTAGTCAATTGTTAATAGTGACTAATTTTTTGACAAAAAAAATAGTGACTAAATTTACTATTCTAAAGCCTAATAGCAGATCACAAAAGTTTTTAGCTAGTAATAGTCAAAGTATTTATTTTAAATAATCTCCCTATTTTTTGCCAGATTTATCACTATATAATAATTTGTTTTTGGAAAGAGATGTAATTTGGATTCTGGTTCCATCACTAGTGAGCTCGATTACGGAGCGTGGGCCACGCGCCGGAGTCGAGAGAGAAGAAGGAAGAAGGCAGCTTCTTCATTTTGGCTTTAAACCCCCGTCATCTTCCCGTGCATTCTACCGCATAAATCCATAACCCCTTTTTTCTTCTCCTTCTTCTTTGAATCTCTCCTTCTTCATCCCCCAATTCGTAGCCCTAACCCTAAAAAAACTCAGACAACAATGGCTGCACCTATCACGGAGGAGCCTCCACCTGCTCCCGATCCTAACTCCACCCTCGCTCCTCCCGACTTCGATTCCATCCCGATCCCTCCGTTCGACCAATTTTACCATTCCGGCTCCGATCAGGTTCCGATCGGCGAGCTTATGTCCGATCTGGGGTTTCCTGTTGATGCCGACGGTGAATTCGAGCTCACTTTCGACGGTATGGACGACCTCTACTTTCCCGCCGAGAACGAGACTTTCCTCATCCCTGTGAATGCCTCTAATCAAGAGCAGTTTGGAGATTTCACTCCCGAGTCTGAAGGCTCTGGAATTTCCGGAGACTCTCTTCCCAAAGGAGATGCCGATAAGAGTACTTCCGGATGCTGCAACCGGGATTCTCCCAGGGATTCCGGCGATCGATGCTCCGGTGCTGACCGTACCTTGGATCTACCCACTCCATTGTCGTCTCAGGGGTCGGGAAATTGCGGTTCTGATGTCTCGGAAGCTACGAACGAATCCTCGCCTAAATCAGTAAACGTCGTGGTCGATCAGAAAGTTAAGGTGGAAGAAGCCGCGACGGCATCTATTACCAAGAGGAAGAAAGAGATCGAAGAGGATATGAGTGACGAATCGAGGAGCAGTAAGTACAGGAGATCGGGCGAGGATGCAGACGCAAGTGCTGTCACAGGTGAAGAAGATGAGAAAAAGAGAGCGAGACTTATGAGAAACCGTGAAAGCGCGCAGCTTTCGAGGCAGAGGAAGAAACATTACGTGGAGGAGCTTGAGGAGAAGGTTAGGAACATGCATTCTACTATAACGGATTTGAACGGTAAGATATCGTATTTCATGGCTGAGAATGCAACTTTGAGGCAGCAATTGGGTGGAAATGGAATGTGTCCGCCGCATCATCCACCACCTCCGATGGGAATGTATCCACCGATGGCACCAATGCCTTATCCATGGATGCCTTGTCCGCCTTACATGGTGAAGCAACAAGGTTCTCAAGTGCCTCTGATTCCCATTCCTAGGTTGAAACCACAGAATCCCCTTGGAGCATCCAAGGCAAAGAAGTCGGAGAGTAAGAAGAGTGAAGCTAAGACCAAGAAGGTCGCCAGTATTAGTTTTCTGGGTCTTCTGTTGTGTCTGTTTTTGTTTGGTGCTTTGGCTCCGATTGTGAACGTTAACTATGGAGGAATTAGTGGTGCCTTTTACGGGAACTATAGGTCTAATTATGTTACCGACCAGATATATAACCAGCATAGGGATAGAGTTTTGGAGACGTCTCGTAGTGGTGCTGGTACTGGGGTTTATAATAGTAACGGGATGCATTGCGGGAGAGATTGTGATCGAGGACCAGGAAAAAATATGTCTGCAACAGAGAGCTCTGTACCTCCTGGAAATGGTAGTGAGCCTCTAGTTGCATCACTCTTTGTTCCGAGAAATGACAAGCTTGTGAAGATTGATGGGAATTTGATTATTAACTCTATATTGGCGAGTGAGAAAGCCGTGGCTTCACGAAAGGCTTCTGAATCAAATGAGAGGAAAGCTGACTTGGTGATTCCTAAAGATTACTCCCCTGCACTGCCTCTACCTGGCGTGGGAAGGATCGAGGATATGGCTAAGCATCTCTATAGATCCAAGACTGAAAAACAGAAAGCTTTATCCTCTGGCTCTGCTGATACTCTAAAAGACCAAATCAAAACAAAAGCAGCCAATGGTGAAATGCAGCAATGGTTCCGTGAAGGTGGTGCAGGTAATCATGGGTTTCTGATGTACTTTCTGTTCCCTTGACTTTATTACGTAGGAAGGCATTCTAGGTCGACTAGTCCTTTTCAGATCTTTGTTCATGACACTAGAACAACTATGCCGTTGAACTTACTTATCAGTCATTCTCCAGTAAAGAGTAGATGCATAAAATAGTCTGGATAGATGGTAAACAGTAAACGCTAATGAGTAACAAGTGAAATAGTTATTCATAGAGATTGAAAAGTGTTTATATTAGAATTTAGTCTTCCTCTGCGGAAGCTAGAGGCATAGTAGCTTTTGGGGTTGTCTTTTGGGTTTTTGTGCTCAGTATAATAAAATAACCTGTTTTTGTTATGTGACTCCATTGTAGGGCCAATGTTTAGCTCCGGGATGTGCACTGAAGTATTTCAGTTCGATGTCTCCTCAACCTCTGGAGCCATTATTCCTGCATCTCCAGCAACCAACGTCTCTGCAGAACACAGTAAGAACGCCACAAACACACGGAGTCGGAAGAACAGAAGAACCCTGCGTGGTCTCCCTATTCCACTGCCAGGATCAGATTTTAACTTCACCAAAGAGCACCAAAGAAACAGCTCTAGCAAAGAAATCAAGCCCGCCTCATCAATGGTTGTATCTGTGCTTGTTGATCCCCGAGAAGGTGGTGACGGAGATATCGATGGGATGATTGGAGGACCAAAATCACTGTCCCGAGTTTTTGTTGTCGTGCTTGTGGACAGTGCAAAGTATGTAACATACTCCTGTGTCCTACCTCGATCAGGAGCTCCTCATCTTGTGACCACTTGAAGACGTTTCAGCAGTCTTCTCTCCTATAGCTCTGTATGTAAAAGAATAAATAGCTGCCTGCTCTTTGGAATCAAGTAATATCCTTAGCTATTACCGTTTTCCGGTTTTTGTTTCAAGATGTAGAATCCGAATGCTGTAACTTCTTTTTTATCTTTATAAACTTATAACCTTAGAAAGTTTTACTTTACCCATCAAACTTCTAAAATACATTGCAAAAGTCGATGACATGAAAATATGTCTTCTACAAAAGAAACTGAAATCACAACGAGACAAAGTTGATCAGTTAGCTGATTCCATGGCTTGAGCTAAGGGGGCATCGGTGATAGCCATCTTCATATCAGGAGGATTTGAGCCGCTGCTACGTTCTCTGATCTCTCTGTATTCTTGGCAAACGGCACACAAGTGACAGAAGAAGTGTGTTACAAAGTCCCCACATGGAGCCTCCTGCAAACAAAGAATGGTACATAAAACTCGCCGGTTAGAAACAAGAATATGATAATCTCACACATGTTGCCATTTGAGCCACTTTCTACCTGTAAGTTGTACTTGGCTCTTAATGATCTGCGGTATCCACAAGCATAACATGACACAAAGCATCCTGGTAGAACAAGCAAAACGCCACTGGTTGCAAAGCAGCAAATGGTGTTAACAAGAGCCCATGAAATGCAATGTGTTATGCAGGGTCCTGCAAATGTTCCAGACCCCAACAACTCTGCGTTTTTGCCAAAGATATAACACGGACAGAACAAACCTATAAAACCTGTGCATCCGAAACAAAAACCTCAGTAAGTTCCCATGCTCTTCTCAAACCATTTTCTAAATGATCTTCACCGTAGACAACATAACATATTTGTGTCCAAGAGAGGTATAGCATAGAGGAAGCTCAAAACATAAACAAGCAAGCAAATTGCGGCTCAGCTTCTACACTTAAATGTAAGTTTCTTCCCCAACCTATTCAAGAAATGCACTTGGCTGCTTCTATAGTCCCCAATAGCCTCTAACATGAACTAATACCGGGACTTCCTAAGAAACATAACTCAACACACACACACAGATATATTCCACAGGTCAATTCAAAGAGGCACCTTTAACAAAATTGGTTCCTGTAGTAAAATCAAGGAGTGGAGGACAGAGAGTAGTAGCATACAGCTCTGCATATCGTCGAAGCAAGCGCATACACCAGACGACCACTGTATCGGATCAACCCTTGTGGCTACAGGAGAAGCAACTTCCAGATCCCGAGTTGGAGTGGTGGTTCCTTCTGCATCAGCATCCGACTCTCTTAATGGAACGTACGGCGGAGGCACGTAGTGCCCCTTCTCTCCCATCTTAGTTCCGAATCTTGATTCCAATTTCAAGAAAATGCTTACCTCAGAGCCTAAAATTAGACACGAGGAAACAAATCTGTAACAGTTTAATATCTTGAATTGCATGAGTATGAACATATCTACGAATTTTACAGCAGCTAAATCGAAATGGTAGTGAGATGGAGTACATAAGATTGAACAACGATTAGAGCAAGAAGTAGAGTCAAGAGGATCGGAGAAAAACAAGGCGAATCAGCGAATTCGGAAGAGAAAACTCAGATACAAGTGAATACAACTCTTACCTGAGCTCGACGGAGAGATTGGATTAGCATGAAACTCAGATTCGCGAACCAGAGCTTTCTTTTATCTCTTATTAGTCAGAAGAAGAGAACTGAGTTTCCACGTTAAATAAATTGGTATATTAACCAAGCGCTATATTCGGCATATTATTTACTAATCTGAAAAACAATATTTTTAGTGGTAAATAATATCATACATTGATAGAAAAAAGGAAACAAAATTAACAAGTAAAAACTTCTTTACAAAAGAGTTAATTGTTCAAACCAGTTCAAAATGAGAAAAACCAGAGAAGGAGAAAAACCAAACTTTCATATCTTCACTAATTCTTTCTTTAACCTCAAAATTATTATTAGAGAAAAGAAAACCAAGAACTTAGATCATAAGATTTTTTTTTCCACAAAATGGAATCCAAATCTGAAAACTACAAATATAAAATTAATTTATACAATAAAGTCCAAATTCTCAATAATATTTCTCTTTTAATAATCCGTTTTCTAATTATAAAAGTCTACATTAGGTTAATACCCAGATACATCATAATAGATTATTGCCTTTTTCCCAAGAGATATAATTTCTCATTAATCTATGAGAAGTTAAAAAAGAAAAGAAAAGAAATGTGTGTGGATTTTGTGGAAAATTGTTCGAAAATACTAACTAGGAGCCAAGCCAGCAAGGATCTGTTGCTTGAGAGAAAGAGGTTCGATTTTTGTTAGCGGCTCACTCTACTTTCTCCTCAAAAAAGCCGTTAGGGTTTATATCATAGCAACCGCCTTGCTCTCGCCGGAGACATACGGCGAAACTCGGTTAATCGGCCTATAATCACCGGTTGATTCGTCCCCGAATAAGCAGGATTCGTGAAAGCTACTTAGCTGAATAGAGAAATCCTGCAAATTTCGCGAGGGTCTTATACATGGCTGAGGTATCGATGGGAAGCAGCAGTGGCAGCATGGATCTGTCTCCCGAGGAGGAACGAGTTTTCATAAGAGACATTGCTATTGCTGCTGAGGCTAACAGCAAAGAAGGCGATACTTTTTATCTCATCACTCAGAGGTAATTTCAAGCTTGATTTTGCTCGCTATTGGCAACCTATTCATTTTCGACTTTGCTGCTACTAATGTGGTTTAGGGTTAGGGATTGAGTTATCTTTCTCAGAGTTTGATACATATCTACCAGTTGCTGATATTTCCTTAGAGCTGTTTAAGCGTATCAAAAAGTTTTCAATAGAACTGTTAATTATGACTAGATAAACCAATGGGTCTAGATCTGGTACTTACTGCTGCTTTTGACTCATATTGAAGCCATTGTAATACAGTTAGAGAGAATTGATTTTATTTTGTGGTACATTTGCTGAGTGCCATCCCTGAGAACATTTTCTCCGTTGTTACGATTTCTATTCAGATGGTGGCAAGAATGGATTGAATATGTGAATCAAGACCAACCATGCAACACAAATGATGGGTCTTCACTGTCAGAGCATTGCGACTCTGCTGGCTCAAGCACTCTAAAGAAGCCTTCTATGATTGATAACTCTGATTTGATCTATGAATCTGCTTTGGAGGACCCGAGTAATGCCTGTGAAATTATTGATACACTTCAGGAAGGCCGCGACTATGTTTTGCTCCCTCAAGAAGTGTGGAACCAATTGCGTTCATGGTGAGTGTGGAACCAATATGAGACCTATAACGCTATCCCTTGATTTTCTTCATCACTACATCACTATATAATGGTTTTTTAATTTTGCTATCTATCATTGAAACTGAAGTGATGAGATAATTCAGATGGATAATTGCTTCTGTTTTATAAGGTACGGGGGTGGTCCAACTCTGGCGCGTAGAGTCATTAGCTCAGGTCTCTCTCAAACAGAGTTGGCTGTGGAGGTATACCCTTTACGTCTTCAGCTACTCTTGATGCCAAAAAGTGACCACAGTGCCATAAGAATTAGCAAAAAGGTTAAATCTTTTTTTCAGTTTTTTTGTTTGTTTGTTTCTGGCTTCTTACATTAAAATCTGAGCTCGTTATATTCTGCTACCTCATTGTACTATTAAAAATTTCTGTACAGGAAACTATTAGAGAGCTCCATCGAAGGGCCTGTGAAATTTTTGACCTCAACTCAGAGCATGTAAAATCTGATATCCCTATGTTTCCAAACATCCCATTGCAGTAATACTTTCATATTCTTTTCTTTTTCTTACATGAGTCTTTTCCATCATTTAGGTGCACATTTGGGATTACTATGGCCACCAAAAATATTCTTTGATGAATGACTTAGATAGGACACTGGACGATGCCAACCTTCAAATGGATCAGGATGTGAGTTCACTTCTTTTTTGCTTTACATGTGTTGGTCACTAGAAATATGCTACTTGAACTTTTGTCATAGTTTTCTGACATTGTTCTGGATACGCCAAGTTTGGCCATTACTGTGAGGAGAGAATGGAAAAGGCATTAGAGTTCTCTTTCGTCAATATCTAGTTAGCCGTAGCTCTTAAATTGCTGCTATGTTTGGCTTTTACAAATTTTGACAATGAGGGAAACAGTTGAAAGTAAAAGGTTTTGCTTCGGTCCCATTGTTTAGTTAGTCTAAGTTTATGATTCTATATGCTCTCTGATTTTATCTTTTTTTTTTTTTTTGTATTCATACTGACGCCGCTGATTTTATCTGTCGTTTAAAAACAGATTTTGGTGGAGATGCTTGACATCAATGGTACAACATCAAGTGCTCACATTCAATCTGTTCAAGAGAACGGATTGGTGGATGAAGACTCTACTTCTATTCTCATTGATCCTTCTAAATCAAGCTTGTCAGTTGCAGGAGGTTTCTCTTCAAACAGGAATACATTCAGAAGTGGTAGTGTAGAAGTTTCACAATCTTTTGATAGCACATACAGTAGCACTGGTGTCACCACAAGGGGATCCACTGCTGGCTTGACAGGGCTGCTGAATCTCGGGAATACCTGTTTCATGAATAGTGCAATACAGTGTTTGGTTCATACACCTGAGTTTGCTAGTTACTTCCAAGAAGATTATCATCAAGAGATAAATTGGCAAAATCCTCTTGGGATGGTTGTAAGTTCCTCTTGAAGTTCCTTGGTACTCATAAATATGATGCATACATGGGTGTGTGCATAGGTTTGCTTAGCTATCATTTGTTCAGTTGTGTTTCCCTGTTGCATGTAAATCATCTTTATGCAGTACTGCATGCTTTGGGGTGTTCTTTATTTTCTAACAGAATCTAACCCAAAAATTCCTGCATACATGCGGAATACACGTGGACTTAGAAACTGTAAAATTCCTTGAATCACCAGAAGTTGTAGGTCATATCTAGAATATTATCCCATCACAGTTGATTAGGGCAGTGTTCCCTTGGCGCAGTGACATTTTCTCGTGTAGATCAACTAGAATTGTTTCTCTCTAAAACTGCAAGTTGTTGATTTCCAGATCATAACTTGACCTGTTAATAAATCGTGGTGCACAGGGAGAGTTAGCTCTTGCATTTGGTGACTTGCTTAGGAAGTTATGGGCTCCTGGGCGCACACCAATTGCACCACGTCCATTCAAAGCAAAACTTGCTCGCTTCGCTCCTCAATTCAGTGGTTACAATCAACATGATTCGCAGGTTTGACAGACTAACCAGAAATTTTCTAAAAGCTGTATTGGCATTGTAACTGAAGGTATTAGGGGTTCCTACATTGCAGGAGCTATTAGCGTTTTTGTTGGATGGTCTACACGAAGACCTAAATCGTGTTAAACACAAACCATACATAAATTCTCGTGACGCAGATGGTCGCCCTGATGAAGAAGTTGCTGATGAGTTTTGGGCTAATCATATTGCTCGTAATGACTCAATAATCGTTGATGTTTGTCAGGTAAGCTGTAATCACCAGATTCCTTCTGTTCTTTTGGCTCTATAGGAAGTAAATTATACCAAGAGATTTTTTGCCTACTTAAAATACTTGCGCAACTTTTCATAGAGATGTGGCATTGGAAATGGGTACGTCACTTATGCTTAGTTTAGTCTTGGGGATTGATGCTAATCTTAGTTGCATGAATGCTAATATCGTCCATCATATATCAGATTTTCTTTTAGACGTTCAATCTGTTTTTAACTGATGATATTTAACCTTTACTTCAGACCCAGGGTATATTCTTATTTTTTCTTTGTTTTTGATTTTCTTACTAATATTGGAATCTTATTCTCCTACTCTGTGTCTCATCTGACAGGGTCAATATAAGTCAACATTAGTATGTCCAATCTGCAACAAGGTTTCCGTAACATTTGACCCCTTCATGTATCTATCTCTGCCGCTTCAGTTCAACACAACACGAGCAATAACAGTCACCGTCTTTTCTTGTGATAAAACTGCCTTACCTTCCACAATTACTATCAATGTATCGAAGCAGGGACGTTGCAGAGATTTGATGCAGGCATTAACAAGTGCCTGTTTCTTGAAGCCAAGTGAAGAGCTGAAGCTTGCAGAGGTTTGTGGTTTCAAGTGTTCTTCAAAATAAGTGTGTCAGTCTTTTGGCTTCTCCGTAAACTAAGTTTAATATGTTGTTGCAGATTCGAAATAATTTGATCCACAGATTGTTTGAAGACCCTTTAATTCCATTGTCCACTATCAAAGACGATGATCACCTTGCTGCATACAAACTTTCAAAGTCTTCAGAGAATACGGCTTTGCTTAGACTAGTACTCCGCCGCAGAGATCAGTAAGTTATTTCCCAGTCTACTTTGTATGGACTAATTCTAGAGATTAGTTTGAGATAACCTCTTTGGCACTCAATCCCTTTGGATTTTCTTTTAACAACTTGAAGATTATAGTCATTGTGGCTTACTTCTTCATTCTTGGATATCTAGTTTATTTTTTTTTTGGCTGAAACCCTTGAGGTATTTCGACCTTAGCAAGGATTCTGTTATTTGGCCAAAAAAAAAGGAAGGATGCTGTTTTATCACATGCGTGCTTCTTTGTCATATTATTGTGGCTGAACAATGTTACTACATTAAACAGTTTCTAACAGGAGTACCATGTTTCAGGAAAGCTGGGGAACGTGAAAGTACAGTACAATTGAAACCCTATGGAACACCTCTTCTCTCATTAGCTTCACGTGAAAATGCGCTCACTAAAGGAAAAATCCATTGCATTGTCCAAAATATGCTTTCGCCTTTCCGGAGGGAAGAATCTATGGGCAAGAAAGGAAATATTGATTCTAGCATCCCTGAAAGAAGGTCAGCCCGGTTTAGTAATTCCGAGGATGAAGATAAAAATGGTGGATTAAGAAAAGTCAAGAAAGGCAGTTCTTCCGAAGTGGGTGCATCTAAATTATCCCTGCAACTCATGGATGAAAATAATAGAACAGTTAATCTGCCAGACGATGAAGGGGAAGCAATTAAATTACCACCATCTGCAACAGTAATTGTATACTTGGATTGGACAGTAGAGCTTTCTGGTATTTATGATATAACTTGCCTGGAGAGTTTGCCTGAAGTACTCAAATACGGACCTGCTACCAAGAAGGCTCGTTCAGAACCTCTTTCTTTATACGCATGTCTGGAAGCGTTTCTACGCGAAGAGCCTTTGGTGCCTGACGAAATGTGGTAAGTATTACCTTATCCCTCCTTCTGTAGAATCATTAAGATGGCTTCTGGTAAAAGTCGAATGAAGCAATCTTGAAAGAAGATGAATGATGTTCAGAAAATGTTAGTGTCTTACTACGGAACCAACGAATTTGAACACTGTATCTTGCAGTAGATCAACTGTGGTTAATCGTATTTTTTTTTTCTTTGTGTGTCTGTGAAGGTTTCTGTCCACAATGCAACGAAAGAAGGCAGGCAAGCAAAAAGCTTGATCTGTGGAGGCTTCCTGAAGTCTTAGTGATACATCTAAAGAGATTCTCATACAGCAGATCCATGAAGCATAAGTTGGAAACATTTGTAAACTTTCCAATTCATGACTTAGATTTAACAAAGTATGTAGCCAACAAGAACCTCTCTCGACCACAGCTCTATGAGCTCTATGCCTTGACCAATCATTACGGTGGTATGGGCAGCGGACACTACACTGCACATATCAAGGTCAGTTCGAAGCAGCTTTAGTGCTCCATCCAATTTTTGTTGGTTTGATTCTGTTTCTACATCTTGAGTTTTGTTTTTGTTTTAATCTAATGTTTTTGTCTGCAGCTTCTGGACGACAACAGGTGGTATAACTTCGATGACAGTCATATATCGCATATAAACGAGGACGATGTGAAATCAGGTGCTGCTTATGTGCTCTTCTACAGGCGGAAATCTGATGATGCAGGCGGAAAAATGAAATAATATGTACGCAAAAATCTAGGTGACAGTGTCCAGGTTTTTTTATATAAATATTTTGTTTTAGTACATGCTCAAGCTTAGTTAGATTTGTAATATTTTTGTTTCTGGTATGTTGCAGTAATCAAAGCTTAATTTAATTAGCAGGAAACCGGGAACGAGATAAAAGATAATTTTAATCCTTTTTTTAACATCAGCTACGTAATCAATCCATGCATCTCAATATATTAGCTAACGAACGTGAAACTGAATCAAAATGACTTTTTGCTTTGTTTAGAATTAGTTCTGATTTCAGATAGAAAAAAAATATGTTTTGTTTTCAAAAAAATTATTTTAAACGAGTCGTCCGTTGACCAGAGAAAAAATTAGTCGTCCCAAACCTCTATAACAATTATCTTTTCTCCGTCGCTATCAATGGCGGATCGTCTCTTTCTCTGTCTCTCACAGTCTATCTCTCTCTCCTTTTCCTCCCTCTCCGTTTCATACTCAAACGCCTTATGGATTACAAACTCTTAGCGATCCTACTCGCCGTAGCGAGCTCCTTCTTCATCTTGCTATCTCTTGCCTTCGTGTTGTTCGTCTGTCGACGCCGTCACGCCATCGAAAACCATTCTCGCCGTGACCAAAACCACCACCAGGCTCCGAACTTCCCCGATCCTTCGTCTACTCCCAGTCTCAGCTCAGTAACGGAGAGCGAAAGCACCAAACAGAGTTTCGATCCTTCCATCTGCGAGATATCCATGGCCGAGCTCTCCGTAGCGACGAACGGCTTCTCCTCAGATCTAATAGTTGGCGACGGAAGTTTCGGTCTAGTTTACCGCGCAGAGCTTTCAAACGGAGTCGTAGTCGCCGTGAAAAAGCTCAATCACGACGCTTTACAAGGACTCCGCGAATTCAGCGCCGAGATGGAAACACTAGGTCGACTTCGTCACCCAAATATCGTTCGAATTCTCGGATACTGCATCTCAGGTCCAGATCGGGTCTTAATCTACGAGTTTCTAGAGAAAGGAAGCCTCGATTATTGGCTACACGAGAACACAGCCTTGCCTTGTCCTCTCTCGTGGTCAACACGCATGAGAATCGCGTACGGAGTAGCTAAAGGTTTAGCTTACCTTCACGGGCTTCCGAAACCGATCATCCACAGAGATATAAAGTCGAGCAACGTGCTTCTGGATTCCCAATTCGTGGCTCATATAGCTGATTTCGGGCTCGCGCGTAGGATCGACACGTCGAGGTCGCACGTGTCGACGCAAGTGGCGGGGACGATGGGATATATGCCGCCGGAGTATTGGGAAGGGAACACGGCGGCTACGGTGAAGACTGACGTGTATAGTTTCGGCGTTTTGATGCTGGAGATGGCGACAAAGAGAAGGCCGAATTGGCCGGTGGTTGTTGATGGGAAGGAGGTTGGGTTGGCCCAATGGGCAGTGATACTCGAGGGGCAAAATCGGTATTACGAAATGGTTGAGTCAAGTTTTGTTGGTGAAACAGGCTTGGAAGAGTATTTTACAATCGCTTGTCTTTGTATCAAAGAGGCGACCAAAGAACGGCCTACAATGAATCAAGTTGTGAAATTGTTTGAAGAGGTTTTGTCAACTGATAGGTAGATTGCTTTTTTTTTTCTTTTGTATAAAATTGAGTTTGCGTAAAATAATAAGGCTCCCATATAATAATTAGTTTAAAAAATCTGGAAAATTAAAAATAAATTTTGAGGATCTTGTAATCGAAATTCTTATAAGATTGCCAGCAGGCCCAGCAAAGAAGTGTGTCTCAAAGCACAAATCTCCAAGTTTAAATGGGCTTTTTCATCTAGCCAAGTCCAAATAAATTTATATCTTTTTTTCTTATGATCCACTAAACATTCGTTCATTATTTATTTGTCCACAATAAACCAGTTTTTTAAACCTAGACTATCAACATCTCAACTCTACTCAATTTAACATAAAAAATTGAGCATAAAATAGAATGACATTTCTTTTTTATGTAGAACATGAAGTAGTTTATATGTTCTATATAGACATACAAAAATGTTATGTTATGTTATTCTACTTACCTTAACTTCTACATAAGTAACTTTAGATCCAAATTGCATTTCTCTAAACACAAAAGACTAAAGCATTTTAAACTTTATAAATAATTTGAAACCTATAAATTGCCTTGAACATCACGGGGAAAATAACTCTTAGATCAAACATTGCTCAAAAGCACTTCAATTCAAGATAAATCAACAAATCACAAACATATTTAAGTTAAGTACAATTATGCTCTTAGTCAAATTTCCAATTGCTCAATTCAAATAACAATCACATCAATGGTCGGAAATATCTAGGATTATGATGAAACTTGCTTAATTAGTATGCAAACCATGCATAGTTAAGATATTGAGTTATAGAAATCTAGGGAATTCTATCAAAAATAGTCAGAATCATTTTCATAATTACAATTGCTTAGTTTGACCAAAAAAAAAAATACACATCATCGATCAAAAATTTTGTGCATATTTTGTGCCAATTAAAGTTTGCAAAAGATATTGTATACAATGTTTCAACACAACATATGTTTTGAAAACAAAAATCAAGTCATCACAGAACTGATATCAGAAATACTCAGATCTCTAAATTGATATCGAGCCTTAATTTAAAGAATAATTTTAAAAAAAAAATTAATGGGCTCTGTATTGTTCATATTGTTTAGGAGAGTTTACCCTCAAGACCATTGACCACAATTGTGGAAGAGATACAAATCAATAAAATAGATGAAAAAATTATTAATTTAGGGTACAAATCAATTATTTTAACGAAGAAAACAGAATTGAAGTTTTAAACATGATGTTAGATCAAAGGCAGATCATTTTCAACGATGTTACACTTTTTTTCTTTTACTATAAGATTGAAACCATGGAGAATAATAAAGTCGGATTACATAAGCCGGCTGTCAACGGATTTTTGTCAAAGTTTTATTAAGTCATTAAATAGTTAAAACTAATAACCATGAATAACATACTCAAAATGATACACACTAGTTCTTGAATGTGTCTATATATCCACTTTAAGATATAGATATAGCTAAAATTTATTTCGCTTAATTGTTTTCTGATAATTAACGAAAACAATTGAATTACCGTAGGGAACAAAGAAAAATGAAAATAAATTTATAATTAGTTGATGATGTAAATAGTAATATATGACGTTATAGACATTGATTATGAATACAAATTTCAACTACTGCAGTAAAGCTAATATATGACTTCAGTTAAGACAAGCAAAAGTAATTATCAATAGAAACAAAAAATCACTAGAACAATATAAGTATAACTAAAGATTTTTTTGTTAATTTCTCCTTTTTTTGTCTTAAAAAGCGCTCTTTATAAATCTAGCCAGACCCCTACTATATGCAAATGGAATCTAGCCTTCCATTCCTTTATAGTCTCTATTTTATTCTACTTTTTGTTTCTTTCCATTTTTTTTAGTTTAAAAGTCTTTTTCATATCAAATTTATCTGATTTTGACTCTAGCGAACAAAAAAACAAACCCAAGACCTTCCCGCTGTATTCGTTCTCTGGTTTATTGGCATCTTTTGTTCACTAATATATGATATTTTTCTATTATGAGGTCTCTAGATTATCACACTTAAATTTTTAGGATGTAGCTATGTCCGTTGTAGGTGTGAGGCTTAGACCTTAATTTAGAGTTTGCAATAACTTGTAAAGATTCCAATGCATTTTAGCTTTGTTGAGCGTTTAACAGAAATAGAAAACTAAGCATTCACGAATTTTCAGTAGTTCAAATTAATAACAATCAAAAAATTTCTGATATTTGAATTACAAAAACTTATTTCGGATAAATATGTATGAACGTAAAAGGTTTTCATTAATCCTGGACGTGTTGTGTTTCTAACCATTTCTAGTGTTTATTTTCTTCGTATTACTTATTTTATAGCCAAATGTAAGTGTTCTACTGTTCTTTACTTTTTAGTCTTTCATCAATTCTTATTTAGTCTAATGTAATTTTTGCGTGATTAATTGGAGTAAAAAAGCAACATACTGGATGATGACCTACCGATCTTAGTCCATGTGATTCTTGCTAGATGGTGGAACGAGCAGAGAAACATAGACCGATTGATCTCCATAGTGATTGGTCCAGATAGACAGTATGCTCGCTGTTTTTTTGAGAAAATTGGAATTGATAATCAAAACTCTCAATCAATTGATCTAAAAGAGACGCCGAAAAACCCAAAATCTTATAGGTGATGTCACATTATTATATAAATAGTACGAACATTATTAGTAATTAACTATACGAACATTACACAAAATATTGTATGTATACATATAGGTCTGATAACATAAATAAACTAAAATATATATGATACGTACATATGGTATTATCTCTTAACTACAAACCCAAAAGTGAACTCATGCGAAAAAATGTTGGATTTGCATGACCCAAGAAAATTGCCCTAAGAAAAAACAAGACTTGGATTACAACTCGAGTCTCGTGTGATATAAATCTCTGATATCTGTAATATATACACACGTCACTACAGTTTATAAGAGACTCCAAATCCAATGAGATTGCTCAAAATATCATTTTCATCACAAATAAAGAAAAAAAAAGACAAGAACTTTGTGTAGGCCCAAAAGTTTTTGTGGAAATGAAGATGCTGGAGGCTGATTAGATGACCATTTGGATTTGTTGCCCTCTTTTTTCCCCATTTCTCTTTACTACCCAAAAACGCACCCACACTTTTGACCCACACCCACTTTCTTTATTTTTCTTTCTCAAATTTATAATCAAATCATGCGTTCTTTTTCTAAAACCCACCCCTAAAACATTTATGATCTTGAGTATAATATTTATGCCTATTCATATATAGACACACAAGTTGCTGATATTCTGTGTAGATTTATATATCCGAATTTTTTTTGATATTTAGATCTCTTGTACCGAAATTCTCAAATGTACGTGTCTAATATACAATTATATACATATATATCAGTAAAAAAGTATATGTATATATATTAATTTTACGTCCATACATTTTGTATTTTTGTTATATGGATAACTCTGATATTTTGAACTAAGATTCAAACTAATTACTAAGTCTTATATTCTATAATCTCGATGGATTATATAGCGACTAACTGCGCATTGAGTGAATATATTAATCTTTACTAGCTCCATCAAGAGATAAAAGTAAAGGACTATTTAACCAAAAAAAAAAGTAAATGACTATGATAAATTGTAATCGTTACGGTTTTGAATATTTATGATTATATACAAGAATTAAGATATAAGATTATTAAAACAAATAAAAAGGTAGAAAATGATGTGGATATAGACGCTCGACATATGCATGGTTCAGGTCGAATTTGGTAGAAATATGTGAATCATATTGAAAGCTGAAAGTTATTTAATTAGATTTACGAATGATTTTCTACGTAAAAATAAAGTCTGATACAAATGGCAGACTTTATCAGAAGGATTTTGTGTAAGCATGTAATTCCCCAATCGCAGAGACGTAAAATATTCGATTCCGTGTGACATCGACACGTGTTTCTGACACCAGACTCGATTTACGTGGAATCCACACATCCACATTCAAGTGCACCTTTTCATCTGTATCTACATTTTCAATTTATGTTCTTATAACTTGAAAGTTCTATACGGAAGGGATGCTAATTTTTGTAGCCACATACGGAAGGATCAGTATTTTAATTGGTCAAAATAAGCTGGCTGAAATATCATGAAAATATTTTCATAAAATTCATTCCGTTAATCATATTAAGATGATAAATCAAACTAGCTAGGGTTTCATCTTTTACATGTAAGATTTATTTATTTCATCAACATATCCTACTAATCTACTATGATGAATTCATTATACACCTAGTCTCTTAATTATTTGTTAAAAAGTTGATATGGACGTAAATTTTGAATCCAGCATATACCGATATAACACTAGTCACTAAGTCAAAACTCAGTATAGAGACAAGTAAGCGTGAGACATTTTTTTGGATTTGTGTGTTGAATCTTTAGTTGAATAGATAATGGATAGAACCACCCGTAAAAACAATTGTAAATCGGGATGTCTTAGGGATCGAATCATTCAACATTTCCTGATCATTTTGAAATGAAAAATTTCATAATAATTTATGTTCTCACCATATATATCTATAAATTAATGGGACATAGGATAATAAAATTGAATCTATCTAATTAATCAAATTAAATTTAAGATACGAATTCCACATAAACCTTCCCCAACTAAGTAAAGTAGCCACTATTGTCCCTTTAGGTGACATTAATGCATATTCTATAAAAGATAATGGATGCTCAACTATATTATAAAAATGTAAGTGAAGGGTTTGAAACATAAACTGATAAAGATGCAATATCTAGGGATATAATATTATATGAAAAAAGAATCGAATGAGTTTTCGAGATGTGGTTGGCTTTTCTGTACGCATTAATTTAGTATTATGTGGTTTACATTTCGGATAAGCAATTCTAAGCATATTGATATCAACAGGTGCATATGATATTTTTATACAGATGCACTCATATAGTCATATATAATACGTATTCACATAAATATACCAAGTCTTACAAAACGTAGTCCAAATTGATTTATGGGTATATTATTGTTACCGGCTGTAATTCAATTTTCAAACATTCAAATATGTAAATTCAGTAATACTGGTCACGAATCATGACATAGACTAAAGATGAGACAAACCACGTAACTATGTGATTTGATTGTTATTATACTTTCACATTGTCATTGTAATAATTGCTAGACACTATAAATAATATACACGTCTTCGTCCGATTAGCACGAGTTATATGTGTCAAAGAGCTAGCCGACTTCAAACGGAGGAAAGAAAGCTATGGAATCGTGACACCCACTCGAGCTGGTGGAGTTTTAGGACGAATGGTAGTTTTGTAATAGCAAAATATTTATGTATAAACTAAGTAATTTTTTTTTGTATTTTGGTAATTTTCTAAATAGAGCAAGCATAATGTATATGCATTGTCCGAATATACATATCAATATATCATACACGCTCTGATTCACTTTAACCATGTATAATCTTTTATTTTTTATTTGCTTATGTAGAAATGGAAATTGATAACAGACAAGACATCTAACAAATATTTTGTCCACCTTAATGTTTTCACCAGAAGAACGCATTTTTAGATTTGAAAAAAAAAAGGTAGTTTTGACTTTCGAGAGGGTCCCAAACGTAGTAGGATTGAACCCCAGTTGATTGTTACTGCCACGTGGAGTTAACTTTGTCCACTTCTGTCTCTTCATTGATTTAACCTCTTAAGATCGATGTTAATTGATTTAACCTCTCAAGTGTAGGAATTAGGATAGAGGTGTCCCCATACGTCACAGTCCGTAGACGTATAAAATTCTGATATTACAAAGAGTTTATCTTCTTGCAGTCGTTTTGTTGGTCTATTTGTCAAATTCCTATACCATACATACATACATTAACCAACAAAAAGTTATACTTATAAAAGTTACTTTAATGACAATATTTAGGAAAAAAAAATATAGAAAGGAAAACAAAACAAAGTAAATAGCTTAGGACGATGAGGAGACAATGATTTATACTCGCCTAAACAATCTTTCTATAGGCTCTCCAGATTGATCTCGTAACTCCTCTTGTGACGTGACGATATGATTCGGCATGATTAAGAGTCTTACAATACGTTAATAATTAGGTCTGATTTTGATATTCTGTTCCTATTTTAGTGTAAGTTGGCTTGTTTCATTTCAGTAACACTCCTACTAATAAGTGTTTAACAGTTTTATTAAATACACAAAATATTATTGGTTTTATTTGATATTGACTTATTTTGAAAATATTTGAAAATAGCATGTTTCAAATGGTGATTGTCGTTTATATAATTTGTATAGTCTCAATGGCCACGAAAATTAAAAGTATTTAGAAACAGTTATATATCTATTTAATCCAATGTGATACGTCGTTTGATCATTTTAACTTCTAGGAAATGAGTTGATGGTAGTTAAATTTTTATGCTTTATAGTCATATTTTAATTGTATCTACTGTGCTAAACAGCTAATTTGTTCAACATTAATCACACTATATTAATATCGACTTACAGTAGCCACAAGTTTTATTCATTTTAAGTTCTAGGAAATGAGTTGATGGTAGTTAAAATTTTATGCTTTAAATTCATAATTTCATTGTATCTATCTACCGTATTGAAATATAAACAGCTCATTTGTTCCACATTAACCACACTATTAATACCGACTTATAGTAGCCACAAGTTTTATTCACCTAATATACGATTGGTTTCATGAAGTCATATAAACCGAATATTTTATTTGTAGGATACTTTATCCATTTACTTTAGAGATAATGAATTCATGACACTCATTTGTGAATAAAACCGGAATAATTAACGCTAACGTCACCAAAAAGATAAAATGTAATAACAAATATACAAAAGAAAAACAAAGGAAGAAAGCAGAGAACACTGGACAAATCCGAATGTTATGCTATAAATACAAAGAACCTCTCACCACTTGGTTCTTAGGAAAAAGCACATTCACTATAAGTGTTTCTCTCCTCTCTATTTCCTAACTCAATTCCCTTATATACAAACACTAATTTGATTTTTTTTTCCTCTCAAGAATCATAAAATAACCCCAAAATTTTGTTAGTTTTCTTGTCTTAAAACCTAAAAAAAAAAGCAAATTGAGATGGGATTAAGGATGTCAGAATCAGCTAAACCTTATTTTGCAATGGTCTGTCTTCAGTTCGGTTACGCCGGTATGAACCTTGTCACTAAGACCGTCCTTGACCGCGGTATGAGTCATTACGTTCTTGTTGCGTACCGCAACGCTTTTGCCACAGCCGCTATCGCACCTTTCGCATTTCTCTCCGAAAGGTACAAACACACAAAACAAAAAAAAATCATAATTGTTCTTAGCTAGAGATCAATTCTCATCAGAGGCAAACAGTTCATGTTTCTATGCGCGATTTGTAATAATTATGTGTTGGTGGTGGTGTTTGTAGGAAAGTGAGGTCAAAGATGACGTTTCCAATATTCATGCACATATTTGTTCTTGCTCTTCTCGGGTAAGTCTTCTAAAACCATCTCCAAAACTTTTTTTCTATGTTTTGTTGAACCAATGAAATTTGTTAATTAATTATAAGGCTAACAAATATTATTTTGTTAAAACAGGCCTGTGATAGATCAGAACTTATATTACATAGGTCTGAAACTCACATCTCCTACGTTTTCCTCCGCCGTCAGCAACATCGTCCCCGCAATTACCTTTATTCTCGCCACTCTTTTCAGGTATTACATACGTAAAAGCAACGTTTAATTATTTTGTTATACGTGAATATACACATATTCATACGTAGATGTACAATTAATATGTGACCGAGATCATAATTATGAAATATTGATGTGTTTTATGTAAATATTTGAATATAAAAAAAAAAAAGGATGGAGAAAGTGGAGATGAGAAAAGTAAGATGCCAAGTAAAAGTGGTGGGGACTATAGTGACAGTGGTTGGATCCATTTTGATGATATTCTTCAAAGGTCCTTTCATAAATTTCTTCCAATCTCACCTCGCCACCACCGCCGCCTCTTCGCCGCTGGCCGGTGATTATCTTAAAGCCACCGTCTTCCTCCTCCTCGCCTCCCTCTCATGGGCTTCGTTCTTCGTTCTTCAGGTATCAATTATTGATCCAATCTAGTAAAGTAGTTGGTGTTATAATAGTTTCCTGCGATTCTGGTTTAGACTCTTAGCTAGATTGTGTGAACAGATCATACAGTAATAAACCCTTAGATTGGTTTATGATTAAGCTAAAATATTGTTTATACTGATTACATATATCAAAATACAATTTTATTTGTGTATATTCTTTCTGAGGATATGTTACATAATTTTATTCCGATCAACTAATCCAAATTAATTAAGTACAATAGAATTAGTAAATATAATGATGACTAAAAATATGATTGGAATTTTTTTTTGGGTTAAAGCTAAAAATATGATTGCATTAGAATACTAATTAATTAGTGCGTTATATGATTTTTATTAATTAGTGCGTAATATATATATATATGAGAAATTTAAAGATATAAGAATCTAACTAATTAATTAGTGCATTATATGATTTTTTATTATATTTTTGTTAGGCATCGACTCTGAAGAAATACTCAGCACATCTCTCGTTATCAAGCATGGTGTGTTTCATGGGAACGTTACAATCCTTAGCCCTGACCTTCGTAATGGAGCACAATCCTTCTGCTTTGAACATCGGTTTTGACATGAACCTTCTCGCTTCTGCCTACGCGGTCCGTCCTTTTTTAAAATCACTTCAAGCCACTTTTTCTATAACAGAAAGATCAACTCACAAATTATGGATGAAACTAATACTAATATATTGCGATTCGTTCGATTACAGGGAATAATGTCGTCGAGCATAGCTTACTACGTTCAAGGACTTATGATGCAGCGAAAGGGTCCTCTCTTTGTCACTGCTTTTAACCCTCTTGTCGTCGTCATTGTCTCCATAATGAGCTTCTTTGTTCTCGGCCAAGGAATCTACCTTGGAGGGTACGTTAACAAACAAACCGGTTAATTAGTATATATATACCCGGCTTAGTCTTCGTTCTACCGTGTTAATTATTCTATATGTATTTGATGTTTCCAGGGTTATTGGAGTGGTTGTTTTGACGGTGGGAGTCTACGCCGTGTTATGGGGCAACCACGTAGATGATGACGGCCAAGAAACACGCCCTGAAGATAACGTTTTAGAAGCCGTTAAGTGTTGTAGTGGCAATAATGGTCTCTCGATAATGCCGAGAATCGACGAAGCTGATGAGGATGTTGAAACCGGGAAAGTTACGGCGACGGAGAAGGAACCATCGGTGGTGGTTGTGGTTTTTTGTACTGAAAATGTGGATAACGTTTCACGATGCTAATTAGAATGTTTTTTTGTGTTTGAGGCAAAAATTGGGGAGAAGAGTAAGTTCTTTTTTGATACTTGTACGTTTGAATTCTTTCCCCTGCTTCAAAAGTTTTATTTATAGTTTTGATTTCTTAGTGTAACTAAGGATTCGATGTACAATCGATTTTGATCGTTTAACTAGCTATGAACCTGTGTAAATCGCCGCATTTGGTATTAATATGCAACTGCTACATACCACTATATTTTGGATTTAATGAAGTATACATAACAAAAATTGTAATTCCTCTGTTTCAGAAGTGGTTGTTTACAAGCTTTCACATATTCTTTTATTATATCTGTTATTATTGCAAGATTATTTTCAAATGCAAGAAGATAATTCAGATGATCATGGATTGGTGATATTGAATGAAGAGGCTATTGCTCTCTTTCAACAAAAGACCAAATAGGGAAATGAAAGTATCTTGAAATCAGAATAAGAAGTTAGCAGTGTGATACAAGATATGGATGATTAAGAAAATGAAACCCCTTCAAGAAGTTTGTGGATATGGAACCTCTATTTACAAACCTTAATTTGTTCAAAACCAAGCACGATCTTATCATTTTCAAAAATGCATTCATACAAAGCTATGTCAAGAATGGGTTCATGATTGTTTGTCATATGATGACAATCATTGAATCATATACAATCACATATCTAATAACCCCAGATAACAATCACTATAAATATTTTGAACACCAATTATAGTAGATCATATTTTCGTGGTCATCTTTGACCAATCAAGCAGCCTTGCATGTAGAACGGACAACCTCGGATTTTGGACCTCTAATGCTCTGCTCATATAGTGAGAGAATAACTCAGATACATTAGATTAGATTAGATAAGGAGATTAATTCAAATACATTAAATTAGATAAGATATTACATGAAAGATAATGAAGGAATGTCGTCATTTACAAGACTGTAATAATACTTGTAATAGTAATAATAGTAATACTTGTAATAGTAATAATATTAGTAATAATAATAATAATAATAATAATAATAGTAATACTAATATTAATACTAGTAATACTAATAGTAATAATACTAATAATACTAGTAATACTAGTAATGCTAGTAATACTAATAATAATAATACTAGTAATAATAGTAATAGTAGTAATACTAGTAATAGTAGTAATACTAGTAATACTAGTAATACTAGTAATACTATTAGAAATAATACTAGTAGTAATAGTAATGCTAGTAATACTAATACTAGTAATACTAATACTAGTAATACTAGTAATACTAATAATAGTAATACTTATAATAGTAATACTAGTAATACTAATAATACTAATACTAGTAATAGTAATACTAGTAATAGTAATACTAGTAATACTAGTAATATTAATACTAATAATACTATTAATATTAGTACTAGTAGTAATACTAGTAATAATAATATTAATAATAATAATATTAGTTATACTAGTAATACTAATACTAATACTAGTAATACTAATACTAATACTAGTAATAGTAATAATAGTAATAATAGTAATAATAGTAATAATAGTAATACTAGTAATACTAGTAATACTAGTAATAATAATAATACTAGTAATAGTAATATTAATAATAATAATACTAATACTAGTAATACTAGTAATACTAATACTAGTAATACTAGTAATGCTACTAGTAATAATAATAGTAGTAGTACTAATAATACTAGTAATTCTACTAGTAACAATAGTAGTAGTAATACTCGTAGTAATAGTAATACTAGTAATATTAGTACTATTACTAGTAGTAATAATAATAGTAATAATAGTAATAATAGTTATACTAATAATACTACTAGTAATAATAATAATAATAATAATAATACTAGTAATAATAATAATATTAATAGTAATAGTACTACTACTAGTGGTAATACTAGTAATACTATTAATAATAATAGTAGTAATACTAATAATAATATTAGTAGTAATAGTAATACTAATATTAATAATAATAGTAGTAATAATAGTAGTAATACTACTAGTAATAATAGTAGTAATACTACTAATAATAATAATAGTAATAATAGTAATATTAGTAATATAAATAGTAATAATAATAATAATAATAATAATAATAGTAATACTAGTAATGCTAGTAATACTAATAATAATAATACTAATAATAATAGTAATAGTAGTAATACTAGTAATACTACTAGAAATAATACTAGTAGTAATAGTAATACTAGTAATACTAATAATAGTAATACTTATAATAGTAATACTAGTAATACTAATAATACTAATACTAGTAATAGTAATACTAGTAATACTAGTAATACTAGTAATATTAATACTAGTAATACTATTAATAGTAGTACTAGTAGTGATACTAGTAATAATAATATTAATAATAATAATACTAGTTATACTAGTAATACTAATACTAATACTAGTAATACTAATACTAGTAATACTAGTAATAGTAATAATAGTAATAATAGTAATACTAGTAATACTAGTAATAATAGTAATACTAGTAATACTAGTAATAATAATAATACTAGTAATAGTAATATTAATAATAATAATACTAATAATAGTAATACTAGTAATACTAATACTAGTAATACTAGTAATGCTACTATTAATAATAATAGTAGTAGTACTAATAATACTAGTAATTCTACTAGTAACAATAGTAGTAGTAATACTCGTAGTAATAGTAATACTAGTAATATTAATACTAATAGTACTACTAGTATTACTAGTACGTAGTAATAGTAATAGTAATAATAGTTATACTAATAATACTACTAGTAATAATAATAGTAATAATAATAGTAATAATACTAGTAATAATAATAATATTAATAGTAATAGTAATAATACTAGTGGTAATACTAGTAATATTATTAATAATAATAGTAGTAATACTAGTAATAATATTAATAGTAATAGTAATACTAATAGTAATAATAATAGTAGTAATAATAGTAGTAATACTACTAATAATAATAATAATAGTAATAATAGTAATATTAGTAATACAAATAGTAATAATAATAATAATAATAATAGTAGTAGTAATACTCTTAGTAATACAAATAGTAATAATAATAATAATAGTAGTAATACTATTAGTAATACTATTAGTAATACTAGTAATACTACTAGTAATAATAATAGTAATAATTTTGTCCATGGGTGAAATTAGATGAAGCTTACTTTAACCTGTTTCAAAAATGGTTTTGTCCATAACCAATCTAAAATGTATTGGACGCAGACAGCCCATAGGTCGCCCACCCATTTTAACATCTCTAACCAGATATGACTGATCAAGAGGATCGAAACCCGAGTGTCTCAAATTCTCAACCCAAGTATCATATTACTCAATAGTCCACGGAAACATTTTAGAAATATCAAACATATAAAGCAACCTAGAATCTGAGGGATTCTTTAAACGGAAAAGTGACTGTAGGATAGTTTTCAGTCTCAACCATTAAAAAATTACACACAACAGAGAAGCAACAGCAGAGAGAATCGAAAATACAAATAGAAACTCATCAATCTGAAGAATAGTTTATCAGAGTCAAAGTTACCAGCTGTAATAAGATAATCCTTTAGATATTCTCTGTTAGTTTTGCTAATCAGGACAATTTTTTTAACATTTTGAATGAGTTTGTATGGGATAATTTTCTTTAGACTTGAATTCTCTCTTGTGATTTGAGCATTTTATTCGGCTTAGATATCTTCTCGACCCAGAACCTAGAAGAAAATTAAATTAAACCATCAAATATAAAATTTCAATTTATGATTTCTCCTTTTTTTTTTTTTGGGGTACCAACTTATGATTGTGGGTTTGGTGTTTCCAAATAAGTAAATCTTCATTCTCCAAATGTTAGATTCAAAATCGGATCCAACAACTCTGAAACAAGCATTCCAGTTAATCAGAGTAACTAACAAAGATATTTATAGCGAAGACGCAGACTAATACTTTCAACAATGATGTCAATGAATCTAGATAATTGACAAATAGATCATGCAATATAAGTTAAAATTCAATTAGTAAACTTTGGTAGCAAACAACCTAAAATCAAAAAACATAACTTATCATATTTGTCACATCGTTCGTTACAAACCTTTGAAATGAACCACTTCGCAGCATCTTAAGTTAATATATATCTTAACTATTGAACAGCTAATATATTATATATATATATATATACATATATATATATATAATTGCATAAAAACGTAAATTATATTTGATGAAACATGAGCGTGGCATATAATCCAATGATTCGATATTGTGTCACAGTTAAAATTCAGATCTCTTTAATAGTTCACTAAAGAAAAATAAAAAACTGCATGTATCATGTTCAACAAATACATTTCCGTTGAAAAATAATTAAACTGGGAGAAGTTTGGCTAGGTATTTAAATTTAACCCAAAAATAAAAGTAGGGACTAACACAATATTATAGCCTCTAATACGTGTTAGATAACAGCACCTACGTCTTACTGGACTAAATATTGACTGAATCATTGAACTCAACTACAATGAATATATTTAACAAAAAAAATCACAAAACTCGTAAAGAAAAAAATCACAAAACTCGTAAAGAAAAAAAATTCACAAAACTAAATAAAGTTTACGTCTCACCAAACACACCCACCTACTCGTCTGGTCCCACTAAGCCCAACCTACAACACCGACTCTCCCACACTACTTTTTTTTTGGTTTTGCAATAATGTAAATTCTTTCTTAAACAACTGATTGATTCTTGAACATTTTATGATCTCATATAGGCATTCGACTTTGAGATATCAAACTAAATTTGTTTTTAATTCGAACTTAATTTTCTAGGGATAAAACTGATTTATTGTATTTAAAGTAAAGCTGAAGTAAAAAGTCAGAATTTTTTTATTTTGAAAATTCTAGGTTTGTAATGAGTGAGTCTAAAGAATCATCCATCCCATGCAGCTATGTCTGGTCGGATCGGATTGCACCAACCCTTCTTTTAAACTTCATGTGATTGCCAATAAAGCTGACGTGTCCCTCACACCAACCCCAAACTAAACCTTCATACGCTTCCCCACTCGCTATCAAAACGCTTGTGATCACGGTCTTATCATAATTTTTTATGGGCAGAGAGATGATTAATAATCACATTCATTACGGAGTACTAAAATAAATGTTTTATAACCATTGGACCACCAATGAAAGGAATGTTTTAAATTTTGGAATAGACAACATGGTTTGAGTTTCTAAAGAATTTTAATGATGGTAGCAGAAGAAACAATATATATTAGTTTAGTGAGTGATTAGACTTTTCTATTTTGGAAGAAGATCGATATTCTCTCCGTTTCACAAAAAGTGTCGTTCTGACATTCTTCACACAAATTAAAAAATAAGATAAAAGGTCTCTTATACCCTTATTAATTTGTAAAAAATGACTATTGGAATTATATTTATAACTAGTTTTCTGTTTATTTTTAAGGTTAAAAATAGTATTTTATATCAAAATTTACATTGGAATTCTAAAACTACATTATTTTTGAAACAAAAAATTGTCAGAACGACACTCTTTGTGAAACGGAGGGAGAAAGAAACTGATTAGTATTATTCTATTTTCATAAAAAAATATGTTTACAGAGTTTAATTGGTTTCCTTTTTTTTATCCGTTTCGTAGAGAGAGGAATTAAAGTTCAGGCCTAAGTTTTGTTGTTCACGTGTGATTCCTTATTAACACCTGGCTAACATGTGTTGAAACTTGAAACACGACTAATGCAGTAATGCTTAACATTCAACTAAAAACATGTGTTGACAATAATACTACTTCTCATAAGCTATTTAATTCAACCGTTGACAAAATGTGAAAATTGTTAGTGTAATATTTATACATCGACAACAGTTTTCTTAAAAATATAATTTAACATATTTTCAAAAAAAAAAAAATTCCTCGACACTGTTTCACCAATAATTATGAATAGCTGCTGAAAACAAAAATCCAGCTCATGTTATTGAATTTCACCTCAACTGATAAATAACCAGTGAAATTTTTTCTCTAAAATTTTTCCTCAATAGTATAAACAGTCAAAAACTCACATGTAAGTATTGATAATCAAGTAGACTAACCATTTAAATAAAAATGTTAAACTGTATATCAAGATTTTTGTCCACCTCTGTTTTTTTTTCTCCGCCAACTTTCCCCTAACATCATCAAATAATCGACATTATCCACTTTTTATATGTGCCGTGAACTTTACAATTTAAATCTATTTTCCTGTTTTACATAAAAGATAAATTGTTTGCTAGAAACAATTTAATATTCCCAATTTATTATTTTAAAACAAACGAAATAAATTGGTTCACCAACCCCCTCCCTAATATAAATCAAAGTCTCGACCACATCTATCTAGAATTCTAGAAGTGAATTCGATTTACACTTTCTTTCTTTATTTTTTTTCCTTTTTTTATAATATTAGTCGATTTCATCACTGACCTGAAAATCCCATGTCGTGGTTTCTTATAGCGGCGGCAGCAATCGCCGCCGTTGTATCCTACAACCTAATCCAACGGCTGAGATTCAAGCTCCCACCGGGCCCACGACCCAAGCCAATCGTCGGTAACCTCTACGACATAAAACCGGTCCGGTTCAGATGCTACTACGAGTGGGCACAGTCATATGGACCAATCATATCGGTCTGGATCGGTTCGATTCTAAACGTCGTCGTCTCTAACGCCGAGCTAGCAAAAGAAGTCTTGAAAGAGCACGACCAGAAACTCGCCGACCGTCACCGGAACAGATCGACGGAAGCATTTAGCCGCAACGGTCAGGATCTAATATGGGCCGATTATGGGCCTCACTACGTGAAGGTGAGAAAAGTTTGCACGCTTGAGCTCTTCACACCTAAACGGCTCGAGTCTCTCAGACCTATCCGTGAAGATGAGGTCACTGCCATGGTCGAATCCGTCTTCAACGACTGTAACCTTCCTGGTATGTCGTCGTTTTTATTTAGATGTATTTTTTTTTTTGGAAAATAAAAATCTGCCGTTAAAGAAGTTTTAGTTTTAGCCACAAAAATGATCTTTCAAAGAGGTAAGAATAAAAAGAGAATTTTTAGATACGATTTGTGTGGAAATGCTCTGACAAAGGAAAATTCGAATTATACAAAAGAGGAAAGAGGAAAAAAAAATTTACTCGAAATCGTAAGTTTTTTGGTCTTTGGAAAGTACAAAATTTATGCCAAGATTTGTCCTTTTTAAACTACAACAAAGTGACGTAAGCCACGCGTTGCCTTTACTCTTTAGCGTTATAGATTTCGGAAAGGATCAAATTGATTTATGTTTATGTACTCTTTGTTGTTATCAACGTCGAATTTATATACTGTACATATGTTGGCTTTAATTTATGAATCTGATTTATAGAAATATATCTATTTATGGTATAGTAATTAAATATCAATAATGATCCGTCCTCAGAAAACAGAACGAAAGGCTTACAACTGAGGAAGTACTTAGGAGAAGTTGCGTTCAACAACATAACGCGGCTAGCGTTTGGGAAGCGTTTTATGAACGCGGAAGGTGTGATAGACGAGCAAGGGCTTGAGTTCAAGGCCATAGTATCCAACGGTCTGAAGCTAGGTGCTTCACTTTCGATAGCTGAACACATCCCCTGGCTCCGGTGGATGTTTCCGGCCGATGAGAAAGCGTTTGCGAAGCATGGTGCTCGTCGTGACCTCCTCACGCGAGCTATCATGGAGGAGCACACTTTGGCTCGTCAAAACTCTAGCGGAGCAAAACAGCATTTCGTGGATGCGTTGCTTACGTTGAAGGATAAGTATGATCTTAGCGAGGATACTATCATTGGTCTTCTATGGGTGCGTTTCTTGTTTTCTTGTTTCTTTGAACCCTTTGAATTCTGTAGATTTCTTGTTTCTCACGTTTGGTGAATGATGTGTGCAGGATATGATCACGGCGGGGATGGACACGTCAGCGATAACAGCTGAATGGGCCATGGCGGAAATGATAAAGAGTCCAAGAGTGCAACAAAAGGTGCAGGAAGAATTCGACCGTGTGGTTGGACTTGACCGGGTCTTAACCGAGCAAGATTTCTCACGCTTACCATACCTCCAATGCGTGGTGAAAGAATCATTCAGGCTGCACCCTCCTACGCCTCTAATGCTTCCTCACCGATCCAACGCAGACGTCAAGATCGGAGGCTACGACATTCCCAAAGGATCAAACGTTCATGTAAACGTTTGGGCGGTGGCTAGAGACCCGGCCGTGTGGAAAAACCCATTGGAGTTTAGACCAGAGAGGTTCTTGGAAGAAGATGTTGACATGAAAGGTCATGATTTTAGGCTGCTTCCGTTTGGAGCAGGAAGACGGGTTTGTCCCGGTGCACAACTTGGTATCAATTTGGTGACTTCGATGATGAGTCATTTGCTTCACCATTTCGTTTGGACACCTCCTCAAGGGATTAAACCGGAGGAGATTGACATGTCTGAAAACCCTGGACTTGTTACTTACATGCGCACCCCTGTTCACGCCGTTGCCACGCCTCGGTTGCCTTCGGATCTGTGTAAACGCGTGCCTTTCGATATGTAAATCTCTCTCTGATCTACCTTTTGCTGATGCTCTTGTTGTTGTTTTGTAGCCATGTTTCTTTGTGGTTTATAATCGAAAACTTCTGTTGAGATTAGTCGTGTCAATTGAGTTTACAATCTTGTAATCGGCGTTTTGTATGGGAACATTAGAAATGGGCAGAAAGACTATACGTATAAGTATATTGCAAGAAACAGAACAAGTTTCTTGATTACTACATTAAATTCAGGTTTTGTCTATAAACAATACATTACACACACTGGGTCTGAAACCAAGCTATCTCAGACGTATTATTCTTACAGAATTTAAAAGAAACATTTTGGATTTGGATTACCTTTGAACTAGTGAATTTCAAGTAGAGGATTCTTTAAACTCCTGAAGCTGCTTGAAATTCATCCATGGCTTCACCCACACTTTGGCTTCGAAATTCTTAGCCTGCCCACCTTCGTTTGCTTCTAGAGTTAAGTGGTACATCGTTCCTGCAACAACCTGCTCTCTTGCCTTTACAATCTTCTTGAACTCAAGAACCTTGTTCTGCACTTACCCGGAAAAAACAAAAAACAAGACTAATCAGACAAAGATTCTTAACACCTATTCATAACCAGAAAACAGAGGAATCAAAAACCTGTCGGTTGTTATGCTCTTGAATGGCAAATCGAGCAAGACTCTCGATCTCTCCACTGTTCTGGTTTCCTCGGAGATCATGAACGCCTCCTAGCTTCATCGTGCTTATCTCTTCCGATCTGCAAATCGCTAATTGAATTGCTCCACAGAGGAGAAGAGTAATGATAAAGAATTCAATAGAACCGAAGGGTTTTGATTCCATCTTTAATAGAGACTTTTGGATCTTTGCATTTCAGATTCGCAAGTTTTGGCCTCGTCGGTCTCTTCACCTTGCTTGGCGTTTAAGCAAGGAAAGTGACAAGTCGAGGAAAAATAACACGTGTCTTCATCTGAGCGGGTGAGCTTTTCCTTCTTTATGAAACTGAAAAGTCAAAGAGATAAGAAAACCGAAAAACGGCAAGATGTGTGTGGTTGAAACACGTGAAAACGGTATGCATTCTCCGACTCTGATTGAGCTGCGAAACTGAGAGGAATTTGTCGTCGTCACCACTCGATCGCTCCTCTTTGCTTCGTTCTTCCGGCTTGGATAAATGGTGATGGAAATTGTGGAGCCAAACACCTGCATTAGAGGATGTTGCACCAGTGAATCGATTCCTCTTCATCTCTCTCCTTCTTCGTTCACTCTTCGCTCCCCAATCGCTAGAGGTACTGCTTCTTCTCTCCCTCTCTCTCTCTCCATCTGCGTTCGGTTTTGAATTCGATTTTTGTGGGCATTTTATTTTCAGGATCAGAGAGTGTGGTTTACGAAGCGATTCTCGACGGTCGGAGAGTAGCGGCGAAGAAGCCAGTCTTGTCTACTTCCGATGACCTCGACAAGTTCCACAGGCATTTGCAGCTCTTATGGTCTCTATATCTCTCTCGTTCCATTTTGAAAAAAAAAATTCTTACTTGAACACGTTTTCGTAATGTTGATTTTCTTACTTTGATTTTTTTTGGGATTGGTGAAGCAATCTCGATCATCCGGGTTTGGCTAAGCTACTGGCAGCACACGCAAAGCCTCCAAATTACATGTTTTTCTTTGAGCTGTACGAGTCTGGGACCTTAGCTGAGAAGTTACACGTCGAGGAGTGGTCTCCGAGTATCGATCAAGTGTTGATGATCACGCTTCAGTTGGGTACGACTTATCTTCTTGTCTCAAGGATTAATCTTTTTGTACCATTGTGTCTCACTCTATCGATTTCTTGTGATGGGTTTTTCCCATGGATACTTATCTGTGTGTTTCAATGTTTCAGCAAAGGCATTGCAAAATCTTCACAACAATGGAATTGTTCATAGGGATGTGAAACCAGCTAATGTTCTTGTAATGCTCTTCTCTCATCATCTAGATTCTCTATAGACTAGCTACTTCTGTTTCTTTACGAAATCTTTATCGAAGCTTGAGTATTGATGCAGCTTGACGAGAAGCTCTCCCCATATCTTGCTGACTTTGGGTTAGCAGAATACAAGAAGGACTTGCGAGAAGTTAATCTGCACAACTGGAGATCGTCTGGAAAGCCAACTGGTGGTTTCTACAAAAAAAATATGGTCGGAACACTTATTTACATGGCTCCTGAGATACTAAGGAAAGAGATGTTCACTGAGAAATCAGATATTTATAGCTTTGGGATCTTGATCAAGTAAGAATTATCTTGACTAGAAATTGAAAAGTTTTTATCCTCGTATAATTCATTTCTCCTTCAGATATTTATATTTGTTTGTGGTATGAGTTTTGCTTTCTTCTTAAAAGATCTTTGCTTATGAAGCATTGTTTCATGTTTTATATTGCAGTGAGCTTTTAACTGGAGTCGTTCCATATACTGATCTTCGTGCAGAAGCTCAGGTTAGAAAATCTTTCCTCATTTCGCATTCTGACATGACCCTGTCCATGACAAGTCTTTATAGTTGATATCATATCTTTATCGTCATGCTCCTGTATTGCATTCATATGACTGTTCGCGAGCACAATTTTTATGATTTCTGGGATAAATACATATGATTTTACGGACATTGTAGTCAATTACATCTAGAATGTACATATAAACGCATTCCTGTTCTTCTCATTCGTGACACATATTATACCGTGTGCATATCTGCATGGCAGGCTCACACTGTTTTAGAGATGAATTACACAGAGCAGCAACTTACAGCTGCCATTGTTTCTTCTGGTCTGCGACCCGCTCTTGCTGAAACTGGATTTCACGTTCCAAAGAGTTTGCTATCTCTGATACAAAAGTGTTGGGGAGCTGATCCTTCTAAGCGGCCTTCTTTGGACAATGTGGTTTTGGAACTAGAATCACTTTGGGAACAAGAGAGAGAAAAACAGCAAGGTCAGACAAATTCTATTTCCAGGAGTGATAAAGATGGGGAGGCCATTAAAATTACAGGAGAATACAGGGACGACATAAATTGGTCCAGTCAAGGGCAGTGTTTATCAAAGAAGTTGTTTCTTTCTACTGTTCCTGGTCTGAAAATGTGGTCGAGTTCAACAGATGACTCTTCAAGATATGTCCCTAGAGTTTCTTGTGGGTCTTTTGCAACATGTGGAAGAAGAGAATCTATGGAAGATACACACTTCCTCATGCCCCACATGTGTAATGAGGAAAACATCCACTTATTTGCTATCTTCGATGGCCATAGAGGTATAGCAACTGCCAATTTTAACCCAGGAAGCATCCAAATCCAACTTTTTTACATGTGGCCCTTCTCCTTTTACTCAAAACCCATTAGTTATTCATCAAGTAGGGTATATAATAGCACCCTTCATGACATGCAGGTGCTGCGGCTGCTGAATTTTCTGCTCAAGTTTTGCCAGGATTAATTCAAAGCTTATCTTCCACAAGGTTAATGCTTAGCTCAAGCGTTTCCTATTCTTTAACATGGTTTGTTTGGAAAACTCATTCCTATGTCTGATTTTAGCACTGGCGAGGCACTGTCACAAGCATTTATTAGGACGGATTTAGCTTTCAGACATGAACTTGATTCCCACCGTCAATCAAAAAGGGTGAGTCAGAAAGACTTGCATCCTGGTTGTACTGCTATAGCCTCTCTCCTAGTGGACAATAAGCTTTTCGTTGCGAATGTTGGTGACTCCAGGGCAATTTTATGCCGTGCCGGCCACTCTTTTGCTCTAAGTAAGGTGAGATGGGACTATCCTTATTGAAGTGTGCTAATTTAATATCTTATTTATGGCCCGCTTTCCGCTTCCCTGTAACTCAGCTCTGGCATATGAAATCAGGCACATCTTGCAACCTGTATTGAGGAAAGGAATCGTGTGATTAGAGAAGGTGGGCGTATTGAATGGCTGGTTGACACATGGAGAGTTTCTCCTGCTGGTCTTCAGGTTCGCTCGAAATAATATTGGACTCACCAAAATAGCAGACATTAAAGGAACATGAAGTTAGTCTATCGTTGGAAATTCAGTATATCCTTCCTTGTAACAGGTTACCCGATCGATAGGAGATGATGACCTGAAGCCAGCTGTAACCGCAGAACCAGAGATTAGTGAGACCATTCTATCAGCTGACGATGAGTTCCTGGTAAATTTGATTTTATGAAATATTGGCTGTTTATTCGGCAGTTGAGAGAAGTAATAGGTTGACTTCGTTAGGTAATGGCGAGCGACGGGCTCTGGGATGTGGTGAACGACGAGGAAGTTATTGGTATAATCAGGGATACTGTAAAAGAACCTTCAATGTGTTCCAAGAGATTAGCAACCGAGGCTGCAGAACGTGGTAGTGGCGATAACATTACAGTCATTGTAGTCTTCCTGCGGCTTGTGTCTACAGCTGAAAGGATCTACTAGTAGCCAATTCTTACACAGTATTATTCAAGTTGCAACTTCTTTTACATATATATTATTCCACTGCGTTTCTTGTGAACAAGTGAGTCTCGCACTTGAGAATAACCAGTACAAAGTGTAATTCTTTCTTGAGAGGAATACAAGGAAACTTAACTTGAGTACATATATTCCTGATTACATCAGTTACATTACAATTGATCATTCGTTTTTATAGAAATTTATGGTACTTAATGTTTCAGAAATCAGAATAATGTGATACAATAGGGGATGAGAAAGAAGAAAAATAAGAAGTATATTGGAATGGACGGCTTAGTCTGCTCGTCTCATAATCCATGCTTTCTAAGGTATTAATAGTTAGCCTAAAGCCTGCACTATGGTCATCTTGGCAGTAATGCACACTTGTACCTCTATATAAACACCTGAAAGTACAACCTTCTGAGATTTCATCTCTTTGGTTGTCGTCTTCCTGTCTTCTTTTTTTTTTTTTTTTTATTGTTTTCCTAATATTGGCGTTGACCCTTTGCTCAGTGCATCTTGCAAAAGTGTCTGGAAGCTCTGCAGGAACATATCCCATTCAACTGTTGTCATGTCCCCGAAAGAAACACCTTCTGATTCAGCATTCTTCACACACATCGGTGGGCTCCTGCTCCTACTCCTCATGGTGCCTCCTCGCTTATTTTCTTTCGCATTCACAGTAGGTTTTTCATGATGAGTAATCCGCTGGTTTCGTAAGGACAACATCGAAGCAGAGACATTGCCAGGTATGGAGTTTGCACGTGGCCCTTTTGGAGCCAAAGGTGGTTTAGATACATGAAAGACCTCTGAAATCTCCGTTTCACATGGGGTATCTCCACCGTCAAACTTGAACATTCCACCCACTGGCTCCGCATTCTCTTCATTTCCTTGGTAACTATAGTCACCGCCTTCGTAAGTTTTGCCAACTACAGTTGCTTTCGCTTTGGTGCAGAGGGTCTCCAACAGACTGAAACTATCTTCACCTCTTGAGAAATCCCGAGTCATCTTCTCACCTATATCTGCAAGACAGAGCCCTGCAGCTGCTGCTTGTTTCAAGAAAACCGTGCAGACGATGAGGACCCGTATGGCAGATTCAGGCAAAGAGTGTAGTTCATTTCTCAGAAGTTCTGCGTCTTTGAAAGGGTCCAGATTAGATATATACTGCAGCTCAGTGTCGTTGAATGGAACCAAAGATTGAGGCCAGTTTAGCCATTCGAAGTAAGGATCATCTAGGCATTCAGGGAGGCAAAGACCATGATCTATAGGCACAAGCTCAGCGGTCCCAACTCGATTACAAACCTTGTCTTGGTCACATCTCTTCACTAGCATATTCCCCGCGTGCCTGTCAAGGTTCAAGACTCTCACGTCAAGTATTCCAATCCTATGAACCGAAGCAACCGTGAAGCTTCCTGGACCCAATTCCCCCGCATCAAAATCATGACACACAAAACGCTGCAAGGAAGCAACCTTATAGGGCATGGAGGAGAATGAGAATGCGTCCCTGACGTGGAACGGGACATGCGAGATGCTAACCAAAGCTGTTGGTGGAACACCAGAGAAGCCTTGGTAATCCAGAAGGTAAGCAGCTAACTCTCTGATACCGGTTTCACCAACAGGAATAGAATGCTTCATTCCCGGTTGCCCAAGCATCAAACTTCCAGACTTTTTGGGATTGTTGAAGGCTAAAGGCTCTTCATCAACCGGTTTAGCCACAGCAATGTTATGACCCTTTCCGGTTTGCAAGAGATAAGCACCTCCCAAGCCACTTGGTAAAAGCAGAGGCTGAGCTCCAGATACCATAGCCATGGTCACCTCAGCCACAAGGGCACGAACCGTGGGAACTCTCTGGCCACCAAGAATCTCAATCCGTGGAGCGGCGGTTGCTTTAAGATCTTCCTCCATATTAGCAGACGCAGCTATGGAGAAGCAAGGAGAAGAGACGCTTCGATGGATGTTGTCATCTTGAGACGTTCGATTAAGAGATTGCGCGAGGTTAGATTCAAGGAAGTTGAAGTCAAGGTTGGTTAATGATTGGAGTCTGCATCTTTGTGAGGATCGGTTGAAGTAAGGGAACTGGTCGCTGAATGGATCAATAGCCACGGCCATATCCGAGATCAATGAGGGCTTGCAGGTGATGATTATGGTCGTTGCCAAGCAATTCATGCCAAAATTTTGGCACTCCCTATTCTTTATATATTTACACAAGTAAAGAACAAAAAAATCGATTTTTTAAAACCTACACAAATCGACGTTATTTATATACAGTCACAAGATGGTGTGTCCTTTGCTTCGCTTGAATCCATTGTGCCCTTTTAAGTATTCGCTCCTCCAACCATGAATCGCCGCAATTTTCTGCAAAAAAAGAGAAAGAAAAAAAAGCCCTAAGAATCGACAAAGAGGAGAATGGTTGCTTGAAGAAGAATCTATCGAAGAAAACGAACCCTGAATACAGATGAAGGCATTCAGGGAGAGACGGAGAAAGATTGAAAAACAGGGGGGAGCGTCAGAGAAACCGACACCGTCACCGGAAAAAATCTTCCTTTAGTTTTTTTCCTGAGACTCCCCTCTTTTCGAACGATACTTCTTCCTCTTTTTCTTTCTTTTTTTCCTTTTTTCTTTTTCTCTTTCTTCAACCCTTTGCATCTAAATTTATTTGTGTATATGCTATAAATGTCTCTTCTTTCTTAACGTCTCAGGATTTCCCGCGTTTTACGGAGGAGGGAAAAAAAAAAACAAGAGTTTTACTAAAATTATTACAAAAAAAAAAAAAAAAAAATCTTAAAAGCTACGTTCTTGTCTAAGTTGCGTCGTTTACACCGGAAACTAAGGATTTTATTTTGGTTTTTGGACAGGAACAACAAATACAGAGTTTTAGAGCTTGTACAATTTTGAGTGATAATAGGTTGATACTAATAAGCAACATAGTTTGGGTGACCGATGGGAAAACAAAAGACTTTTGCTTCATGGGTTTGACTTGATTGAACCATTGGCTATAACTCCTCATTGCTTCTTGTTGTTAGCGTCTTCACCAGCAGCAGAAACAGGAAAAGATCTTCCACTGCTCGAAACAAGGTTCTTGATAGTTGATTTCAGGTCTGTGTCTTTCATAAGCGCGTCCAGCGTTACGTGTACGCCTATGTTCACACAAAAAAAAACAGTTCGCGTCTCAATTATGTTAAAACTGTAATTGTTCCGAGCGTCTGTGTGTTAGTACTTACGGTATCTCCAGTAATGTTTTGGGTTTGTCGGGTCATTGATTGTCTCTTCTGTTGCAGGACGAGTAGTGTACTCTTCTTTCAGAGCCAACATATCCTAATTGTTCCACAGGACCAAAAAAAACAAACACCACATATTCTTCTTGAGCCTGATAAAAAAGTCCTAAGAATAATGACAAATCAGATGTCCTGTGGTGATGAGTACCTGGAGAGGGAAAATAGCCCACATTGATGGAGCTTCAACATGTTGTCTCAGAATGAAATGAGTTATCTCTGGAACACACTGACTCGGAGGGATTTCATCTACAGCAATCACTTCCTTGAAGTACCTTTGTCTTCTCTCTTCGTCCTCTTCCCACCAAGCTCGCAGTGTGGAGCAGTCGTGGCATGAAGGAGCACAGACCTGATATACGAAGAATGTGGTTTTGAGTAATGCGGTGAATCGCTTACCGATTACAAGTTCCTCGGGAAATGAATGGAAGGATACTATAAGAGAGAAAGAGAGACTTATGATAAAGGAAAATCTAACCGTCATATAGTCATAGTTAGACGGAATCCCAAACTCCACATCAGACTCACTGGGCATGCGTTGTATGCGAAGGCCAACCAAAGCCAGTTCTTGCATAACCTGAATTACTTTAAATATGAGCATCCCTTAACACATAATATGTATGCTTCTACACAAGTTGTAGAGAGAAGTTAGAGCAAGGAAAACAGAGCAAACATACAGGATGTACACAAGATGGAATAAGACCGAGATCCTCCCCACACGCCAGCATATTAGATGAATTTAACAGAGCAGGCAAGGTTTTCAAAGCATTTTTCCTCCATAGATCCTCTTGACGTTGGAAATAGTAGTCATAGTATAGTCTCTTCAGAACATTTTTGCTGTATCAGAAGAGTCTAATCAGAATTTCACATATTGAAGAAGATTAAAAAGAAAAAGAAAACAAAGATAAAAGGATCTGTGTAAATATTCATGAGTGATATAAGATCAAAGGAGCGTGTGTTAGGAAGTTTCCTACCGTGATTAGAAAAAGGTTTTGAAAGTACCTGTGATCATCCAAATCCTGGAAACTTGAAGTATCCTCAAGATTAAAGCGAGGATAGAATTTTCTTGCATCCTCTGGATCTTTGATCAGAACAACATTCTAAAGACAAAAAGTCGACAAAATTAATATTTGAGAACAGGGACTCGAGAAAGACATAAAGAGGAGAGACTCATTTTGTGGTTAACAAGGAGAAGAAATCTAGAAGCTCTTGTGATGCATGACGGTTACCCTCAAAATGTCAAAGACGTCACGACGAACTTTGTCCTCGTTTTCTAGCAACAAAGACTTCTCAGCTAATGACTTCAGCTTCGCTGCAATCTTTTTCTCTGTGTTGCAGTCCTCCTTGAACTAAAGTATATAAATAAATTAAGAAAAATTAGTGTATCCACTGAGGAAAAATTAGGCACAAAATTGTTGACAGAAAAAAGCAAGAACTGATTCAGAATCTAAGACTTCATGCATCACCCATGAAGCTCTTCTAAAGCCAAGAAACTAGAACCAAATCAATCCTAAACCTTGGTAAAACATATGGAACCAAAAGCAATGTTCTGCCTCACAGGTGATCAAAACGCAGCACAATGCTAAAGTGTTATGGAATTGATAGTGTGGTTTCCCAAAGGAAAAAGATCCCTAGATGGGGAATTTGACTGACCTCATACAAATCCTTCTGAGTTTCACTAAGAAAATTTGACGCGATGAATGGCCAAAAATCTCCAAATTTCTCCTGAATGAACAGAACAATGACATAAATCAACAAAAAGGTAATGTTTGTGCCTTGAAAACTCACAATTTCAATCTTACTAAACTGTGATCAAAGCAGATCATAACAAATTTGATGGAAAACTAACCTCAAGAAACTTCCTCTGGACATATGGCTTGCTTAATCGGTCAAAATCCCATATTCCCTCCTTTTCCAACTCTTCCTGCATGAGAAGCAGTTCGGTCATTTCTCCTCAGCTTTAAGTATAGTTTATCTGCAGCCATAAGCTTTTGAAAAGTAACTTTAAAGCCAACTTGTTTTAAACTGTAAGCATGTAGCTTGTTTACCTGACTTAACGGAATAGATGGACGGAACTTCCCCACTAAACCAGTCACAGCATGAGCTGGAAGCTCCCAGATTCGGAAGAATCCTAATATATGATCTATCCTATACGCTGTGAAATATTTTCCCATCTGCAAAGCAAGAATGCAATGTGGTCAGCCCTCAGATATTGCAAGGGCCGTCGTTGGCAAAGACATTAATGCCAACCTGTGTTAAGCGAGCACGCCACCAAGCATAGTTGTCTTTCGACATTTCCTCCCAGTTATAAGTAGGAAATCCCCAGTTCTGACCATTTTTGTCAAAATAGTCTGGAGGTGCTCCAGTTGCCGTATTCATGCGAAACAGATTCTTGTTAACCCACGTGTCGACACTGTTTCTGTCAACGCCAATAGGTAGATCTCCTTTCAGCACGACTCCTCTCTTTCTTGCATATTCTGATGCTTCTGACAACTTTTGAAAAGCCAAAACCAGCACATACTTTTAAATGAAATATAACCAATAACCGGCTTCACTCACAAAGTTGGAACATAATTAGATGAAATACGAATCAGAAAATACTCACTTGTACATGTAAATGGTACTGGATGTAATAATGGAAGCATATAGTGTTATAGTGCAAGCTGTCTTTGGATGCCAATTTTTCAAGCTGCGGCATATGTTATTTGGAGATGTGAGCAAGTTACTAAAACTATCCAGCTGAATTACATTTTGAGAGCTTGGACTGATTCGGTGACTAAATTCCAACAAGATTTAAGCATAGAATACCTTGTTTTCTGTGTAGTCAGAAAAGGTCCCCCACTGACTATGATCAGAAGTCTCAAAAAAGTCACGGAGAAAGCAGAAAGCTGCATATGGTTTCAACCAGCCCTTTCCAGGAAAACAAAACTCAGTCAGGCAAATGGAAAGCTGAAGTGAGCCTTTGGAGGAAGAAGTTCTATGAAGAAAACCTCGTTCTCAGAGAAGAATTTCTGGAAAGAGCTTGAGTTCAACGTCTGGTCTTTCTCTAGGTCATAGATCTTCTTGGCAATTGAAAGCTTAGTTTCCATGGTAGCCTCATAATCAACATCCTACGCATAACAATCTTTATGAGATTAGTGACAAATTAACGTATGAACCATTTACTTATAGACTTTCAAACACATCATACTGACACAGACAATAAACTTTGGAAAAAACCATATCCTATATCTCTGGTGCTATTAAATTCAAAAATATATGGCTGTTACAGTTAGAAACGTCTAAGGACTGATTTTACCTTATTGTCCAGTTGCTTCTTTGCCTTCTGAATTTCTTCCTGAAGAAAACCGAAATAGGTAAGCTAATTTATTTCTTAGGAGACTGGTTCTTCCAGGACACAAAGTGTACAAAATTACCTTGATACTTTCTGGCAAACGTTCAGAAAGAGCTTGTACTCTAAGATATAATGGATGCAACGCAAACACAGATAACGAGCTGCAAGAGACAAAGAAAAAATCCAAAAGAGCAAAGAAACAATCAGGATGAATCAGAAAGTTTTATGAGTTAATATAGAAATACCAAGTAGAAAATTGATATTCACCAGAGCCTCAGGCTCAGTCACTTACAATCAACCATGTATATGGAACGCAAGTTATGCAAAAAAATTGAAATATTCATGAATTCAGTAGTCCAATAGAGAATAAGAACAAATTTTCTGGAATATTTGTTCTCCTCCATTAAGTGAGTGGTAGCAGCAACCCCTTATTGAACTCTTGCAAAACTAACATACATGTAGTCCTCATACCTGTAGGGATACGAGTCCCACCACATCTTATGCACAGATGTGTCATTTACTGGTAAAAGTTGTACTAGATGCAACCCGGAATCTACAGCCCAGTCAACAAGCAACTTCAGATCGAGAAACTCTCCCACACCAACATCATCTTCTGACCTGACAGAGAACATGGGAACTGCAACACCAGCACCCCTCCATGGCATGTCCTACATGTAAATTTACATAATTTTAAGACAATAGTATTCCTGTCAATCAGGAGCTAGTTCATTGCTTGTCTCTATTACTTACTCGAAACAAGCCATCTGACATGACAATGTATTCCTGTTTACTACCGCTGGAGTGAAGAGTAAGCTCCCGATTCCCACCAGATTCAAAACCGATGTTACTGTCCTTCTGAACTTTACAATATCTATATGTGAAAATAACAGTCAAGAAACCCAGCACGCAGAAAACATTTGAGAAGTGAATTTTGAGATCATAGTTGCAGCAAATTAGTATGTAAAAAGCAAAGAAAGGATATTTGATAGGAAAGTCAGCTTTAGGGATCAAGCAATCTGCTTCCCACATGGAATCACCAACATAGTTGAGTCTAAATCCATTTTCAACTTTCCATTTCCCCAACTTCGCCGGGGTGCCTAGAACATATACCTGTACATGTCATAATCAAGTTTAAAAAATGTTGGTCACAACATCGCATCAGACTCAAACATGAGAGTAAAGACGCCCAAAGATCATAGGGAAAAGCTTACCGATGTTCCCTCTCTAACGTCTGAACAACAGATTTTGAATTGGACAACAACTGAATCTGTTTACATGGTAAAGTCATAAGTACACTAAAAGTTAGCCAAGAGATCAATCACAAACTAGAGAATCTCAGAGACAATGGTGTGACAGGTTCAAATAAACAATGATTACCATCTTGATCCGACTTATTCTCAAATACCCCGAGAGGTCTTTCTATTTCCACTTCCCTAGTGTTGCGGAAGATAACATCTTTAAAGGCGCTTCTAAATGGGAGAGATTGATCCGCACTCTGAAATTATAAAGGAACAGAATTTCTCAAGGGAAAATTACAAGGAACAAGAGACAATCACGGTTCACTGCTAATGCTAGCCATTATAAGAGATAAACAGCAAACGAAATGTATTTTCAATTGTTTTCTACTGTAGCAATCACAACCCTGCAATCTCAGTTCATTGTATAATTCACTTGGAGGACATAAAAAACCCAAACCTGCCAGAGATCACGAAGCTGTACAGACTCTCCACCAGTAAATGTCTCAGGAACGAGGAGTTTCCGCTTCATCCCAAACTCAGACCTTAGCACATTTTTCAAGTCATCCACAACATAGTAACAGTAGTCACAGCTAAACCCAGGTGGTACAGAGACACAACCACTCCAAATGAGCTGATCCTCTTGCTGAGACGGCTTCAGCAGCAAACCCTTTTTCACATTCCCGGAACCAAGTCCAGGAGCCGAGCCACAGACCAACAAGCTCTGTCCCCAGTGAGTGAAATACGGTATCGAGAAGCTAAGATTAACCATTGGCTTACTCGACTTGTTGGTGCTCAGAGAAAGCGATCCTAGATTCATCATTCACTAAACAAGAAGAAATAAACACGAACAAAAATCAAAACTTTAGCAAAATCCAGATCACAATCACAGGATTTTTGCTTACTTATCACTTTATCAGACGGAAAGTAAGCACACAACCCAAGAACCACAGAATGAAAAGTGAAAGATCAACAAACCACCAATACGCAAGCCAATGGAGTAAATCGAATACCAGGGAAGAGAGAAGAGTGAAGTAATAAACTGGAAATCGATGATCACCTTTGCTTGTACAAACTGTAAATCTGGAGACGAGTGGAGTGGCCAGTGCCGTCTTGGAGAGTGAAGCAGAAGAATTGTTTACTATATATGGCAACTAAAAGATTCTCAACGTCGTTCGTATATTCATCATCACTTTTGCATACCCGCAATCAACAATGGCTTTTTCTGGAAGATATTTTTTATTTTCTTTCAATCGCTCTGCACCGTCAATTTTCCAACACGAATCTCCTCTCTTTAATATTTTTTTCACTTTTTTTATTAGTAACGAAGACGTAAGAAGGTCACGAGATAGCAGCTCGCGCGAGAGCCGCATTCGTGTCCAGCCATTTTCACTTTTATTGTATAACATGTGTATTGAATTTCGAGTTAAAGAAAGAAAAAGGCTTTAATAATCAAATCCAAAACCCAGTGCACTAATTCTCTTGAATTAAACCATATATAACAAAGCACGTAGAAAACGATCAAGTGTTTTACAAAGACAGAGAAAATCTACAGTAACAACTACAATTATCCATTTATTTATGTTGTTGATAAAAGAGCGAGATAGAGAGAGGGAAGCACAAAGACACAAGGAGAAGCACAAGCATAATAGTGAGACCAAAGTTGACTTTAGCTCACTTTTCGTTAGTAATCAAAAGGCCAGCCACTGTAACCCATATGTGATTGTTGCTGTTGCTGATGATGGTAGTTATGATTCTCATCGGTTGTATCCGAGTTTCTTGATCCTCCACGGTTTTGAGTGGAGCTTGAGCTTGAACCGGACGAACGAAATGGCCAGAAGGACGAGAAAGGATTCCTTCTTTCACTGCTGCTCTCACGATTGTTGCTACTGATACTACTACTACTGTAGTTTCTGGTGGTGGTTCTGTTTTGACTGCTTGAAGATCCTCTAGTTGAAGGTAGCTCTTGGCGACAGACTGGGCATGAGTTGTGCTGAACCAGCCACGGGACGATGCAGTCAGAATGATAGATGTGGTTACACGGCATCTGCTTCGCTTCTGCTCCCAATTCGAACTCGTCTTTGCACACAGGACAGTTTGAGTCCGACGACCTCAGATGCCTCTGCGCGATCTTGATGGTTGGCAATGCATCTATTGATGATCTTGGTGCAGGTGGTGGGCCACGGCGAGTAGTGCCGGCTGAAAGCTGCTCGAATAACTCTTCAAGACCAGGGCCAAAGAAGTAATCGCCGGTGTTACCACGTGTGATGCCAATTCCAGGCGAGCCACCATTGAAGAGAGCTTCGACTGCAGTGTCTCCAGATAGTCTATAAGGGACCTGACCACCAAAGATCAACAAAGGAGCCAGGCCAGGAAAGTTTTCAGGACCCGAACTGATGGCTCTTCCTCTGATTTCTCGGTCGCGGCTCCTTTCACTTAAACGGTTCCTCACCAAGGCTGAGAAAGCATCCATGAGATCAAAAGTCGGATCACGTTCTACAACCTCCCTCTGAGCTCTTAACATATCAAATGGGCTAACTTGAGCCATATCAAGTTCTTCAACGAATCCTCCTCCACAATAAGAGCATACAGGCTCTTGGCCGTGAAGCCGGACAGCACGCTGGCATCTATGACACCAGTGGGTGTTTCGACCGCTAGACATCCTCAGCTTCTCCCTGATGTTTTACTCTGTACTCAAACAAGACCACAACAAATAAAGTCTTCGGCTTGAATCACTTAGAAGAATTTTTGGCTTAATTGACAGGTCTCAGTTATAAGCCTGCAAAAGTGAGTATAAGTTGAAGATCAGTTATATAAAGCATATCACTTAATCATTAACGGTTAGGCTCTACAAAAAAAAGAAAGACTTTACATACAATTTTAAGCCTTGTCGTAATTTGCGTAACCACCTTATACAATTCTTAACTAAACGCTTATTATCGAGTGAGAGAGTGAATCAAATGGCAATGCGAAAAGCAACTCCTATGTCAGAACGGATAAAAAAACGACTTTCAAAAGCACATAACTATCAAGTTAAAGACGAGAAGCAAAACTGCAAAAGGAGAGGTGAACTCAACCAATCTAAAAACAAAATAATGAAGCAGAGCCAAATACCCCAGAGTAAATCTAAGTCGCGTGACGCATAGCTGCAAGCAAATCAGGAGGCCAAAAATGGAAATTTCAATCCAGTGATCCAAACACAACGAGGAAAAAAATATCTATATTAGGAAAACAAAATCTACAGATGCGAGAAACGGATACTTGGTTAAACGCCGAGCGCGATCAGAAGAATACCTCGTCATCTCGAATTATGGATTCGAAGGTGGAGGAGGAGAATCTGAAAGACAAAGGGAGAAACCCTAACGACAGGATTTGGGGAAGAAGACGTAGAGGAACGACTCTAGAAGAATCTCTTCATTTACAGTCTAATTAACTCTGCGAACTCGCAATATGCCACGTGTTTACTTATCGACTGATATTGAGTTTTTCGCAACAACATTATTATTTTTTGTCTGCGTGGCTCAAATCAATTTTTAATCTTACAGGGGAGAGGATTCGAACTCGTTACACCTGAGGCTAGTATTAGTAGTCTAGTAGACTTTTTGCCATTTTATTTTTATGCATTGTCAATTGGGCTTTTATAGATGGACCGAGATATAGTAAATGTGAAAACAAGGTCAAATTGTTGATTTGAGACCTGTCTATATGAATTAGCCCAACAACCATTCTTTTTTACATTGATTACATATTACATTACTTTTATGAATCTTTGAAATATTTTGGATTAGGGAACTATGAAACTGTGTTTTCTCTTATGCAACTACCGCATTTAATGTCGGTTCCTTTCTCAGAAACTATCATTTTCCCCTTCCATTTTAATTAGGGTCTCCCAAGCTCTGATTTTCCTCTTTTTAACTGATATACTTTTGTCTTATGCTCAATCATTTTTCTTTTAACTGTAAACCATAATTTCTCTTTGTAACCAAAATTTTTCTTTAGAATATAAACCAATCATTAACACACACAAAAAAATACCACTATACAAAAAAACTTATATTTCTTTCATGAATTATGTTCATATAGGTCATAGATTCCACGCCAAAATTTCATATCTCTAATTAATATGGTCTGAGTTCAAATATTTTTGTTTAACTATAAAGCAAAAAGAAATCACATAAAAGAATTCACTTATCAACCATGCACAAATGTCGTATATTATGAACTAACGAAGTCCGTTAGTTCTCTTCTTCGGATCCCAATTGTTTTGTCCACTCTTAAAGAAAATGAGTTGTTTTCAACTTTATGTGTTAAACAAAAACCAAGACGAAGAGCGGAAGAGCCATGATAGCGGAAACGTCCGAAAAGTTATTTGACAAAAAAAAAAAAACTACTATTTGCTCGACAAACTCTAGTCGTGAAATAAATTTGACTACTCATACTTCGCAATATGTGACTGATACCAACAAAAAAAGAAACAAGCAACCACAAAGATTGAAAAAATTGCATTTTACGTTAACGACAAAAAAATGCATTGTATATACGTTAAATTTCTTTCTCCATAACTCAGTAGGATTCTTTAGATTATATGAGTTCTTATTCCTTTGCTTTTTTTTCTTGCTTCTTTTAGAGTTTGTAGAATGAAACATATTTCATATTTAAAAGGGAATTTCTATGGAGGGACAAGAAATTAAGAGCCATTGTTTTAGGATGTAAAATGGCTTAACTAGAAGTGAAAAGGAAAAAATTAAAAAACACAGCTCATGTTGCTCCGTTTGTTTCTGGATTGGACTGATTCATAAACATTATATTTATTTGAGTTATATATTGAACTATGACATATAATAAATAAATAAAAACAGGTAATGAGAACGGTTAATGTAAAACTGTATCGGACAACGACTTTGGGTGGAGAAGTAGAAGTCCTCTTCACGTTCACCCTCATTGATTGATAGTTTCTCTGTTTGGTGAAAATATCACAGTTGTGTTTTGACCTTTCAACTAAACCGTTGGCGTTTCAAGACAAAGATTCCACCATTTGCTGTAAGCCAAGCCGCCATATTTTCACCGTTGTGTGCTTTATTATATGTATCCAAAGTTTTACGTCTTTTGTGAACTTGTTCAATTTCTTGTCATCTGCCATTATTGAAATCTAGAGATTTCTTGTACTTCTAGCTTTGTGGAGCCTATGTATAGTGCATGAATATGTCTCTTTTTTTACTTTAAACTTTACAGCTATACGTAGTTTGTCACTACAAAATTGTTGAACCGAAAGAAAGAAAGAAAAAAACAATCACTTCATATTTGAGTTACGGTGTCAAAAGCAAGTAAACAACTCACTTTCATTGTAATTTTGAATCTTCATAATATAACCGTTCAAGTCAACTATTCGACCCCTCATCTTTATCACACATGCTTGCACAATACATTGATGTTTATTATAAAGATTTGAAAAAAAGTTTGGTAAGTTGCAACTATCCATTTAATCAACATAAAGGATCGTTTTTTTTTCATAAAACAATTATTTAAAGTCACTTTTTTTTTCTGAACCTACCAAGTTAGATTCCATGGATAAGAAATGTAGGATTGATTATAGAATAAATACATGCATGTTCTATAAAATCCAATTCCTTTACCAATAATTGTGCTTCTTTCAATCCAAAAAATAATTCTATCTTTGGTCGCTAAGCAACAAGTACTGTACATAGCTTTATCATTTTTTGTCTATGTTTACCAACCATACTCAAATGTCACTGAAAACATCAGACGTGGTAAATCATTTGGTAAATAAATCAAGATTTCTGAATTGAGATTGCGTATTTATTTTCTAATTTGTCATCAACAGATACATTTCTTTTATGTATATGCACTCATATATATATATATATATATTAAAAAGTAAATGAGTGGCTTTGTTTTTAACGGCTATCTAAATTGGTGGCTATTAAACTATACATATTATTTTAAGACATCAAAGTGATGGGATCAAAGATTTACTCTAATAAAAAAACTGAGAAAAAGGGACATGATCTCCACAAGAGAAAATTCTATATAATTGTTTTAAAAAGTATACTTGAAAGAGAAATGTCATATTCTTTAACAAAAAAAAAAAGGCTTGAGCTTATTAGAGAAAACACCGAAAATAATATTATTTTTTTGAAATAAATTAAAAAAAAAAGAGAGAATAAATGGTCGTTAAAGAGCCATAATTACATTACATCCATAAAACAAAGAAGTTAAGAAAAGAGGTCCAATTAGCCCAGGAGAAGCAGAGTGGGACACACAACAGCGATGCACACACGGAGACCCGACGGCGCGTGGGTTTCAGACGAGAAGCGAGAGCGCGTCGTCGCTTTCCAACAAACAAGAGGCGGACCAGAGTGTGTCGAATTATAAAACGTTTTCTTATTATTTTTTTTTGCATTCTTTAACGATGATGGCGTGAAAGAAAGAGAAAAAATAAAGAAAGAGAAAAAATATAGAAAGAGAGGAAGAAATGATGTTCAGTCAAGCGAGTTGTTTTTGGGAAGAGAGACTGAGGAATCAGAAGACCAAAGGTGTCTCCTTTTTCTCTCTTTACTTACCATTTTCAGCATTTCTTCTATCTTCACGCTTCTGCAGAAGAGAGAAAAGAAAGAAAGACCAAAAAAACTTTTAACTACAAAGACCTCTAAGAGACCCTTTCTCTTCTTTCTTCTCTTCTTGAGAAATCTCTGTTTCTGGGTTGCCTAAATAAACTCTAAGAAGTTTTTTTTGTCAATGTGGTAGAATCGATTCTTCTTGCATTCTCACGAATTTTGTTGTATCATGTTTCATTGCTGATTTCTGGGTTGCATGAATTAGAAAGTTTATGCATCTGTTATCTATTATGTTTTATATATTTCCTAGGTTTATGGATATGAAAAGTTTCAGGTTTTGGTATCACAAATAATTTTTTCATCATTAATTTTTTTTTGTGTGTCAGGGTTCATGCATCCTTTTCTAATTCGTTGATCCTTATTTTGATGAAGTAAAATCTAAATCCTATCTGAAATTAAGCTACCATATTGTTTAAGATTAGTGCAAGTTTCATTTATGTAATTATCTTCACTTCATTTGCTGGATTTTACAGTAATTGCATCTTCGGATTGATCATTATATGAAGACAAGTCTTATTTTTTCTTTTCTTATGGTTAGCAGATAAGATCGTGACAATGAGTAAAGTATGTCCTGAAATGGAAGAACAGAGAGTGTGTGTAGCAGTGGTTGAACCAATTTCAGCAGATGTGAGCTTTGCTTCTAATCATTTTCCATCATACAAGTTAGGACCTGATGATCAGATTGTTGATGAACCTGAAGAAGATGAAAAAGCTCCTTCTGTGAAAGATGTCGTGGATAAAGAAACCGGAGATTTGTCAGATCAGCACAAGAGGCTTTCAGTTCGTGACCTCGCTTGCAAATTCGACAAGAATTTAGCTGCAGCTGTTAAACTAGTTGACGAGGTTCCACCATAACAACACTCTATTTTACTTGCTGTTATTATGTGTCTGTTTTTTTTAGTTGAATGATCTAGTTACAACCCAATAACATTGTATTTTTTTTTTGGTGGAATATTTAGGCAAAGTTAAATGAGGTGACTTCATTGGACGGGCATGTTATGCTAAAGAAACTTAGGGATGCTTTAGAATCCATGAGAAGCCGAATGGATGGGCGTAACAGGGAAGCGGTGGAAAAAGTTATTTCCATGGTTAGCTTTTACTTTTTTTACTCGTAAAATGCAATAGTCTTTTCTTGCAGCGTGTAAACACTTGTGAAATGCTTTTAAAACACTTGCTTCCATTTGTGGAGAGTGGATAATATTATGCTACCATGTTCATTTCTTCTTCTCCGCGATCATTCTGAAACTATATGGTTACGCCTTTACGGTGACTTGAATCAACTGTGAAGGGTGTAGATAAAATTATGCAGTTTGTTATTGTTTGTCCTGTAGGTTGAGGCTCTAGCCGTTAAGTTAACTCAAAATGAAGGTGAACTGATTCAAGAAAAGTTTGAAGTGAAGAAATTGGCAAGCTTTCTCAAGCAGGTCTGTCCACTGCGCTGACCTTTTTTCTTTGCATACTTAATACATTTTTTTGTACACTATGTAGGCTCAATTCTCTTCTAGCTTGGTTACTTCTTTTAACAGTTTAATTGAGGCTGATTCATCGTTTCTCAGGCTTCAGAAGATGCGAAGAAGTTAGTAAACCAGGAAAAGTCGTTTGCATGTGCTGAAATCGAGAGTGCACGGGCTCTTGTGATGAAACTAGGAGGGGCGTTTGAAGAACAGGAGCTTTGTTCTAAAGCTTCTCGATCTCAGGGACCGGTATGTATCAATTTTTACTTCAGTCTTCCTTTTCATATGTTTTGTTTTTACATTAAAAAACTATGATTCTGAATCAAAGTTTTATTTCACAGAATGTAGAGATGTTGGTTGAGGAAGTTCAGGAGGCTAGACGAATCAGACGGATGCATCAGCCAACCAAGGTCCAACTTCATTTCTGTGCTGTAAATAAATGTCTATTATGAGCTATCTCTTTGATTTTCATCTTTCTGACAATAGAATCCCAATGTTCAGATATTACTTCAAGATTTTGATGGGATACATTTAAAGTTATATAAACTGAATGCTCTATAATTTAGGTGATGGGTATGCAACACGAGCTCCATGATATAAAGAGTCAAATACAAGAGAAGTCTGCATATTCCGTTAAGCTTCAAAGAGAGGTATATTTTGTGTGTTACTCACTTCTTGCTATTTTTTTATCAGCAAACTGTCTTTTCTCTAAAAGTTGCAAACGTCCTTATAGATAGCAATAATCAAGAGAGCCGAGGGGTCCAAGTCCTGTCCTTATGTTCTTGATGGTGCTCAAAGTCTTGGATCATGCCTAAGAATACGTGCCTCCTCAGATAGTGCTTCAGATATTTCCACATGTTCAATTCAGTGGTACCGTGCAGCGTCTGAGTCTAGTCGCAGAGAAGCTATATCTGGTATTTGGCATTCTCTCTTTCCTTGACCATTTGGTTTTATACATAGGACTTCGGAGAATATTGAAGATTCATTTACATATATGGAAAATCTTATGATGTTCTTAAAGTTATCAACTTTGACAAGAGTTATGATGGTCCATTGTAATAACTTATTGGGCGTGAGCTTTTAGCTAAGCAGTTCACATTTTTTCACTCTCAGGTGCCAACGGATCGGTTTATGCTCCAGAACCATTTGATGTCAGTCGAGTAATACAAGCAGACATTCTTTCTAATGGCCAGAAATTCACTGTTACAACCGATGGTCCAATTAATACTGGTTGGTATTACAGGAAATAGTTTGATATATTCGAGTACTTCTGCAAAATTCTCATACAGTTTCTAGTAGAAAATGATAAAAACAAATGGCTAATGGAATCACAATTTCTACAGCTTCAGGCTTGCAGTCACGCGTTGAATCACTCCTGCGCAAATCTAACAGTGAATTCACCGTATGTTTACTATTTCCCTTTTTACGTGAAGAAGAGTTTTTTTTTGCATACAGTTCTTATTTCTTGCTTCAATATAAGTAGACATATTGATATTTCTCATAGGTGATTATATCACAAATGAATGGGCAAGACCATGCTTCACGATCTCACGTCTTTACTGTTGGAAAGACGAGGATAAAGCTATCCCGAGGGTGGATCACTAAGGCCAGAGATATATATTCAACCTCCATGCAGGTAATCGATAGCCTGTGACTTGTTATTGTATTCACTCTCTGGCTCTTTTTTTTTTTTGGTTTAAGTTTCTTTCTTACAAGTTTTAAATGGTTTGATAACATTTCAGCTATGTGGAGTGAGAGGCAATGCTAATGTTCCTGCAAAGGCATTGTTCTGGCAACCAAGAAAGGGTCTAACTTTCTTACTAACTTTCGAGTCAGAACAAGAACGTAATGCAGCCATAGTTCTCTCCCGGAAATACGCATATGATTGCAACGTGAGTAAAACTAAACCAGTGAGAAAATTCCGATATTTTTTTACTCTCTTCTCTTCTTGTTAAGCCTTGTCTTTTTTGAAAATACAGTCACTCTATGGTGTGAGCAACCAATTTTTAATCGTGCAGGTCACTCTGGTTGGGCCAGACGATTGAGCTAATGAAAGGAGTAACGGTTTTTCTATTAAATCTTCTGAATTGTTTATCCTAAGCTCGGAGATCTGGACTGTTGTGTGCTTGTCCGTGGTTAAAAAGCAAAAAAAAAAGAAGAAGAAGAAGAAGAATGTGGCAAGTTTAGCTTGGAATTCTCTACTGATACAGTGTTTGCTGCATAGTTTTAGGCAGAAGCACATTTTGTGTTTTTGGTTTGATCACTAGTTTGCGGTGGTTGCCATTTTCCGGTTTGATTTGATTGGTTTGTTTGTTTGATTGATTGATTAGTTTATTTTGTTTGGTCCAGCATTGCTAGCTAGATTTTTTTCCTTTTAGTGTGAGATTGTAATCAAGGTTGGTTTGTATGTAATAATAACAGAATTCCTTCTTGATTGATAAAAAACAAATCTTTACAGAGCAAAATTATAACAAGTGTTCTTTGCGTTATGCAAAATTATCCAAGTGTCAAACTTGTATGGTTTTGAACATAAACCATAGTGTTTCAAGTAAAAGGCTTCAGAAATTATGACAAAGTAACATCCTTTTATGGAACCAAATCAAAAAGAAAACAATTTTCCACCTTTTTTATGTCATCGTCGTTAAACTGTGTCCGAACTCCGAAGTTTCTCCTGTTTTTTTCTTTTTCTCTTTCACTCTTTCAGTCCATCGTCGAAACGAAAATCCGTGAGTTCGAATCCAATCCAAATCAATGGGAAAAATCCTTATTGAAATCTGTTTGATATCAGCTCGAGGGCTCCGTGTCAGAACCGGAATCGGATCATCTCTACTGAAACACCAATGGTACGCCGTTGGGTGGATTGATCCGGAAGACAAGTACTGCACAACAATTGATGCTTCAAGACCAGACAATCCTGTTTGGAGAACAAAGTTTGCGACTTTACTCGACGGTGATTCCGCGATTCAGGATTCGAAATCGGCTTTGCACGTCGAGGTTTATAGCAGAGAACCCATCTTCTTAAGGAAGAAGCTTCATGGCTCTGCTACTGTTTCCTTGAAGGAGTTTCTAGCTAAGTATAAGCAGCAGAGTTCTTCGAAATCTGTGATTGAAGAAACTGGAAGCTATCAGCTTAGGAAGACCAACTCAAGCAAGCCTCAGGGTTTTGTCGATGTGTCGATCCGTATATCTGCAGAACGAGAGGATTTTGGGGGTTTTACCGGTAATGTCTCTGAATCATTGATACTGTCAATCTCCTTTGTCCTTAAAAGTCTAGATTAAAGTTTAAACCTTTGTCACGAGAAGCTAACTTGAATCTGTCAAATGAACTAAATGTATATGGGAATGTATCAAATGGAATCAATCTGCAGGAAAGAAACCAACTTTGGTGCTGCTTTAGTTTCCTGTAACTCTATTTCTTGAACTTGAGATTTGGTTTTCGAAGATCCTCGTAGTGTTTTCCAGATGGGTTTGTCTGAAAGAGAGAACTCAACATTCTTCTTCTTCTTCTTCTTCTTCTTCTTCTTCTTATTCTTCTTCTCTTGCACAGGAGATTTTGGAGGAGTCATGCTCTCGAACAACTCCAGTTATAACGCTTCAGGGCCAAATTACATGGCCGGCTCATCACAGCATCCATTTGCTCCACCGAACCAGCCAAACAATTCAAACCCATTCTCAGTTCCGCCATATCCTCCAATGAACAACACCAACCCACAAATGCAACAACCTTACAATCCTCCACCAATGCAACAACCTTACAATCCTCCACCAATGCAGCCACCACCAATGCAGCCACCACCACCACCTTTGAACGCGGGCTACATGCCTGCATACATTCCGAGATCAGAGAAAGCTGTGAATATTGCATCATCATCATCATATGGAGGAGCGGGAAGAGGATATGCAAGACCTGGACCAGGGATTTCCGCGGCTGGATTGGGAGCTGGTGCAATAGTTGGAGCTGCTGCTGCTGTTTATGGCGGCGAGTTTATGTCAGGTGGATTCGACTTACCTTCGAGCTTACCTCTCCCAAATTTTTCCCTTTCTATTGATCCTCCATTTTGATCACAATCCTGAGTCCTGAATAATAATATGAAGCAGCAACAGCTCGGTCCGATATATAGCGGTATTGTGAGATTTATCTGAAACATTATAGATTATTCTTATTTGATAAATGATATATGATAAGAGGTCCCCGATCCAATATACATATTTTTTTTTTGTTTTATCAACTGTTATTACATTTTCTATGGCGTTATTAGAAAATTTACATAACATAGTGTTTAGAAGCAAACTTGTGGGGATGAAATCTTGATATGTAGCTATGTACATAGTCCCAATCAATAATGCAGGTCCTTCGCTTGAAGTAGCAATATGCAATGAATCAAACCTTATGCAGTCTCACCAATCTATTTACATAGACATGGTTTATGTACATAGGCTTAGAGGAGTGGTCGGAACACGAATCTGACTTATCTCGGGCCCTTTTCCGTCTTGAGAAAGCGGATATATTCTAGCTGTCCCATCTCTCCCCCGTTCACAGGATCAAAGCTGCATCTGTAGAAACTGCGAGCCCAAGAAAACGCAAGTGAGCACTGAGCAAAGATCTGTCATCTGTGGGTTATATATGTACAACTGTGAAATTGCTCTGTTTTAAGATTCTAGGTAGTGTGATGGGACAGCAAAGTGAATATTCTAAGAGAAATCAGAGTGGGCTAATCATACCTGCCATCCATGCCGATAATAGCAACCGTGTTTTGGCTGCCAAATGCTGCAAAGAATTGCGTGACCTCTGATACATGAAACTGTGCAAAGGACCATTCCGAGCTGAAATACTTTGGTAGAACACCTGCAATAGGAGTCTACGTGTTAAATACGAAAGAGGCAACGAATTTTCAAGGTTTCACATAGCATTTCCACACACCATTCTTCCCATTTCTACATTTAGGGGAGAGACAATAGATAGGAGAAAGAATAACATATAATGCATAATCTAAGTAATATGCTACTATGAAGGGCATAGATCTCTTGCACTTAGAGGTACATAGTCAATATTCCCACCCAATTAGTTTTTTAGGAATCAAATCATGTTTTCTTGGCAGTTTCATTAAAAAATAATGAACAATAATTCGGTCCTCTTCTTTTGTTCCATAAGGAACTCTAAGAAGAAGCAAGGCATCATATTTCATGAGGCATTATAGTTTGCTTACCACTCATAAATGACAATGAAGAACCAGGATTGGTACCAGTGGCTGGAGAAAAAAGGCCTTGCAAAGAATTAGAATAAGTTTGTTGTGTCAGGAGAGCTGCATTTTCGGTGGAATGAGAATCCTCCCCAACTACCCTAACTCTAAGAGAGAAAATGTGAACAGTCCCCTTGTCGCTTGATACTGCCAGCCATTGCACGTTTGGTGAAAGTGCAATGCTATAAATATCTGCTCTGTCCACTCCTCTTCGTACCTGTAAAGAAACAGCATTGAATCGCATCTAGCACATATTAGTAATTAGCATCGAAGTGGCATTTGACTCGTAATAAGTTTCTATCAACGAATTTCATAAGGCTTATCACCGGAAGAAATGGAACCTCACTTAAGCGAGCTTTTACTACATGTTTGTCAGTTACAACTCATAAGTCTGAACAGATACATTTGTTCAACATCTGATTTGACAATGTCCTTTGATCTATGAGATTGCGAAACAGATGACGTAGTGATCAATATTCACTCATATGGCAAGGAAAAGGATTCAGAAAGGATAAATCAACAGTTTACATTTACTCTACCTCTTGCAAACGAGTTCCGTCCATTGTGTTGAAGATTCTAATCAGCGTGCCCTTTGTACTGGCAGTTGCGAGCAACAAACCATCCAGTGTCAAGGTCATGCACGCAATACTGGCGTCATGGGCATTTATGGTTTGTACCATGTTGAGGCCAAAATGTTCAACTCGAATCTCTCCACGATGTTGACCAGGGCAAGCTAGCACAGACGTATTTGAGTGATGAGAAAGGCAGCATAATCCTCTTGGATTTGATTGAGTTTCAATTTGATGAAGAAGTCTTAGGTCCATAAAATTGTAAACATATATCTTATGTTCCAGAACAACAACAATCCGATCCCTTCTTAATTTCACTGCTCGAATTTCAGACCTAAAAGCAAATTCACTGATGCAACGGCTCTGATGATCATCCCAAATTAGTACTTTGTTTGAAGGGTACTGAGATTTAGGTCCACCGCCAACAAGCGCCAAGATATTGCTTCGGAAAAGCATCTCCACAATTTTAAAACCCCCATTCTTCAGCTCACGCCTGAAAGTTTCCTTGAAAGGTTCACAGTTATATATACGAAAACCATGACTCGTTCCAGCAGCAAAACAACAGGAATCCTGGTTCCAAGACACTGAAACCAACTCTGCTTCATCGCTTTCATTGGATTCTAATCCTGAACGCACAAAAGAAACAGAAGTGCTGTTACTGCGGGAGTCAATACCAGCATAAGCACCTGGTTGCATGATTCCTTGGGGATTTGTTACAGCTGAACTCATTTTTTGGATCAGTTGAAATGCTACACCACTTTCATGTCAAAATCATTAACCATGAAAAAATAGTAGAACTAAGGCCTGCGATATCAAGAAACACCCAGCAGAAAAGCTTAGACTGATTTCAATTTCCAGGAAGAGGAAAGACTGGACCTGAAAGATAGTAAATTTAAAAGTTTAAGTCATGCCAAAACATCATCATATCGCTGTGGCGCTAATACATAGATCCAAACAAAAACCAGATCAAAGACATTGCAGCAACAAAATATTCAGGGATACTTAGTAGAATAGAAATAATGGGATCAGCATAGGTACCTAGCAACAATGCAAAGCAAGAGCAGATAAACAATATTTCAGAGTGTGATCAATACTTCATACAAGAAGACTTTACAAGCTTCTTTCACATCTTATGATAGCATGTCGATTCCCAATCATCATAGCCATTATATCAGACATATCTATCATAATCAGAGCTTCGAAGATCAGCTTATGTAGCAACTATATTATGATCAGCAATGATCGAACCTGGAAAACTCTATTTGCAGTGCATAACTCCTAGATAAGTGAATTCAAAACTCATTCACAATACATCCACTACAAACGGAAAATTCACAAGCACTCTCGCATACTAGTGAATATGGAGATCAAACTAAAAACAGAAAATCGAAGAGTAAACGAAAAAAAATCTTACACGATCTTTGATTCACACGTTAGCAAAGAGATTATACCGATCCTCGCCAATTGGAAACGAAACACCGCGACGAGCCGACGAGTAAGACGAGATCGACGATGAAAAGGTCTAGCTTCAATGACGAACACGCTCCAGAGCTGCTGAATTTTTCCTGAATGGCTTCTCTACCGGCTCCTTCTTGTATAAGTTTATCATCTTCGTCCAAATTCTCCGGTTTGTTTTTTGTTTTTTTGTTTTCTCTTCTAATTTATTCGGAATTTAGTCGAAACAAACAAAATGGGCTAATTACAGTATATGCCTAAGTGGGCCGCGAGCTATAGGCCCTTTAGCCACCATCAGCTAAATCTGACGTGTGTGCCGTTTCTTACATTGTAGAAAACCCAGCGTGTTGTTTATATTTTCTGGATGGAATCTTCGGGCCAATTTTGGATTAAGGCATAACCGAGTGACCACTGACCAATAGGAAGGAATACTGAAAACTGAAAAGGAAATGTATTAATTAAAACAACAAAAATGGACCTGAATTTTTTTTTTCACATAAAGATTCATACATCACGCAAACGGATAATACAAATAGTTAATTAGCCATGAAGGCTAATTAATATAAAGGTGTTACAAAAAAAAAGATTCATACATCTAGAGAAACCGTCCTTGATTCAAATATTCTCTACTGAAACTAAAGATTTCTATTACGTTATCAAACAAAAACAAAATCTAAAGATTCATTTTATCCAGGATGTGTGTTTCAAACTGCTCCATAATCGCAGATACTAAGGTGGAATTAGGCACTGCCCAATTATGTAATAATAACAAAATTGGCTGTAAATTCAGTTTCTAAGATTCGAATATGTTATTTAGTTTTTAAACCTTAACATTCGAATATTTTTATAGTATTTTATTTTGAAAACAAATACTTAACGATGATTAACAAACAATTTAAATTATTAGAAAATCATTAACTGAATATGCTATTTCTTGACAATCAATGTTTTAAGTTTTTTTTTTTTCTTATCAACAAGACTTCATTTATTGACCAATGGTAGTGATTTAGCGTTCAAGTTGCAATTTGTGTGAAAATGGCTGTCTATACCAAAAATGGAAAATCACAATGAAGACAAACCAATCCATATTTGGGAAAAAAGTGATATCGCTATGGAGAGTGAGAACCCCGATACACTCACTTTGTTTAATGCGCACCAAAATTAAAAGAAAGATTAAACACCAGTTTCCGAGAGAGGGAGACATGGACCAATTATCACTTTATTCTGTTTGAGTTAAAGCTAAATTAGTGTCATAATAATACTAGTATTTCTTTGTAATGGTTAACATCACCACAGTTCTCTAATCTTGTAAGTTTACTAATAGCAAGTAGGTTTTTTTTTGGATAACTAATAGCAAGTTGTTGACAAACACTTTATCAAAAATAAAGTAAAAAATGCTGTAGACAAACGTCTACCTTTCTGTGTTCTTGTTCTTTTCATGGTCTAATTTTTCTTCCAATTTTATTCTGTTTTCTTAGTACTTTCTTTTCATGGTCAAAACTTTTCCACGTTTTCGGCACCGTCTTTTACTTATGACTTCATATTCTACACATTAAGGATTCATTTCACAATCGATTTTGTTAACATTCCTAAAATTTTGCATTTTCAAATCGTAGTATACTTCTCCATATCTCAAAAGAGATTATAAAACGAGGCTTACATGCAAGTTAAGTTTGAGAAGCTGAATTTATTTTTAAATAGATACACAATCATAGTAATATTTTATTTTAACTACAAAAAGCTACATGCATGCATGATACATTATTTAATGATAACTTTTTAAAGTTATATATATATATAGATATATTAAAAACCTCCAGGTTGATATAATTGAATAACAGTTAGATCATTATCGTATATGGATCTGACCTTTGAATACATCGATAATTCACAATATTATACAATAATTTATGCAATAGCAATATTTTGATATGTAATCATGATTTTTATATTACAGTCACTATATGATACAGTATATACTATATATTACAGTCTAATGGACGAGACTAATTAATTTGCTAATTTTTTTGCTTGGAATACAACCTTTAAGTATTTTGTTTATACTCACTACAACTTTATTTTAATACATGATAGATTTATCATAAATTGCAATAGAGAGCTTATTAGAAACCTTTTTCCGATGAAAAATGATATTTTAATATGTCAAAACGAAGTTACATAATCAGAGTATAAAACGTCATGACAAACTACTAAAATGACTTTAATGGAAAAAAGAAATAGAATTAGGAGGTCCACTAAAATGATATTTTTTGATATTTTTGTAAGCTGGAATTTACATTCACGAATTTTTTTTACTGCAATAAGTGATGTCGCATCAAATACTTTCAATATTAAATTCTGGAACCTTTCTATGGAGAATATATATTTGTGAGAATTCTGCAATCTCTTTCAATATTAACTAATCTCCCACTTCGAACTTTATGTATTGCTATAAGAAAAGATTTTGATTCTGCTTCACGAGTTTTCAGCCTTAAAATTCAATTGCATCGTCAGAAATTGTAAGAAACATACAATTACATAATTTGTATATATACTTATTGGTGCACCATTCAGACATTCACCAAGAATTTTGGGAATATTACTTGCAGAAAACTTTCGATGTACATGAAGCTTAAAACGTGATGGGGTTCGGGAACTTTTCTAGGGAAATTGAAACCCATTTTGTTTTGGCTACACGTAAAAAGATGAAACATTAAATTTGTCGGCAGATAACCACCGGCCTTATATTAAAATAATTTCTAAACCCTAATCCAAATATATTGTTAAGTATTCCATTCCTTCGAATAAATGATGCTATGATGCCATTTCTCTGAAAAGAAATAAAATATTAACAAGTTGGATGATAATGATAATTGATTAATAATCCATATAGATCCACTCCCCTGCTTTTATATGTGCATTATTGCAGATACTACATGAACCACGCAATACATATGAAGATAATATTAAATAACGACTCAAGATCGTGCTCATACCACACAGAAAGAAAAAAACTCAAGATCGTGCACGAGGACTATATTCTATATATGTGCTTTTTATATAATTAAATAAATCTTAATGGTATGAACTACTATCAAGTTTAATATTTTATTGTCGGTTGGATATTTGATCATAATGCAACGACTCGATATCTACTTTCTTTCTTTTTTTGGAATAAAGGGTTCTATACAAATTAGTTGAAAATATGCCATTTTAAGGATTTTTAATTGGTTCAATGAGACTAGATCTTGCGACGTTGTTGTGAGAATGTGAGCTAATTAAGAATTAGCTATATATTTTTTCCAAAAGACGTGTTTACATATATATAAAAATATACACATAAAGGCGTGTATTATTGACCAGTACGTTTAAATTTTGATAGGACTGACTGCACTGACCCTTAGGCTAGTTTTTTGGGTTCACACAACGTCTTCCTCTAATCAACTTGCATGTACTTTAGTTTATCAATATAGTTAACTGAATATCGATTTAGCATTGTTATACATGAGTTTAGAGTTTAGCTATATATGAACTGCCTTTATCACGAGACTAATGAGACGTACGGGTGAAGTATGAAATTAAGAATCCACAATGTAAGCATGGCAACACTTATTAAAAAAAAGTTTAAAATATCTAATTTAATAAATCTTGTCTAATGTAAATATATCGATTTTCAACCAAAGTAACCATACATGGCTCCAAATCCAATCATCGGGAACATACAAAATTACAAGTACGAAAGTCTTACTTATTTTGCAAACTACGAATAAAACAAGAACACGACCTCTATATAATATATTCTATAAATATCTCTTAACCTGTTATATAATTTAGGAAGGAAAAATAATAATATAGACGTGTCATTTCATTTCCCAATAACAAGAGTATTAGCATTCAAGAAAGACCGTCGTAATTGTATTCATTAGTCATAACCGAAGATATACCTTAGAATCAGAATATATATATCCTTCAAAGCAAGCTTTACTGGTGAATATGACCATACCTTTGAATGCAACCCTAGCGAGTAGTTGCTAGACTGTCCAGAACTTGGATGGGATAAAATCCTTAAGTACAATATGGTTATTATTTATGTTTCCTTTAGATTCATCAGAAATGTGGTTAACGAGAGGTAAAAAATGCAATTGCTTATTCATTATCTCAAAGTTGGTTTAACTTGAGGTCAGCGTGTAATGTAGATGCAAATCTATACTTATATACTCACAAAATAAATGTAGAGAAAGAAGGAGCTCCCTTCAGTCCAAACACAGATAAAGAGGGATGAAAAATATCTCCCGCATCATTCACACAGTCACTGCGGTTTAAAATTTATGGTTGTTTTTTCACCACGAGTGTTTGAGTGGATGAGTCGGCAGATATTTCTACACTCTTCATTTTCTATCCATGACTGGACTGAAAGAATCTCCTTCTAAATCTATCTTATATTAATCTCGATTCATACATATATATACACTTTTGTAATACTAGAGGGCCACACTTATGAAAAGCAAGTATGGGTTCAGTTGATTCTACAGAAGAAAAAAATATACATAGGCATGAGATATAGTATAAAAAACACATGCATTTACTGCTTATAATGGGCCATCGACAACAAGACAAATGTGACCAAGACAACCTCTTTATCCTTGAACATTTAGTTTGAAATGTTATTTGCATGTATAAATGCATCAGCAGTGAATTAGAATGTCAACTAATGTAAGTGTAGATATGTATATTTGTATACATGAGTTAACTTACAAGGTTTGGATAATTGGATGCTGAGTGTTAAGTTCGAAACTTCACAGGAAGAAGCAAGCTTTACAGTACAAGTAAGACCACTGATGGGTCTTGTCAAGAAGAGGCTACCAAGAGAGAGACAAATGTTGAACTGTTCATCAAACATTGAAATCATAAAATTTTTTTAATAAAGTTATATTTTTATAAAAAGAATTTTGACATTGGTTTGTGAGTGATGTAAGCCCTGTGCAGATGAACAGTTCCCATAATAATAACAACATTAATAATAACTACTTGAGTAAATATATTCATAAGCAGACAGGTCCAAAATATGTGTGAAAAGATTCCACCATAGCCATTGCAGATCATGAGAAAATAAAAATAAGAAAAGTATATAGAACGACTAATTATAAAACATAATTTTTTGGTAAAATGTGAAGATAATTATAAAACATAATTTGATCTGACCACTTGGTAAATACAAGCTTTGGAACAAGATATATTCAAATCTCTCATGAGATCCTCAGCTTCTGGCGGGTTTGTGCAAGAGATCAATCAGAGTGAAGACGATGCTTTTTCAATTAGGGGTAAAGACGAAAAAATCTATAAAGTGTAGAAACCATATTTGTTCATCACTCATGGATTATAGCATATCCAATGCCCTTCGTTTTATATATATATATATATATCATATGCTTTTAAAAACAAAGAATTATTGAATCATGATTCAGACAAGGGAAAAAAACCCTAAAACAAGAAATGAAAAGCCTAATATATATATATATATATATATATATATATATATATATATATTTGTGCGGGCAGGAGAAAGAGCGATTAGATCTGAAATAAGTCATACGTTGGTAATAGAAAGATCATAAAGACAAGGTAAAAAAATACCCTAAACCCGGAAAATTGAAAAATTATGATATTAGATCTCAAGCAAGTCAAGACTAATGGTAGATGTGATGATAAGAAAAGAGAACCCTTACATGGATATTCAGGTTTTTGGAGCTGTCTGAAAACCCTAGCTAGCTCTCTTTTTGAAATATTTTTAACCCCGTTGAAACTATAAGAGAAGAATAGTAACTTATAGGAAAAAGGGGAAGTAGGTGGATGTAGCCACTACCAACTAGGTGTTTAGCAAGTGGTGATTCAAATAAGGGACAAACAAAAAGAGATGGTGATGATGATGATGATTGATGATGAATGATGATGATCATGGTGATGTTGGGTCATTGTCCTCATGGGATTCAGGGAAAGCTAACTGTTTCTTCATATCTCACCATATCTTACATATACATGAGAGAGAGAGAGAGAGAGAGAGAGAGAGAGAGAGAGAGAGAGGCTGACTCGTGTAATACTGTGTTGTGTTTCGCGCAGATGTGAACTGATTTTTGATGGGAGAGAGCTATTAAGAGGTCATCAGCCAGCTTTTTAAGGTTCTTTAGTTTTTTTTTTAAGGATCGCATTGAATGAGTGGTGGAAGAGCTTGAGAATTTAGATAATTAAGTCTTTGGTCTCTTTATCTTTATTATATTTAAGCAAAAGATTAACGAGTGGACCAAAGATTAAGCTGCAAATCATATTATTGTACACTTGAGGATCATTAGTGTATAATATAATTGGTCCCGAAAAATAAGTAGTATTACCGTTGTCTTTATGCCATTAAAGAATCTCACAATCTTGTGAACACAAATTCCTCTGAGTGAAAGAGAGAGATACATCTCAAGAATTAACTACTGAAAATTTCGGGGAAGGATTCCAAAATTTTTACATATAGATCTCCAGTATATGGAGTCATTATACTTATTCCTTGCACATTTGACTTCCAACAAGAAAAAGTTCTAAGAAAACATTATTATATTTGTGGGATCGCAGTTCTACCATCAATTGTTGTCAAATGTTCTTACATTTGATAGATCTCTTTTCGATAAATTACTACTAATGATCGTATATACAAATAATATATATATATATATTCTTTTTTTGTAGTGAACCTTCTTAAGCTATTCACAAATTATTTATGCCTTAATTAACACAAAATGGTCTGTGGTTAATTTGATACTTTCCAAACAAACAGTAGGCTACATTTCATAAAATGCATATCAATTACATGTGTTTGTTTGTTTTGTTTTTCTAAAGTCCTAATCAGTTCAGTATTATTTATAAGATTCTTCTATAGAAAAAGAAAACTAAATTGCATATATCTTGATCAGTTACACAATATAGAGGCATATATAGAGAGGTAAAACAAACTAACTATAAACTATGTCTCATATCTCAATCAAAGAAAACAAATATAAGTGGGTATGCGATTCAAATATATAAGATTATCCCAATGGAGATAGAAAGATTACGTAGTCCTTCGTCCCGGAGCAGTAGCCACCACTCTCCTTAAGTGAAATGACAACAATCACAACAAGGACATTTTAAAATGACGATCTTACCCCTGCCAACCTGTCATCTGCGAAACCGACCAGAACAGTAGTGGGCATGGAGTGGGCCCTTTGTGTGTAGCTGCTTGTTTCTTCATTCAAGAACACCCGATAATAAATGGCCTCCACCCGAACCGATCCGGATTAAATTAACTTTTACCGACCCGAATCAGTCGAGCTGAACCGATCCAAATTGACAGAACTGACCCGACCCGACCCGATCACCATTGACGCTACGAACTCAGTAAGCTCCTCCGGAAATGGGAAGATGATGGTTTTCTTCAAGTGATTGATTGCGACCATTTGACTCCTTGATCCCTATTAGAAATCTTTTTCCTTTTATCTTTTATCCGCATTTCAATTGATTCAAGCTCGGATCTTTGTTCGAGTTTGTGCGATCGATCTAAAAGGCTATAAGGATGGTGAAACCATCGGATTTTAGATCAGTTCATGGGTTTATCCGGTTGCATTACAGTCGGGTCAACCCGGTTACCATCGGCCGGTCAAACCCACCGCCTCTGTCTTCTCCGGCTATTCCTTCGAACAGTGTTCCCCAGCTCCAGCCTAGGTTCAGCTTCCACAGCTTATCTTCCAAACCCACTTCCACAAACGTGGGATTCTCATCACAGGTTCTGTCTTGTCCTAAGCTCAATCCTAAGTTGCAGGCTTTGGGTTTGCCTCGTGTGAATGTGAACTATTCATCGGCGTTTAGATTGGTCTCCACTAAAAGCTCTGGATTTCGAAAAGTCGATGGCAATTTCGCGAGAAAGGTTGTTGATAGGCCTGTGAAAGCTGTTAGTTCAACTTTTGCTAGATACCGTGAGGCTATAGGGTTGCACATTGATGCCTTTTGGAAGAAGAATAGTCTCATTCTATTTGGAGCTGGAGGAGTTTTTGTATGTATTTTCCTTTGGAGGATTATGTTTGGAATTGCCAGCACTTTTGTTGGTCTCTCAGAAGGCATGGCCAAGTATGGGTTTCTTGCACTCTCCTCAGCCATCGTAGCATTTTCTGTAAGCTCTCTGTAACTGGCCCTGAAAATCTGTGCTTTAATGTTCGCTCGATTTCTTAACGCTGTTTCAGTGATTGACTTTACAATGTTTGCTCAGTGCCATGTGGTGAAAACGAATTTCAGGAATTTCTCTGTAGTTTTCAAATTATGGTTATTGGTTGATAGTGGAACTTTTGTTATATGCAATAGCGTTGCTTAATCCACCAGGACTAGAGCTATTGTTGCATTCTCCTTGTTAACTGATGTTCCTTTACAGGCGAAATCTTGCGTGGTGATATTTAAATGTCTTATTGCTAGTAGGAATACAGGACATAGTGTTTTTGTACATGTTGTGTATCTGTAATGCAAGAACGGCTATAAGATATGGTTTTGTGGCTGTTACACTCTCCTTGGCTTATATTTTAAAGAAATCACTCCTTCACAGCTATCTGCAATTTTTATAATAATAGGGATTATACCTCCGCTCAAGGTTCACAATAAATCCCGATAAAGTTTACAGGATGACCATGAGAAAGATCAATACGGCAGCTGAAATTCTTGAAGTTATGGGCGCTCCTCTGTCAGGATCAGATTTACGAGCTTATGTGATGTCAGGTGGTGGCATAACATTCAAGAAATTCAAACCAACAATTAGGAGCAAACGATGCTTTCTCCTATTCCCTGTTCAAGGCTCTGAGAGAAAGGGACTTGTTAGCGTCGAAGTGAAGAAGAAGAAAGGCCAGGTTTTTACTTTCTCAACTCCGCAATTCCCCTTTTACACAACCTTCTCCTATGTTTGTTCACGATGTAATCTTAAGATTATGATAAGCTTTTGAATATCTAGCCTAGGACTGAATGTAGCAGATTTGAGCTCTTGTGAGCTATTTAGAGAGCAGTACGCAATGGCTTGGTTTATAAGGATGTGGATTATATAAATTGGTTGGTCATTTGGTTGAGAGTAGTTTTTAAGATAGCGTGGATGGGTCTCAGCATATTAGTTCGGGTAATGAATATGCAAATGTTTGGTTGGACATTTGTCAGCCTAGTTTCTTAGGTGATTTCAGTTTTGTCATATCACCAGAGAATCTCTATTACCAGTTATGCCCCCTCTGTTGTGTGTACTTAATCATGATCGTGTTTCTGTTTCTTCAGTATGACATGAAGCTTTTGGCGGTGGACATTCCAATGGCGTCTGGTCCTGATCAGCGGTTATTTCTGATTGGCGATGAAGAAGAGTACAGAGTCGGTGGTGGTTTAATCTCCGAGTTAAGAGACCCTGTTGTGAAAGCCATGGCAGCAACTAAGGAGTTCGATAATCTTGACAGAATCGAAGAGGAAGAAGACGCTGAAAGAGAACTTGAAGAAGCTGAAAGAAAGCACCGTGAAGAGATCGAGAAGCTCGAAAAAGAGAGCTCTTAATTCCTTTTTTCTTCCCCAGATAACTTGAACACTTTTTTTTCCAGATCTTGCATACTCATCAGTGGATATAATAAAAACAACACCTTGAATCTTTTCAAAACCCAGTTTTTTTTTTTGCTAACTTTCGACAAATAAATTGCATCCAATCTTTGATGTAGATCATCGCCAAAGAGTATTACACTGATTTGTGATTACTGATTTAAGTGTTTTGGTTTAGAACTTATGTTTTTTGGTTTCACCGGTTTATTCATAGTAAATGCACATCATATCCCAAATTCAGAGAGACATATACTATCTATGTCAGATCCTACGTTGTTTTTGACAAGTTTTTATTCTACAAAATTAGCTGTTATGGTTAATCAATGCGATAGCTTGTGGGAGATTTAGTATTGATTAACCATAACAGCTAATTTTGTGTTTTTTTAAAGAAGTGTTTGTTTTTTTCAAAGAAGTGTTTTAAGATTAACCCTGTTGTGGTTAACCCTGTTGTTAACATTTAGTATTCTACAAAATTAGCTGTTGTTTAACATGTAGTATTCTACAAATTTTGCTGAAAGAAGTGTTTCGTTTTTTTTTTAAATCATGTTATTTTAATCATTAACTAGGTGATTTTCCGCGCGTCGCACAGAATATATATTAAATTATTACTATTTATTTATTATTGTATAAAACTATATGTTTTCAATTTCATTGCACAACCATATTTCCAAAAACAATTATTATTATCTTTATATATTTTTGCTAGGAATAATTTTATATTACGTTAAAGTCAAGATAATTTTTTTAGCACCTATAGTAAAATTTGATTGTATACAACAAATAATAGTTGTGAAATATATAATAGTATTATTTTTTGTTCAATCTGATATTAAAGTATTTAGATGATTATATTTAAAAAACAACAATAAAAATTAATTGTTTTTGATAATTATTAGGTTGATATGAGGATAAAAAATAAGAAAATATGTAGTGAAAGAGTGAAATATAAAATGTTTCATTTTCTTTATTGATAAGTTTTTTGACCAAAATCTTTATTTAAATGTTACAGTAATAATTGCTCAATTTATAACTTCCAATTAAAAGCTGTGTTGAATAACATGTTGTGTAATCAATATCAGTAATGTAATTAAGATTATTTCAAATAGTGGTAAGTGAGAGAAATGAAAAAAAAAAACGTTATCTATCATATTCTTTTTTTTATAGTTATCTATCATATTCTAAAGTGTCAAAAATTAACAAGAAAAGAAGGATATATTTTGTGTATTATATGGTTAAGAAAATCTCAACAGCAAATGATGCAACCATGATAATGGTCTATCAAAAAATGATCTAATTCAAATCAAGTCTAGAATCTCAAGAAGTTTTTTCCCGGAATTGTAATCCAATCGAAAGAATCATTCTCGTTAGGATTCGAAGATACTGATTCTGAAGCAAGTTAGAATCACTCAACCAGAATCTCTCCACTGATTCTGGAGCCAGCTTGGATCGCCGGCGTCAATTATTGTTTATCGAAGAGTATGTAACGGAAATGAGAGCCCATATGCGATTACTTTACCACGATTTTTAGAAGAAGCTCTCACATGAAAGGTTCTTTAAGTCGGTAAGGAGAATCTATTATCATTCCACAGCTTATCTCCGAAGGAGTATGATGCAACCATGATGACATCGATTGTTAATTCTAATACTTATTAGGGATTTATCTTTGCTAATTCTAATACTTAGTATTTATCTTTGCCTTCGAGATAAAATTAATTAATCACAAAAGCCGACGCTCTTAAGTCTTAAGTTATTAACACTAGCATTAGCAGACAAGACCGAGCCGTTTCTTGCACGTAATTAAGGCCCACAAGGCCTCACGCGCCTCGGTCCCCTCGACACTTTCTCCTTTCTGGGCCTCAAAAGTCGATGCGGCCTATGGCGTTTTCATTAATTTAACCAACACACAAGGGTAATTTTGCAATATACTTCCCGCACACGTGATCCCGAGAAGACCAGATAGATGTCCACGTCAGTTAATCACCAAGCTATTTCAAATTTCGATTGGTGTTATCCCCAAGATAAAACTGGAGCTGTTCGATCACCGAAATTTGAAATTTCTCTCGATATAATAAAAAAAGATTAAAAGATAATTGCTGGCAAATAACAAGTTTGCAACAACACAACACCAAACTCCAGACTGATCTTGAAGCAGCTCGAGAGGCACACACTCGTGAAAGAAAAAAAAAAGTGTGACTATGATATCTATTTCGATCATGCTAATTTTACCTTAAAAATGATTTAAGTACTCTCTGAACAACTCACTAGAAATATAAAAAGATAAGGCAACATAAAGATAGTCTTCATTGATGTTCTGATTTGTCACATTGCATAGCCGAAACCGTAACGAGCAATCCAGATCATGATCAATAACAGTTCAATGATCATCAGCTCAGCATTCTGTGGTCAGGGTTAAAGTTTTTTTTGTTACACATGATAAAGTTAATAACTAGACATGAGTTTATGTATATTATAACAGATAAAAATATATCACGTTCCACGTACATGTACTGTTGTAGAAGTTCAAAAATATTCCTTTGATTTTTTTATTTGTGTCCCAGGCTCCCAGCTTAAGATAAGAGATGCCTAAACCAACTAACCAAGAGATCTAATAAATACGTACGTGGAAGACAGAAAAATCATGCAATTCTATATTTTCACAAATTAGTTTCGACGCTTATAAGCTTATGACCACTACGGTCAGAGAAATGAATGAAAACAACAAGTGTGGTTTACTGTAGTACAAGCGATGCCGATATAATATTGCATTAAGTGTAATCGAATTCTACCAGTGTAATCGAATTTAACAGTGTAATCGAATTACACTATTGGAATTCAAATCGAATTCAAATCAAATGCCGAATATGTAGAATTTAACAGTGTAATCGAATTCTACATAACAGTAGAATGTACCGGAAGTGACTATGAATCAGAATCCGAGTCTGAATCTGTTTCTGCATCACATTGCACCCCAAACGGTCTCAATCTGTTTGTGTTTGCTTCCAATGGGGGCATGCCATCATCATCATCATCATCATCACTCGAATCAATCTCAACATCATCTTCTTGCTGTGCGATGGGTATTTGAGAGCTTTCATCAGCCGGAATGGGCTTAGTATTTTTGAAGACTTCAGGCCTGTATTCACCATATCCAAAACTAACATGAGCTATGCTGAATAAACTTGAAATTCATTCATATACAGCAGCAAAAGAAAGAAGCTTTTACCATTCCGGAGACTTTTGGAGGAGACGGACTTGCTCAAAGAATAGAACTTTACAGACAATAGATGTAATTTTGCTACCAGACTCTTGCGCCTTTTCCTTTCCTGTATGGTCAATCACTACAAAGCTTCCTGCAAATCCAGTGCAGCAGAAACAACATAAAACACCATCTCAAACTCGTCCATCTTCACCAAATCATGCAGTAAATCTAACCGCTCAAGAAAGAAACAAAGCCAGATCATATGGAAAGATGTCGAGGATTGAGGCACATTGCATGATCAGCAAATACTAAGCGATGATTTTATGTTCCTTTCTTCTGTCAATCAAAGTAAACTAGAAAAATTACCTCGTCTGATCCACATGCTCTCACGAAATTTGGCTGGAAACAATGCTAATGAGTTCTCTCCTTTTGCATCCATAATCTTCAAACAGACAACAAGAAAACAGCAGTTAAGAACAATCGATTAGAAACTCTCGTTGGCCTAAAACTATAACATGAAAGGGATGTAAAAATTCAATCTTTGATAAGTAAATACATACATACAAAGTTACAAACTAAGCTAAACATAAGAGACAAATAATCCAAAGAAAACATGTTGGAATTGGCGAGATTGCATAAAAGAGTGAAACCCAAATGGAAAAAAGAAGTTTTTTCTACCTCAATTTGATTGGAACCTCTGAGAGAGACGACCTGAGCTATGCTCTGACATTCCTCAAGCGTGAATTCCTGTTCTGAAGCCGCTTGTTTCAGATTTCTTCTTCCTCTGTTCATCTCTTTTAACTCTTCAACTCGAATTCCAAGTAATCCCAAACTCTAAATCACAGCCAAAAATACCAAAAAAAAACACCGGAGAAATCGAGATTAGGGTTTTGCAGTTGTGCCGTTTAGCTGGGATCGCATCCTAAAGACAAGCAAACAGTAAACAAACGCTCTGTCTCATTCAAGAGGGGTAATATTGTTATTTTACTTACTAATTGAGTGTATTATTGTCATTACGTTGACCGAGTTACGTCGGTGCGACCGAAGCGCTCAGATTTACAGATAAACCGGGATTCGTTTTTAACCGTAAATCGACGGGTCAGTTACTCTCCTCCGCGCCTGAATTTCACTCCTCCAGCGTCCCCGACGATTCTCGACTCCTGATTTTTTTTTCCGAATTCTAGGTTCGAAATTATTTTCTCTTTTTTAAGCTTGAGCTAGTTTTCGTATAAATTACATAACTCATGTATCGTGATGTTTTAGAAGTTCAGAAGTGTTTTGAAACTGGCATAAAGTTCATAGCTTTTTATGTGTCGTATCTGTTTTTGGGTTTTGTATCTTGTTTATAGATTTGATTCCGCATTAATGATGTTTCTGTTTTAGCTAGCTTTGTAGTGATGGGTAGGAGAAAGCAATCCAAGCCACAGCGTTCGGTGGGTTTGATCACACAAACTGGTCCAGAATCCGATAGTAAGCAATTATCCGGCGACGACGCGGAGAGTTCTCGGGGGAAGAATGTTGAAGATATCGATAAGCCATATTATGTGAACATATGCTCAAGTAGTCAAATTTCGGAGCAGCAGCACTTTGATATAGCTGAAGTTGTTCTAACGAATTTGAGTTTAAGAGAAGGTGTCTGCAATAGTAGTAAACCCTCCACACCCATTGAGATTGATCATGATATGGATTGCTCGTTACGGTTTCGGCTATGCAATGTGACAAATTTTGTTGACCGGATTAAGCTTGGTCACTGGCCTGTGTTGTCTTCCAGTGACATAACATTGGAATTGGTTGGTAGAAAGGTGTCTGATGATGAGGCTGGGTCAGTGATTTGGTCTGCAAGTTTTGACGGTCCAGGTGAAGGGGTTTCAGGTCTTGCTCATTTGGCAAGTATAAAGTTTTTGACTTTAAGGCTTGTGCCGGGTAATGAGGGATTGTTGTCTCCTGGAGTGAGAGTTGAGTTGCTTCAGCAGGCTTTTGACGCCTGTGATTCGCTTCTTGAGAATACAAGGCAAGTATGGAAAAAGAGTATGATTCATGTCATGTCTTGGTTGAGACCAGAGGTGATGACATCAGAGGCTAAATATGGGACACAATTTAACGTGAAGGAAGTTGAGAGATCGATGGTGACAGAAGCTGAAACTCCAGACTCTAGTAAACAGTCGAGATTTGATGCTGCTGCTTTTTATGAAGCCATAAAGCCATCAAAGTGAGTAGAGCAATTTTTTCTTCTTTGTGTGCGTTAATGTCTGATATTATTTTTCCAACTTATTAGCATATTATTGATTCAGGACGGATGCGATGCTTGAAGATGACATAACTGATTTGCTTCCAGAACTTAGGCCGTACCAACGACGTGCAGCTTATTGGATGGTGCAGCGAGAGAGAGGAGATCCAATATCGTTGGGAGAAAAGGAAGACAACCAATTCATTTCACCTTTGTCTATCTCCGTTGGATTTCTTGACTCTCCCTTAAAAATGTTCTTTAACCCATTCAGGTTGGTTCCTTTCCCTCTTTTTTATTTAAAAAAAAAATCAATTTGAAGTGCTAGCTTCTCTCAAATGTACAACATATAGTCGAAGTCTCTCTCACTTAAGTTCCAACTGTTTAGAGAAGAAGTCAAATTGATTTGGTCCATTTGTCGTGTTTTGGTTGTAGTGGGAATATCTCATTGGAAGCAGAGTATTTTTCACCTCGAATTCCGGGCGGTATCCTTGCTGGTAAGAATGGTTTGCAGCTTCATTTTGCCTCCATGTACTATAATCAGAAAATTTGTTCAGAAGAATAATTTCCGAACTTTGTGTTTTAAGACAACTTAAATGCTAGATGGTGTATCTGGCTTTATCTACCCCTCATATTTTTTGCGCATTAACTTCTGTGGTATTTTATTCTTAATGTGGTCAAATACGAATGCTTCAGATGAAATGGGATTGGGAAAAACGGTTGAACTACTTGCTTGCATCTTTTCTCATCGAAAACCAGACGAGAATGAGATATCTGTGTCTAATGGGTCATCATTTACTGAAGACTGGAAAACTGGCTTGAAAAGATTGAAAAGAGAACGTGTTGAGTGCATATGTGGAGCTGTCAGTGAAAGTCGCAAATACAAAGGAGTTTGGGTACAGTGTGACATGTGTGATGCGTGGCAGCATGCCGACTGTGTAGGTTATTCACCTAAAGGGAAAGGTAAGAAAGCTGGTCAAGATAGAGATGAAAATGTATCTCAAAAGAAGAGCAAAAAAGATGCAGTGAAAATTGTTGTCAGACAAGGAGAATACATTTGCCAAATGTGCTCTGAACTTCTACAAGTCACTGCCTCTCCCATCTCTACGGGTGCCACTCTTATCGTCTGTCCAGCTCCTATATTACCGCAATGGCATTCCGAGATTACACGGTATCAGATTCTTCTCCACCTTTTTCTTCCCTCTGTTATGCTTAACGAGATGACTTTCACAAGTCGGAATTTTGTTTATCTTATCTCCCTATCATGTAATGTTAGTAATGTTTTCTTTCCTTCATATGTCCTGTTGTAGCCATACACGCTTGGGTTCTCTGGTAACGTGTATCTATGAAGGTGTGAGGAATGCCTCACTCTCTGAAGAACCTACGATCGATATCACTGAACTCCTCAATGCTGATATCGTTTTAACTACATATGATGTCCTCAAAGAGGACTTGACACATGACTGCGACAGGCATGATGGTGACCGGCACTGTCTTAGATTCCAGAAAAGGTGCGATTGGTGATATTTTGGATTCTTTTATCCCACGCATTATTGATTAAATGATGAACTTTCATCATATCTGCTATATTGAACAAAATGTATTATTGAAACATTTCTAGGAATTTGCCAATATGAATATGGATTAGTTTCATACTCAAGTATTCAAAAGAGCCATTTAAAAAACACTACATTGAATCTGATAGAACTGTTGTTATATCTTCTGATTTCATGCAACTGAAAAGCTTTTTTGGAAAGTTTGAGTAACGATGCTGTATTGTGATAGGTACCCTGTTATTCCTACTCCACTAACCAGAATATTCTGGTGGAGGATTTGCTTGGATGAGGCCCAGATGGTGGAGAGCAATGCTGCTGCTGCAACAGAGATGGCATTGAGATTATATACTAAACACCGTTGGTGTATCACTGGTACTCCTATACAACGCAAACTTGATGACTTATTTGGCCTATTGAGTTTCCTCAAAGCAAATCCTTTCGATGTGTCAAGATGGTGGACTGAAGTTATAAGTGACCCATATGAGGTCTGAGTAGAAAAAATAGTTCATTTTTGTACCTTTTATGGTTTCTCTTGCCTAACAACCTTCTTTCTTTGTTCAGAGGCGAGATGCAAAGGCCATGGAGTTTACGCATAAATTTTTCAAACAAGTTATGTGGCGCTCTTCAAAACTCCATGTTGCTGATGAGTTGCAAATTCCACCTCAAGAGGAATGCGTCTCTTTGCTCAAATTTTCTGCAATTGAAGAACACTTCTATAGCAGGCAGCATGAAACTTGTGTGAGTTATGCCCGTGAAGTTATGGAAACTTTGAAACGTGATATTCTCAAAAGAGGTACCATGGGGGTGCGAATAGTGTCTTCTGCACTTTCCACCTTTGTCTTTACTTGCCTCTTTAAGTTCTCTCACAGAAATTTTGACGCTACTTTCTGTGCTGGCTGCTAAAATTTTTATCCCATTTTTTTGATAATCTACAGGTCATAGTTCTGCTGATAATCCTCTAATAACTCACGCCGAAGCTGCAAAACTGTTGAAATCACTCTTGAAACTGCGCCAAGCTTGCTGCCACCCGCAAGTAGGGAGTTCTGGTTTACGTTCATTGCAACATACTCCAATGACCATGGAAGAAATTCTAATGGTGAGTTTGCAAGATTTACCTTTCTGATATTCCTTAGTTATTGTGCTAATCGAAGTTTTTCTTAGGTCCTTGTGAAAAAGACCCAGAGCGAGGGAGAAGAAGCTCTTAGAGTGTTGATTGTTGCTTTAAATGGGATTGCTGCTATTGCCATGCTTAAGCAAGAATTTTCTGAAGCTGTATCATTATACAAGGAAGCATTAAATATAACTGAAGAGCACGCCGAAGATTTTCGTCTTGATCCATTGTTGAATATTCATATTCTTCACAATCTAGCTGAGATACTACCACTAGTCGAAAGCTGCAGAGAACAACGTTCTGCATCAGGAAGACCTAAAAGTAAAATAGATGTAAAAGATGACGATCATCATCGGGCAGCGAAAAGGCAAAGGATCAGTGAGCTCGACACTTCATCTCATGTTTCTTCAGAAACTGCAAAGCAGTTGGAATCCAATGCTCGAGACAGTGGTTTAAAGAAGGATGGAGAGTATCATGAAGAGTGCAAAACTCTAGATATAGTTTGTGACACATTAAAAGTCAAGTATTTATCCACGTTTAACTCAAAGCTTTCTGGTGCACAGCAAGAATTCAGAAAATCCTACAATCAGGTAATCTTCTAAAAACTTGCTTAACGCTAATTGTATTCTTAGCAAAAGAGTCAGTATAATCCATGTTTACATAATTTCAAGATCAGGCACGTTAAATATTTAGCCATCACTTAATTTCCTGGAGCTCACATTGTGTGATGCTATGCTAAATAATCGAAACAATTTCAAGGTTTCCGAGTCATTGAGCAACATGGGGAAACAACGTTCAATTTGGTGGTTGGATGCCCTGCAACTTGCTGAACAGAATAAAGACTTCTCCAGAGAGTTGACCAGGAAGATTGAAGAGGCCATCCATGGAAGCCTAAACAATTCAAGCTCCTCCAGAGCAACTTCTCGGTTAGTGCATTAAAATTGAAGTTTCATGACTTCTGTTGGTGCGAGAGTACTTTTTCCATCTGCTAGTTACATAATTTTCTGCATTTGACTAATTAATTCACATGTGCCTGCAAAGTTATCGGAACGAGCCACCTGACAGACTTGTTAGCTTTACTAAACGACTAGATTAATTATCATGATAATTTCAGTATTATATGAGGTGAATTTCTTAAAGTTAGATCATTATATTTGTTTTCTGCTTTGTAAGCTTACAGTATTAAGGTGCACATAACTCGAATACATTAAGAACTAACCTGTTAAGTTCCCTGATCTCAGCTTTAGAACCATACATGGCATGAAACTTCATCTGCAGACGTGTATGGATACGCTGGAAAGCTCTAGAAAGACAGTGATAGATAAACTTATGGAGATTGACCAGACTATGGAGCAACCGAAACTGGAGGATATTGAGCGTATTGGTAGCTGCAAGTATTGTAATAAGAAAGATGATGGCCCGACGTGTATACATTGTGAGCTAGATGAACTATTCCAGGTTTGCTTCTTTTGCTTGTGCGCGCTTATACGAGGTTTTATTGGTATATATATAAGCTGTTACCATCATCATGTATTGAAAAATCCTCCCAGGAATATGAGGCTAGGCTATTCCGTCTTAACAAATCTCGGAGGGGAGTAATGGAACATGCGTCTGCAGAAGAGAAAGTAGATTTCCAAAAGAAGAGATCTGCCCTTAATCTTTTCTTTGTTGGTTTGTCATCGAGAAACAAGGATCTAAATCCTTCGTATGGTGATAATGAGGAACCCACCAAAAGAAATGCTGGTGACGCCGTGATTGTAAGTCACTGATCTAGTTTCGATTTGGTCTTATTCCAATAAGTCTTCTTCTTTGTTAATGATAAGAAAGCATAACCTCATTTATGTTGAACTTTATTGATTTGGTGTTATCTGTTTTCTCTTCTGTGTAAAAAGTAAAAACCTTTGAAAAGTCAAATAATATGATTTTGCAGCGATCGTCTCGGTGTAATACGAATGCCCTTCCTGTTCTGATTATAGGTTTCAAAATCTCCATGTGAGACGGAGATAGTTCTTGGAGTGATTAGAAACCATTGCAAAACTTATTTGGACAGGGAAAGCAAACTGGCAGCCACAAAACATTTACAAACCCTTGAGGTATTGTCCAAGAGATCTCCTTTGCTAAAATATAGAAAGGGTTGGTAAACTAATCTTTCATTTTCAAGTTTCAAACGGTTCTGACATTTCCAATTTTCCTTATCTAATTAAGGCGATGAGGAAGGAATATGCACATGCAAGGCTCTTGGCTAGGGCTCAAGCTCACCTCTTACGTGCCTATGATGAGATCAAGATGGCGACAATGAGATTACAGCTTAGAGAATCTGAAGATGACACGTCGATATATGCTTTGAGCCTGGATGAGTTGGACGCTGCTAGCGTGCAGAACACAAATGACAAATTTTTGGCTCAATCCTCGTTGCTTAGTATAAAAGGGAAACTTCGTTATTTGAAGGTAAATATGTAACCTTGGTGTTGTTATTAGACCTCCTATTTATATACCATGCAGATAAGTCATTAATGTCTGTGCTGCTAACGTTTAGATCACATTTGTTTTGAACTTACAACTCCAGAGCTCTAGCCCTTTCTAATATTCACCAGAAGCTTATATTTTCATAATTAAGTTTCTCTTTGTGTGATTGACTATAATTGGATCGCTTGAAAAAATGTTGCGTGCTTCTCCTTTCTTTATTTGACTTTGTATACAACATAAAACAAATCTTCTTCTTTTGTTTCCTTTTCAGAGTTTGATAAAATCCAAACAGAAACAAGAATCAGAGAGTCCAGATCATTCCTCACCAATACAGAAAACAATTAAGGCTTTAGATCCTGTTGAACAGGAAGGCGAAAACCTTCTAAAGCGAGAGGAAGCATGCCCGATTTGTCATGAAAATATACGAAGTCAGAAGATGGTTTTCCAGTGCGCGCACAGCACTTGCTGTAACTGTAAATACTTGACATCTTTTGTTTGCTTGATCATATGAATTTGGACTTTCATGCACACATGCACTCACTTTTCTCGTGCCTCGGATTTTTCTTTCTGTCTCGTTGATTTCCTGAACCACACTTTAGAATGTTAACAGTATCTTCTTCTTTGTTTTCATCCACGTAGGTTTTTTTGCCATGACCGAGCGCGGATATGAAACTCTGCAAAAGTGGGTGATGTGTCCAATATGCAGGCAGCATACAGATGTTAGAAATATTGCATTTGCTGATGACAGACAAAACGGTTCTTCGTCAGATCACGTTCACAAAGAAAATGAAGAATCACTGGCTGTTCATGGTTCATATGGAACTAAGGTTAGCTTCCTTTCTTTTAAGATTCCTGCACAAGAAGTAGTAGTGTAGTACTTCTTTTTCTCATCTATTATTTTGGGATAGATCGAAGCTGTTACTAGAAGAATCTTATGGATCAAGTCAAGTGACCCGCAATCGAAAGTTCTGGTTTTCTCCAGCTGGAACGACGTTCTTGATGTGTTAGAACATGCCTTAGCTGCCAATGGAATCACTTTCGTCCGGATGAAAGGTGGCAGGTAATGTAGCGACAATTTCAATCGGGAAATTCATTAATAAGTGTTGCATAGGTTACTTAAGGGAGTTCTAAAACGATGATTCCATGGAAATGCAGGAAATCACAGACGGCCATTAGCAAATTCAAGGGGACCGAGAAAGAAGACCAAAAGACAAACTCCCATAAAAAAGAGGCAAAATCGATCCAAGTCCTATTGCTTTTAGTGCAGCATGGTGCCAATGGTCTTAATCTTCTGGAAGCACAGCATGTTATTCTGGTGGAGCCACTTCTAAATCCGGCTGCAGAAGCGCAAGCTGTTGGACGTGTTCACCGGATTGGACAAGAGAAGCCTACTCTAGTTCATCGTTTTCTGGTTCGTGTATCTGTTTTACATGTCACTTTCGTTTTGTACAGCTTCAAGAACTTGCCTTAGGTGATTCTCTTTGATCTTGACCTCTCTTTTTTGGAAAAACTAGGTAACGGGCACTGTGGAAGAGAGCATCAACAAGCTGAACAGGAGTAAAAACGCAAGTGTAAGCTCATTCAGCAGCAGGAATACAAAGAATCAAGATCAACAGTTTCTGACACTAAGAGATCTTGAATCTCTATTTGCTTCACCAGCAGCAGAAGCAGAACAGACAGAAGAAAACATAGGAGATAGGCAGAAGAATCTGAGAGATCTACCGCCCTCACTCGCTGCAGCTATAGCAGCCGAGAGGAGAATAAAAGATAATGCATCCTCATCAACCTCAAACACATCATGATTATGGAAAAATGGTTGCAAAGAGATTTGTTGGAGTGTTGTCTGTACATAAGCTAATGAAGAGAGAAGTAGTCGAGAGATACACTGCTTCTCTCTTGTGGTTTCACATTCATAATGTAACCTTTCCAACTTTTAGATAGGCTTAGGCAAGAGTTTTTTTAAAATTATTTTTTGTATTACGAAATGACAATGGTGGTATTTGATGATAGTGGAAAATTCAAAGGATCATCCAGCTACTAGATTTTGTGACATTAATGAAACTTTTTTACCATTTTACATACTGTGAAAATTTTGGAGAGAGAAACAAAAACAATGTTATCTGATAGAGTTTTCCACAGAATAGCCAAAATATTTTCTAGACAATTGTCCAATATTTGACAGGAGTTATACTGTTATAGAGTTTTCCGAGCTCATAAGCTCAACAAACTCAATCATCATCATAACTGCCTTCTTATGATCCCTGATTTATATATAGTCTCATATGGAAATAACAACGTATATAAAAAAAGCAAAATGGGTTCTCTTTTCTGATAATTTGGAGTGTATGCTTTTTCTTGTGTTATAACATTTGAGAAGACAAAAAGTCTACATTGAAGACATGAAACCACAAAGCCCCAGAAAAAAACCAAAATTTATTCAGCTCCATCGCAATGATGCGATTACAAACTTAAAAACTGTAAAAGCTCTCGCACTGTCTTGATTCTTGGTGACTTCTCACTTCTCTTCAGGTGCGGGTTTATCAATGAAAGTCTTCTTTATCCAATCAAATGGCTGTGATGATAAAGAATATGTCAGATACAAAACAAAATGAGTTTTGAACGGAAGATTAGAGAAAATAGTCACGAGGAGCTTAAGGCACTAATCTGTTTATAACACCAAATCACAGACTGACACAATTTCAGTATCAGTGATGAAAGAAAATGGATGTAATGCTTAACATAATTCGTAAATTTCCAAACTTTACAGAAACATCGAAACAACAGATAAAAAAGCTAATGCAAGTCTCAGTTTCAAATGGGTGCGATTCTATTCTCCTAAGGATGCGACTAAGTGAAGCTAACGATTGTAGAATCATTGAAACAGGAGACTAATCTCAATGAAGTTGAAATCAAAAGTGGGACATGGAAAAAGTGATGAAGAAGTTTTGATCACCGATTCGATTAGAGATATTACTTATCACAATCATGCCTTTCATGAAACGCAATGATGCAGTTTAAATTGGTGCCCAGAAAATTACCGCCTTTAGGGATAACATCTAACGAGATCAATGCAAAGTACAAATTTTGAAAGTGTTCATGAATGATAACTTGAGGCTTTTTCAATCTTTCGTCCAAATCAAGCCAGCAATTTCACCAGAAGAAATAACATAAGCTAATAGGATAGATCCCAGATCAGGAACAGAATCCGTGAAACCCAATTCAAAGACAGAGAGAGCTAAAATCTACGGCCGGAGATCCAGAGAAAGAAGCAGATGGCTTACTTGGACGAGCCAGACGGCGCCGGCAGCGGCAGCGACGCCCCATCCTGCGGCGGCCTGAATATCCGCCGCTTGGATCTTTGGCTTCGCTTGCTTGAGCATACCTAGTCCTGACATTACTGCTTCGATCTCTCGCTCTCTCGTTCGCTATCAATTCGATCGAACCCCACCAAAATTCTCAAAGGAAATGACGATAATCAATGAGACGAATTTTTGTCATCGCATTCGTCGACATTATTAATAGACCTAGTCAAACGTCACTTTTACACTTCATGCCGTCCTGCGTGTAAACACTTGAACAACGTGCCGTTTATTACTGTTTGATCGTCGATGTTCATCATAACCAACCTCAAGAGAAATCAAGATCAGAAAAGTTAATTTAAAAAAAAAAAAAAAACACTTTCCATTTCCTTGATGATTAAGCCATTAAAAGCGTCTGGTTTCAAGAATAAAAAACAAATGAGCTTTACCAGTATCCAAACAAACAACAATCAAAACATCGTCCTATATTGAAGAACCAAGCTTCACGCTGCTCTTCCTTGGGCTATCTGGTTTAGTGGCGGGTCGACGACCCTTGTCTGGACCACCGATTACTCCCCATTCCTCAAACTGCGTCTGTCTAGCTCTTGCCCTTTCTTTCTCCTCTTCGGACTTCTTGGAGTAACAGTAAGGACAAGAAACTCCATACTCATACTCTGGAGCTTCCATGTCTTCATCACTAATTGGCTGCTTGCATCCATAGCAGAGTTTATGGGTTCCTTGAGCTAAACCATGTTCCACAGATACACGTTTGTCGAACACAAAGCATTCGCCTTCCCACAAACTTTTTGTTTTAGGGACTTCCTCGAGATACTTCAATATCCCACCTTTTAGATGATACACCTGATAACAAAATGTTTTGATTCTTTAAATACCCTCTGAAACTAATAGCTCAATGGTTAGATGTTGTATGAAGTTACCTCTTCGAAACCTTGGCTTAGAAGAAAGCTTGAAGCTTTCTCACATCTGATTCCTCCAGTGCAGTACATTGCAATCCTTGGCAGCGTCTTTGGTTTTTCAGCTTTCTCTTCTTTCTCCACCTTTGTTTGCGTTTCATTGCCTTCTTGCTTCAATGCAAATTGACTCTCCACCCAAGCTGGAAAATTTCTGAAAGCTGTGGTACACGGATCCACAGCTCCTTTAAACTTCCCAATTCTAGTCTCATATGTATTTCGCACATCAATCACAACCTGAAACGCAAAAGCAATTTGACAATTTCAAACATCTTATATCCTAGATTTACCGAGTATAACATTTTACCAAAAGCAAACAACGACACAAAATCATAACTTTTCCATGCATAAACACTGTATTTTCTTGATTCAGAGTGAACCAGAACTTAAAAGCAAGCTACACAAACACAGAACTAATACGGGAAAATGAATTGCGTCCAAAGTGATAAAAAGTTATCAAATCTTATTCAAATTTCACTTTTTTCTTGACAAAACTTGCTACAAGATAGTAAAAAGAGATCTCACAGTTTTGGGATCACTGATCAGTTCGTTCCATTCTTCAGGGCTCACATATGTTCCAACTCTTTCAATTGGCGAAACACTGGGCATTCCGAGAGTAACAATCTGCAGTACAGACATTGTAACTAAATCACCTCTTGACAATCAACAAAACTCCAGTCTACAAACTTCAAAGACGGAAAAATACCTCTTTCTTGAGTTTGACCCTAACGTGGTCCCATCTAAACGGAGCATCTTCACCAGCTGCAAGAGGAGAGCTACTGCTATGTCCATGGTGGATTGCTTCTTGTTCAGGACTCACAGGTGTCTCCACTTGCCTCAAACCATTCAGTCTGATATCTCTCTGTATAAATGCCAACACTCTCTCTACTGATTCACGACTCCCACAGATACTTCCATTGATCCCTTCTGGTGCAAGAATGATTCCACCTGAAACACGCTGGTGAAACAAGACAGGTCTATTCTATTACTGCTTGAATTCTAAGAGAAAATTATTGGTTGTTGCTCAATACAGCACTTTTAAGTCAATAAGATTGAGAAAAGAGTTAAAGACTTAACCTTTCGTATCAGAAAGACACTAAATATATAATTTTTGATTGAGATAGAAGAAACTGCATACCAATTCTTCGCAGAGATCCTTCAGGGGCTTTCTGAAATCAGCATGGTCGGGAAAATCAGCGAATTTGTAGAACGAAACCACAACGAGCGAGCCAAAATCCGATTCGCCAGCTTCTGGTCTGCTCGAAAAGCACTGGGAAACCGGATTCAAGCTTTGCCGGATAGCTCCGGGGCTCGAACAAGCCACCGTGGATTTCAGAGAAGAAGAAGGGGAGGAAGAAAGATTCTGGGGTCGGGATTGAGGAAATAGTAACTCGGGTTTGGAGTTTCCACCGGTTGAGCTCGAATTCATGCCCCCACCGGAGAAGGGAGACTGTGACTGAGGTGGTGGTGGTGATGAGAGCATCCTAGCGGCGGCGAGAGACGGCGGAAATCTCCAGTGGCAACACCGTAGCATTGGGGTTCTTTCAATCAATGCAAATTATGTGGGGCTTAAACCAAACCGGACTAAACCAAAAATTCAGTGGACCGATTCACGTGGCTATAAACAACTGACCTTAATGCTTTTAGTTTTGCGCGATATATGTATCGTGAAATGGATACATATGGATCGAATTATTTTTCAGGGATACTTACCCATAAATTGGATATCTAATTAATTGTAAGGAAAATTAGTATTCGAGATCTGTTTTGTTTAGTTGTGCAATTTATCTCACTCTATCGTAAAATTATTGTAAAAATTTGGGATTTCATCGCAAAGTCAATTTGCTGAAACAATTTTCATCGTTTAACTTAGTAAAGGCAAGCTCACGATCCATGATAGCCCTTGCCTCCTGAACCTCGGAGGCCGCATCAGGTACAAAGTAGCAAGTACCTAAAACGCCTGAAATGTTGTCACTCCACGTCTCCACCTACTTTCCTTGAATGGTCATATACCTCAAACTCACATTTTATAAGATGTTGTGAGGATGGATATGTGTCCATTTCTTCAATGAGGTCAGCCCCATGTGTATAAGTCACTTTCGAGAGATCGAAGTCAATGTGCATTGACATGCTTGGCCTGCAAAAGTATTTGAATAGACATATGAAGAAGATTCCAAGCATCAGTAAGACAAATACCATAATGAGGAAAATATTGTCTTTGGGGTACTCTTCAACTTGCAAATATCATTAACACTAATGCATAAGCAGCTCACAGTATCCTTAATTCTTGATATGTTGAGTTTGGTTCTATGAACACTCCAACAATGAAAATTTAAGTCTAACATGTATCCCACAACCTCTTTCTTCAGTGGTGGCTTTGACCTGGCCAACCTCATCGACACAATTTCTGCAGCTTAACACCTCAAGGTTTCAGACTGAGCAAAACCAACAAATACCTGGAGCATATGGTACATGTGCAATGGTATGATGGTTGCACTAGTTTAAGAGTAAGAACAATCTTTCTACCAAATTGATAAAAATTTCAAAAAAATGAGAGCCAAATCCAACGTTAATGACAGTCATACCAGTGACATTGCAAGAGTTCTTTTATTAACTACTAAATTATTATAGATTTAATCTTATACCAATATGTCGACATTTGATTTCAAAAAAAAAAAGTTTCAAGTTTTCTATTAAGAATTACACATCCAAAAACTGATGGGACATAAAATAATATATAAGAGATGTTGGTTAATTTATTCATTGTTAATTTAAAGGCCCATTAACATTAAAACCTTCTAGAATTGAAATTTTTTATCAGTTAATTAATTATCTAAACAAAATTATCCGACATACAAAATAGACTTTAAGATTTGGAATATGGAATTTTGGATCTGCATCTAAAGAGACCCTATGAATGTCTTTTTCTGGAAGGAGGGAAAAGAAGCTTCCCATTTCGTGCCTCAATCTCTGACCTTTTGTAAAAAACCATATTTAGCTTTTCAAAACTCATCTCTTTTCTACTTTTCCAAATTATTTCCCAAAGTCTCCCAATATAATTGCTGCCTAGCTCATCAGCTATACAAAGCTTCCTCCTATCTATTTTCTGGCTACTTAATTTATCTGTAATATGACAATACAGTGCCAATAACCTTCCTTTTTTATATGAAAAGTGCCAAATAACCTTCATGACAATACAACCATTTATCCTAATGTTTTACAAGTATTACGAAAACATGCTCTCATCAATAATCCGTTTATTTTTCTAACGAACTGTGTGGGAAAAATATAGTTGTAAGTTTTTCAGATATCCAATTATAATATATCCAACTTTTTGATTAAAAAAAACAAATCAAGATAGACTGATAATAATTATAGTAATGACTAACTAATAGATAATGGTTACATCAATGTCTCGCGCACTAGTCATATTATTCATATTATAACAGGTTCGTTTCTATGAGCAGCAGACACTTTTGACAATTTGACGATATGTTTAGCCGGAAGTTCTCTTTCTTTTCCATGGCTCCATAGCTTAGTGGCCCCATTTGATGATTGTTCCAAGAAAATCTATTTTTTAGTTTATTAATATATATATATATATAGCTATAACAAATTTAAAATCTAAAACATAAAACAAAACAAAAGGTACTTCAAACGTACGGATATATGAAAAAAATGGTTGTCGATCGTTTTGGTTCAAACTTATAGTCATTACTGATATGTCATATGAGTAATTAAAATATAGTTGATATTACGAAGAATGGAAAAATGAAGATATGATTCCAAAATTTTCTTAGTTAGAATGCAATTTTGTGATATCATGATTCATGCTTAGTCAATACGTGAATCGATAAGTTTATTTCAATATATTTTTACGTTATTGATTTCGTGATTCCATTCCGTACTTTTTCATTTTTTTTCTACGGTTTCCTCCTTCTGTAATGTGGTCAATTGGAACCAATAAACACAAGACACAGTAAAGTTAAATTTTGAAAAGATGATATGTGGTATATACTGTTAACAACGTACGTACTGCATATATGATTGTATGTTTCTTTAATTAAAAGAAAAGTCCAAATTTGTTGTATCTAAACCTTATGTTACAATATTGGAGACACTTGGCTAAGTATATTAACACTTCACTTGATCTCAAATACAACGATGTTCTAAATAAATATCGGGTAGACTTAAATATCACAAAGTTATAGTCCCTTAATAAATTTAAAATCTATAATAGTCGGCACAACTAGAATATGCTTAAAGTTGTACAGGCTTTTGACCTTTTGTATATGTTTTGGGAGTCATGTCTTGTATTTTAGGAGTCCATACTTTCATTGAACGACCTTTTGGATCTATATGTAGACACAATAGTTGAACAATGAACATAACAAGTTCGTATATTATATATGTTTGTCAGCTTGTGTGTGTAGAATTTCATATTTTTGTAACGATAAAAGTTAAGTTCAGATTTAGTACTGACAAAACTTTAAGCGATAATAGAACCCCTAGCTAGCCAAAATATAAAAATAACTATAGATATGTACCTAGTTGAAATCAAATGCACCCTCTAGAAGTAATAAGAAAAATCGCTAGGTTACAACAATTGCGTTAATGCAGAAATTTATAGTTTTTGATCTGAGTAGTGGTCCCAAATGGGATTTGGTTCTAAACAATATAGTACATTAAAATTCAAACACAAGAGGCTGCCATAAGATTAGTGGGAATAATCAAGACATAAAAAAATATTAGTAATATAATAATCAAAATAACTATATAAGTATGAGTTGGGTCTAGACTAGTTGAATTATTGACGGGTATATTATTCCTTACTTTTATTGCTGTTGTATTTTAGTATCTAAGAATGAAATAGTATAAAATTATTTTGTCCACAACCAGGAATGGCTCTTACAATCATTTTTTTTCTTTTGACTTGATGATTACTTAAATTATTCTGAAGATGATGAACTCCCCGATTGGGTATTTGCACGAAATAAGATTCAACTTACACATTAAAAAACTATATGTTTCATATATTAAAACATTTTTTAGCTTTGTGACAGATCATTATCTAGATTCCAGAGTAGTCTTTAACGATAAGTAGCAGTTCTTTAATCGAGGCCTCTTGAATAAATATCCATAATACAACTCAGCTTAAGATTAGATCAATCCCAAAATGACATATATTTAATAAATTAAATTATTTGCCATTTGTCAAGATCACTTCCCTAATCACCGTTGACCTTTCACACACCATACCGGAAAGAAGACATATTTTTAGTTGTTTTATAATAATGTTTAAGGTTTAAATATTTGAATGTAACTAGTGTCTAGATATGACAATCTCTACATGATTCATAAGTTGAGATATATAAAGAACTGGCGGATTTGGATAGATGAGCTAAAACGAAGATGCAAATTAAAGTTTCTGGGACATGTAACATATATATTTATTGGTTCACACAGAGAACTAACATATCTATAGCTATTGGAATGCATACTCGAATACTTTTTTAGCAAAAAAAAAGAGAGTACATACTCGAAGTTGTTTGAGTTCTAAAAAGTGATTTGATCTTGTGGGGACATTCAATATGAAATGGAGAAGAAAAGATCTCTTCAGCTTTATTTTCAGCAGTTATACATTGCGTTGATCAATAAATTTATATCTAAAGTGAGAGACTTGTGTCGTTGTAACTCCCATGATTTATAGCTTTATGTAAAACTAAAATGTCGTAGTAACGATCGAATAATTTCATTTATGCAAGTTTTTGTAAAGTTGTGAAAGTATTTCTTGTGAAATGTTATACTACTATTAAATATGCTCTTGAATCTTTCAGTAAGTATGTTGCGGTCTTGCGTATTCCCTTAATTTTACAGATGAAAAGAACTATATTAATGATTTGTGATTAGCAAGTAATTAAAGCCGGTTTGTTTGATTTTATTTATAATTGACAAATAAAGTGTGGTAACGTGATAACTCTGGAGAATTAAAAAGCAACCAAATTGATTTGACTTATGGAGTTCGATTTGTGAGTGGATGCACGAATGTGGACTGAATTTATTGCGACTCCGAGGAGTACTCAGTGGCACCTGCCCCCTCAGTGCCCTCACAATATCTCATTAAATTTTTCAAACAGATGTTTTACCATTAACTTTAACTAATTAAATTTGTTGTATACGTCAAATAAACTAATTCAACCAACCCAAATAACTCATTTTTATAGTACTGTTAATAAATTACGAAAAACGAACATATTTCCATCAAGCAAATCAAAATTAGTTCTTTATTATCTCATAGGTTTTAGTATAGTAGATTTTTGGTATTAGAAGGGATGACTATACGAACATTTCAAGAGGTTTTAATTTAGTGACAGTTTTATCTAATTTTCTCTATAATTCGAAAAGTTAAAAATTCATATATAATACTCTTAGAAAATTCGTAAGTACTGCCAAAATGATCAGGACCAAGCAAGCAGTAGGCTGCTGACATAGCTAAGGTGTGACGTGATTGTAATGTCTTTAAAGCGCTCTATTTAGTTTAATGGTAGTTCTACAAATATAAAAAATAAAAATAAAACAAGGTTGCTCTTTATTATATTGATATTAACCTTGATTACTACTTTTAGATCCGAACAAAGCGGTGTCACCACAACTGAGATATCCCTTTGTTTTATAACATTTAAGTTTTAGTAGTTAATCTATCCATTACAAAATTCAAAGGTTCAAACCATGATGAGGATATTCGTTAGTTTCCTAATCCTTCTACTTTTGTAAATGTACACTACACACATGACACATCAATAATTGGTCTTACGTCAATCCTTGACATCAAAAGTTATTTTGGCTTAGAACTATCTTACTCATTAACTCTAAAATACTGTAAAGATTATGGTGGTTAATTGGTCCGATATATCTTTTCAACATGTCTCCTCTCTTTTTTCCCCTCTTCTTGAAAGTGATTGCACGACAATGAAAACAAATTGATTTGTCAGATTATAGAATATTAGCTTAATTTTTCAACTTAATATAAATAAACCCTAACCAAGTTGTTTGAGTTCGTATTCCTGGAATTAAATAAATAATTCCGGGAAAAAAGGAGATACAATAAAAAACAGCAAGTCCTCAAATGTGTTACGGAGATGGATGACATCATCCCACCTCATCGCTGTGACATCAGCAAAACTCTGGTAAGCCAATGGGTGAGTAAATAAGATATCACGTTCCCATTATACCCTCGAATCCATTATAATTCATAAGTTTGTTTTATCACTTTTCCACTTATACCCTCCATATCATTATAACTCGTCTCTTTCTCGTCTCTCTTTCCTAAGCATCTTCCTTTGATTATTTCTCTCTCTTGATCAGAGAGAAAGCAAAGAAACAAAACCCAGAAAAAATCTATCTTTCTTCTCTCCACTATATTACTCCATTTTCTCATCCTCAAATCATCATACCAAGAAAAAAAAAACCTAAGACAAAAAAATCCATAGACCCATTAAATTGCTGTAAACCAAAAAAAAGAAAAGAAATGGATTCAAACAGTAACAACACCATAAAGAGAAAACTTGTCGACCAACTAGTCCAAGGCTACGAATTCGCTACTCGGCTTCAGCTTCTCCTCTCTCATCAACACTCTAACCACAGCACCGATCAGACCCGTATCGTTTCCGGGTCGGGTTCAGTTCCCGGTGATCTGGATCCCGTTGATGAGCTCCTCGCTAAGATCTTGGGATCTTTTCATAAAACCATATCGGTTCTTGATTCTTCTGATACCGTCGCCGACCTCTCTGTCCCTATCGCCGTCGAGGGTTCACGTAATGCTTCATGCGGCGATGATTCGGCGGCTCCGGCGAGTTGCAACGGTGGAGATTCCGTCGACAGTAGAAAGAGGCTTGGGGTTAGTAAGGGTAAAAGAGGATGCTACACTAGAAAGTAAGTTCTTAAAGTTGAATTCAAATATAGATTTCTTGTTTTATATTTTTATTTTATCTCCTTTTTATCTGATTTTTTTTTTCTTTTTTTTAAAACTTCATTTCAAGTTGCAATTCTTGTCTATGGATTTCATCATATGTTTGTGTAGTGCTCCATATATATTGAAATGACTTATTGTAAGGGTTAATGGATATGATGTTGGATTTGTTCATATAATATGCCAATGTATATTAGATATGCGATCACTGTTTTTTGTTCATGGTATTGATAGTGATAGTGAATTGTATGAATATGATTGGTTTGATTAGAAAATCAGTGGAGCCGAAACTGATTTGGTTTTAATTATTGTTGTGATTCCATTACGGACAAGGCATATACTATTTAGTTACCGTGGGTGTTTGTATTACAAGAACATATTATATAGCTCTAATGATTTAGCCATTAATTAATGAATTATTTACTTATTACTAATTTGCAGGAAGAGATCGCATACTTGGACCGTGGAAGCTAGAAGAATTGATGCAGACAGATATGCTTGGAGGAAGTATGGGCAAAAGGAGATTCTTAATACCAAATTCCCAAGGTCCTTACTCCAAATATATGCATGTCTATATATATATATATATGCATATATACATGGCCAAATCATTTTCAAGTAACGAGAATCCCAACACGACACATATCAATCTAATCAAGAATCTACAACTAGCTACTATGTGAATCTTGCAATGGTCTAAATAATTGTGTTTTTTTTTTTTGATGTTTTGCAGAAGTTACTTTAGATGCACACACAAGCCAACACAAGGATGCAAAGCAACGAAGCATGTTCAGAAACAGGAACAATGCCCTGAGATGTTCCTAATCACATACATTGGCCACCACACATGCAATGCTAACGACCAAACACGAGCCAAGACTGAGCCTTTTGATCACAAAATAATGGATTCGGACAATACGATATTGGCTGAAACCATTGCTCAGGGCCATGTCAATGTTGAGGTACAAGAGCAAGAGAAAAACATCAGTAGTGTAACGGTGGCAGGCGCAGGGATGGTTAAGGAAGAAGAGAATAACAATGGTGACCAGAATAAAGACTATTGTGAGGGTTCTTCGACAGATGGGGACTTGTCATTGGTTTGGCAAGACGCGTTGATGTTTGATGATCATCAACATCATCAGAATCCTTACTATCATGGTAAAACTAGTACCATTGCTCAACAATTCTCTTTTATCGACAACGATCAGCTTTCCTCCTTGTTCGACTCATATTGCGCTTAGGAAGAAACAAAGTGCCCTATAAAAATCCGAATCCGGATTTAGGAAGAAACAAAGTGCCATATAAAAATCCGAATCCGGATTGATGAATCATAATCAGGCTTTGTAATATTTTCTCCTTTTCTCTTTGAGTATGTTTAGTGGCATGTAATATTTTGTTTTGTGTTTTATAAAACACCATATGGCATATATACTTCTCCTTCTACATAGGTTTTAGTATCTGAGTCTTGACTAAATAGGTTTTTCTAACAAGCGCATTTTGGATAAACCATAACTTGAATGTATTACTGATGAAACTTAGAATAAGCCAAGCTCCAACTGCGACAATTAATCCCACTAGATTATTGTTTTGCCTATTTGATTGTTATAGCTTTTAATGTTGGATTCACATAATGTTCATTCCATATATATGATATATAATTACCTAAAGAGTACTATACCTAAAAAGTGTAAAGAGACTTATCCATTCAAATTGCGGCTATAAATGTTTGGTGCTAAAAAAAGAAGAAATTGGGACAAATGCAACTCGCAACTGTCGTGCTTGTCTTTTTGTTGTTGCCTTTACATAAGCCCCGCCGTATACACTAGGGCATTAATTAATTAATGCTTGTTGCAAAATAAAACAAAATTAATTAAGTGTTGCTGTATAATATTTTCGGTAGTGACAATAAAAAAAGAGAGGTTCCGTACATGTACGCACATATCTTTCGAAAAGTTCCAAGAGTTTGAGAAATTTAAATATAAAAATGTACAAATGAACAAATTAGTTCATAAATTAAGCCTTTTTTACATGTGATAGTTTTAAAAAGATTCGTTCTCCTGATTCCATAGGTTATAAGATGCTAAATTTTCTGATATTCTAATATGGAAAAAAATCAAGATATAAATAACTTCATAAAATCTTTTTAACCATTTTCAATACACTTCATGTCTTGTTTTACAAATGAGTAAAGCCTCGACCAAAACAGAGCAAGAAAACAAACGACCACGAGAGACTCTTAATACAACAGATGTATATATATTAAGTTCTACTCATATAAATACATAGTATGGGGTTATTGCGATTATAAATCTTTACCAAACTTTTCAACATCTTAAAATTCAAAAAAATAATGAAAAATATTTATCTGACAAAAGTAAAAAATTCGTTAAAAAAAACAAATGGATTTACTGAGAATTGATATACTTTGTTGAAAATATCTGCTACTCCTATAACATCAAGAAAAAAATTATATAAACAATGAATTAAAAAAAATTTAAGAATTTTAAATTTATATATGTCTTTGAGATTCTTTATCTCCGTTCTAAACTTTAAATTATATTAAAAATAAAAATATAGAAATTAAATATATCATCGTGATAACATGAGTATTTTTATTAATACTATTGATACTTTCTTTGTTTTCTCATTTTATAAGAAAAAAATATACGGGACGTTGCTTTCACTTCCTCACAGTTTAGGGTTTCGATTATAATGGAAAAAGTAGGACACAAACTAATTTGTTTAGTTCTGTAAAACCAAAATCTTAAAGAAACTTGATTACGTGATATGATATATGATGAGTTTTGTTTTTGAGTTTTCAAAGTCCAAAAACTAAACAGCACATATAATACACTCAACACCTTAAACATCTTTTACATATCAACATATGTCACAAAGTAATTCAGGATAAGTAAACAAAGAAAATGCAAAAAAATGATAATAATAATAATAATGATAATAATAATAATAATAATAATAATAATAATAATAAAATAATAATAATAATAATAATAATAATAATAATAATAATAATAATAATAATAATAATAATAATAATAATAATAATAATAATAATAATAATAATAATAATAATAATAATAATTGAGGATAAAGTGCTTCTCCATCGACATAACAAGTACACATGATGAGCAAAAGGGCAAGACGAAGGCCCATGCATTATGAATAGTTACGCTGGACGGACCAGTACCTCCACTCGAACAGTTGATTTTGACACTTTTCAATTATTGGGAGGATTCTTCACTCTGGAAAAAAAAAAAAAAAAGACAACAACAAAAAGTAAGAAGCAACAACAAGTTCATGCCAATATGTGAGATACTGACAAAGTAACAATTTTTACCCCTAATTTTGATTTATTTTAAATGTAACGAATTGCTTTATCTTTTTTTTTTTGAACAACTTTTTTTTTGAACAACAACGAATTGCTTTATCTATGCAATAAAATGCTGGATAAATAGTTTTTCTTTATTTATATCCACACGTCCAATGTACCTTGTAGTACTGAAAGAAGTAAAGTAGTAAACAATAGGAAATTCTGATTACTTGTTTTTTTTTGGTCGTCAGAAATCCTGATTATTTAATCCAAAACCCTAACACTAAATGATTGTTCTTATTATTCAAAAAAAGTCCTAAGTACTTGAATTAAAATAAAAATATGTTTTCACAGTACTTGAATAAACAAGTGATTTTCAATAATTTACTTTTCTTTTGAAACTCAAACATGAGTTATTTCACCTCAAACTGTTTAAATAATAAAATAAAGAATGGGAAGAAACTATGATAATAATTAAAATACATGGTTGAAAGTTGAAACAACCCCATTTTAACAAAACACTTTTCGTTGTCAAAAAAGGCAAACTACCCTAAAAGAATTGGTTCCCATTAGATCCCAAACTAGAATCACGTGTAGATGGGAAATATAGAAAACTTTAGTAATAATAATCTTTTGTCCTTTCCCTCTGTAAATGTATGATTCCTATTTGTCTCGCCGGAAACGGTGATGATCATGCTGAGGTGGATCATTGGAAGGAAATATGAAATCCATGTTGGCTCCGATCCCACCACTACCAAACATAGCGTCGGCTATGTCTAAGACGGCGGGACCGTAGTCAACGGAATGGCCAGTTGCGGCAGCGGTTGATGAGATTAATGCGGTGGGGGCGGCGGCAGAAGCGGTGGGAGCGGTTGAGTAGATGTGGCAAGTGTGTGAGCCACGGTAAGTGACTCGGAATGTGAAGGGATCATCATTGAGGCGTTGGACTTGCTTCTTGGCTGGACAATTGTATAACTTTTGGTGGGTGCATCTATAGTAGGCCCTGTAAAATTAATTAAATTCGTATATTTGCGTTTTTACACCCATCCATATGAGAAGCAAGTAGCTATTAATTTACATGGACTAAGGGAAAAAAAATGATTTGTATCACTTGATAAAGACGTCTGAGAAAGATATGTAGTCATTATAACATATATCGATGTTTCAACTTTCAACTGGAGTTTAATAATATGGTTATCTGGTCATTCTAATAAACTAATTGGTGATTAAGAATCAGAAGAGACTGATTACAACTTCTTGATGTGATGTAAATGTGTATTTCTTGGTTAGTTAACTAACTAACGGAACCCCTTTTGTGACCTTGACAATTTCATCCACCCTTATTGAAGAATTATATTCATATAGTCTTTGACTACTTGACGAAAAGCGTTGTCCAGTAATCTCGTTCAGCCTCCAAATAAGCTTGGGTAGATTAATTAATAGTACGTATGTATAAAAAATTAGTAAAGTTTTTGTTTAGGTTATTATTCGTAAAGTTACCTAGGAAACTTAGAGCCAAGAATTTCCTTTTGACCGTATTTACGCCAAGTGTGGTTATCGTCAGGAGGTAGATCTGTGTTTCCCGTCCTTAACGCCGCCACCAACACCGTTTGTTCTTGTCCTTCGTCCTTCCTAAATATGTACTCATTTAATCTACATTAGTACATAAGGTACGTACTGCATATTTAATTAATATCCATTTTAATAACTTTTGCCAAAAAACATATAATAATCTTGAAAGTTTGAAACTTGAAGTGGACGACTAACCAACCATCGAGTTCGTAAAGGATTTAGCCTAGTGACAAATGTTAGAGATTAGCCTCATATGTATATATATGTTCTTGCTTTAACTTCTTTACCAAAAGCCTTTGGTCTAAACAAAAAACTTATAAAACAAAAAAAAAAACTTGTTATACGCCTTTAATCTAATTCACAATTTAATCCAGCTAATCAGAAATCGTTTTCTAAACCTAGTGTTTGTATTAGTTTTGAAAAAGTTTCAAAGTTGTGGTATTTTTACAACAAACACTTAGTTTGATAATGTTTATTTAATTACGGTATTATACTTTGATTGTTTCTACCACACAAGGAAAATAAAAACTTGTACTTTTTACCTCCTGCGTTGCCTTGGCGTGGAGGAACCGCTACCGGAGCCGCCCGATCTTTCTGTAGTCGTCGAAATTCTTCCGCCGCCACCATCAAGGGCCATGAGCTGCCTTTGAGTCATTGCTTCGGTTCCCTGAGATAACATGGACCCGCCACACCTTAACCAATACTCCTGCATCATATCCGGTTCAATCTGCATTAGCATCTGGTCTGAACAAGACGCAATCACTGGTTTAGGTTGGTTCAATGCGGTGTTCCTGATCTCAAGGACTATCTTCAGCTGTTCGTTTGCATCACCAAATGTCTTTGTGATCTCGTCGAGAGAGGTCGATAGAGATTCCGGTGACTTTTCCGGTAAGCTTGACTCAAGCTCCTTAACCATATTCAATCCCTGGAAGATCACTGACATCACCTCTTCCATTTGTAACTTAAGCCCTTTTTTAGATTATATATCTAACGACACACATATATTACATAAGAAATATATATATATATATATAGACGACGGTTACGTGCAAACAGTTAGCTTCGATGTTGGTTCCAATTCTATTGAATTCTGAATATGCAGATTATTCAAAGATTGTGATTTTTTTCTTTCTTAAAAAGACATAATAGCATTTCTTGTACTGTAGCTATTTTTGGGGGTTAGCGAACATGAAAATTTCTTAAACGACAGGTAAAATATGTCTAATAATAAAGAACAGGCTTTAAGGCTATTGCGCAATGGGAAACAACAAAAATATTTTCCAATAACACGAGGAACTATTTGTTTAGTATAATCCCGACCAAAGATCTAACTAGTTGTAACCCATTGACCTGGTCGGCGAATTCGATATAGCAAGGAAGGGTTCGTGTTTTGCTAAACACGGCAGAGGAACTGGTAGTAATATTGACCAAGTCATGGGTCTTCTATGACTTAATATTAATGGTTTTTTTTTTTTTTTTTTCAAATTTCAACTTTACAAGATTTTCTTAGAAGTCTAGACGAAGACTTAAGATTTCAATGCTGAAACTGTTGAACAATTTTTTTTCTTAAAGTGGAGACACATCAATTAAGAACTTTCTTAGGCGTTGAAGCTACCAACTACTTTTGGTAAATTTCTTAACAAAATCTAAAGTAGAAGTTTCTTTCGGGTCCAAAACATTTGTTAGTCTTATTAGCCCTTGTGATACTTTGAACGAAAGTTATTTATTTTAATCTCATGATTTCGTAGAATTTATCGCCCTAAACTCAGACAGTTGTTTTAAAATATATATATTAAAAGAGTCAACACAAGTATTTTTTGTATATATATATATATATTTTGGATAGATCAATAGAGATGTCAACAAATCTAATTACTTGTGAATTTCTAGTCTTTCAATGTAATTTTAGAAAGAAAGAAAAAAAAAAGTTAACTTCTCCAACCATTTCGTTCTGGAATAGTTTTAAACATGCATCTCTAGCTAGTATTTAATAGTCGTATAGTATATTTGTGGATTCGACCTACTATAAGTCTACGCGTGGTTAGACACTTGCGTTTATCATTTGGGTCTCAAATTCGACCTATCACTTTGCGTAAATCTAACTAAGTTTAGAATGTAGAAAGAGATATTTTAAACATTCCAAAACCTAAAAATGCAAGATAGAAATAGAGAAAAGTACAGGAAATTCATATATCCCGAAAACAAAAAAAAAACTTACAATTCCAGTAGAATCACAGAAGCAGCAAAAACATTGTACAGCCCAAACTATGAATTCGATCCTGGGCTATAATTCGACCCAACAAAATATCCACAGATCCAACTCCACGGCGTCTTGTTCACAAATAAACTGCATGAATTGTACAAACGAACTACGAAAACGGCGATGGAGACAGTCCGTTCAGGTTGATCATAATTCCGACGAATTAAAAAAAAGAAGAAGCAAAAACAAATCTACGAAATTCTCCGCTCTGGGAGATGCAGATTGAAAAAGAAGAAGAAGAAGAAGCAGAATCATAAGAAAAGAGCTTTCAGTTTTTCTCTGTTTGTCCGATTTGAACCGTCGTCGTTCTTCTCATTCCATACAGATCCGTCCAAGAGCAACAAGGTTCTTCAATTGTTGGATTGAGACGTTTAGAGAGGTGGAAATATGTTCAAGTTCTTAAAGGGAGTAGTGGCTGGATCTGGGACGGGACTCAAGGATCTGCCTTACAATATCGGTGATCCTTACCCTTCTGCTTGGGGTTCCTGGAATCATTTTCGTGGTACCTCCAAGGTAATTCTCCAAACTCCTTTCTCTCTGTGTAGTTTCGGATGTTTGTAATTCTCATGTTGCTTGCTTTGATCTGAGCTCTTATTTCTCTACCATTCCATTTTTTCCCATGTTTGTTTGGTCTACTTCAAAATTCAGACTCTGCTTCTATGCTGCAGATTAGCTGTATAATCGAATTTGGTGTTGTTAATTCTTCCTGGTCCTCGTTTTTTTGCATTTATGGATTTACTTTTTAATACTGTTGGCTATGATGACATCTCATAATCTCTACTACCTTCGGTTTCTTCAGGATGATGGATCTCCAGTTTCAATATTTGCTCTTTCTGGGAACAGTGCTCAAGATGGGCATCTGGCTGCTGGGAGAAATGGTGTCAAGCGCCTTCGTACAGTAAGTTCTCATAAATTTATAACTTGCTCTATGCTCGTTTCGTCCAAACAAGATAGTTCTTCTCTGATTACTGACGGAAACTTCTCCCAAGCACTAAGAACTCTAACTCAAGCACTTGGAACTCTAATTCATCGAACTAGTGAAGTAGCGGTACCATCTCTTTATCTATTAGGGAAGTAAGAATTCCCCACTTGGAGTGACACATGCGAAATATCTAATTTTTTTTTTTATATCTTGGCGAGCAATTTGTACATAAATTTGCTTAGTTGATTCATCTGAATGTCGGTCTATATGGACCTCTTTCTGGTCTTGTCGGTATCATTGTCATCTTCCTATTAGATTATCATCTGCTTTTTCTTTTTGCAGGTGAGGCATCCAAATATACTTTCATTTCTTCACAGCACGGAGGTTGAAACTCATGATGGTACTACTTCCAAGGTTACTATCTATATAGTCACTGAGCCTGTTATGCCGCTGTCAGATAAGATAAAGGAGCTAGGCTTGAAGGCCACCCAGAGGTATGAACTCTTCTTATGAGCATCAGAAAATAGGCGAAGGATAGCGTTTGCCGCAACATTTTAAATCTATTCGAACAAATCATGTCATAGTCTTATCTGTCTTTTTCCTAAAATTGGTTTTGTCACTTGGCTTATCATGCTTGACATGGTAATTTTGATCACGTCTCGAATTTTGTTGTGACTATGAAATATTTGCCGTAGGGATGAGTATTTTGCACTGGGGCTACACCAGATAGCTAAAGCTGTGAGCTTTCTGAACAATGACTGCAAACTTGTGAGTATTTGCTTTTAACATTATATTTCAGCATTAGAATATATACAAGAATTTCTTGTAGGTATTTTAGATATCATCTTGAATTTATGATTGCAAACTTTCAATCCTCACCCCATTTTCTTGTTGGTATTTCAATCCTCTTCCTTCCACGTTATTTCAGTTAAAACTCCTAAGTTGCACTGTCTCAACAGGTGCATGGAAATGTCTGTCTGGCGAGTGTCGTTGTTACACCTACTTTGGACTGGAAACTCCATGCGTTTGATGTTCTATCAGAGTTTGATGGGAGCAATGAATCTGCAAGTGGACCTATGCTGGTACTCTTCATTCACTATTGTATCTATTCGGGGTTTCACTTTTTTAGTCTTGTCAATTTTATAGCCGTTTCTTTCATTTTGTTTTTTACTGCTTTGAAATCAGCGAACTTGCTCTGATTTGTATATCCTTGGTAAAACATACCTGTAGTATCAAGGGTCAGGTTTTAGTCCTTGTTTCTGTCCAGTTTAGGAATACACCCTGAGTTTGTTGCTTCCTTTTCATCCTTTCTAAACTTATTTTCTTGTTTCAGCCATTTGAATGGCTAGTGGGAACACAGTACAAGCCAATGGAAATGGTGAAGTCTGATTGGGTTGCTATTAGAAAATCTCCACCATGGGCCATTGATTCATGGGGCTTAGGTAAGACCCTGCGTCCTAATTTTCAATCGTATACGCACCCACAATTCTTTCTTATAAGGTTGTCCATGAATTTAATGTATAATATAGCTGGCCAGTTTGAGCACAAATCTTTCATCGAACCACCTTACTTTCTTTTTTGAAGGTTGTCTTATTTATGAACTCTTCTCGGGCTCGAAGCTGGGAAAGACAGAGGAGCTCCGTAACACTGTCGGCATTCCTAAGGTTTGGTTCTCATTCAATTCTTTCTTTGAGTATATGTTACATTCCTGAATATGAGGTTGCGCATTTATTCGGCTTCTTTTCTGCTTCTACATATTATATAGATTTAAATCCCGCGTATTTGGATCTTAGAAAAACCGGGAATGTGTAATTGTCAAAAGTTTTGATGGTGAATTAGTTTGTATGACGTTAATTTATAAGAGCTGGCTTTCATTTCAGTTGAATGTTTCTTTTCTCACAGTCTCTGCTTCCAGATTATCAGCGACTCCTAAGTTCCATGCCTTCTCGCAGATTGAACACCTCAAAACTTCTAGAAAATGGCGGTAATCTTCCTGTCTTGGTTACAAATTTTGTAACTTAAGTTGTTTATTTTAATTCTCCAGTTGTCTTTTCTCTGTATTTTTGCTTTGGCCTTTCCCTCTGGTTTTTTTAATAATGTTTGTAACGATTTTGTATCTCTCATAGTTATCTTTGACCATCCCTCAGCTCTTGATTCTTATTTTCGACATTTGGCAGAGTATTTTCAAAATAAGCTGGTGGACACCATACATTTTATGGATATTCTTAACTTGAAAGACAGTGTTGAAAAAGATACTTTCTTCCGCAAACTTCCAAATGTTGCTGAACAGCTTCCTCGGGAGATCGTGCTTAAGAAGGTGTGAATCTAAATTATTGGGGGTATCAAGACAACAATTTACCTTTACAGTTGAAGGCTTTGCGTTTTGTTATTTGACATAACCTTCTTTTGATGCAGCTTCTTCCTTTATTAGCGTCTTCCCTTGAATTTGGTTCAGCTGTTGCCCCTGCATTAACTGCCTTACTTAAGATGGGTTCATGGTTATCAACTGACGATTTCAGTGTCAAGGTTGTTCAGTCATGCTAAATCTAAATTACTCACTTGGTGTATATATGCACGTGCAGATGAATATTTTTCAATTATTTTCTGAAGTTACTCCCTCCTATGAATTAGGTGCTACCAACAATAGTCAAGCTTTTTGCTTCCAATGATCGAGCTATTAGAGTTTCTCTTCTGCAACATGTTGATCAATTTGGAGAATCAATGTCAGGGCAAATTGTTGATGAACAAGTAAGCTTATTTTTCTCATCCTTGGCCTAATAGTGTGTCTGTGA